GAGTAGTACTGCGAAAGCTCCTCCTGTGCACTTGCACCGGGGCAAAGTCCAATCCGCTTAATCAGGATAATCGCGCAGCACTAATAATCTCTCTCTCTCTCTTTCTCTTTGCTGCTGCTGCTGCTGCTGCTGCTGCTGCCTGCCTGCCAGCCTCATCAAAAATGCATTGCGCGTGCAAAAGAGGGGTTGCGCGCGCGGCGACGCCAGATTGTCGCTCACGCGACTCCTCGTACATACATACGTGTACTGCGTACGCGGTATAAGGTACATACGCAGCCTGGGCTTATTGTGATTATATAGGTAGCAACACTTGTGTTCTATGTGGCTATGCTCTTGTGTGTACCCTGTCGAGAGTCTAGTATTCGTACGCGATATAATAATATGCGAGTATTATTCCAACGCGCCTGGTGAGCTTTTCGCGTGTAATGATAATTTCACGAGAGAAAGAGAGAGAGAAAAAAAAGAGGGTGAAAATGTAAAAAATTTTGCTCCAAAGATAATGGATCGCACCGAGTGTTGGTGTCGGCGGTGGCTTGAAAGCTCACGCAATATTATCGACTATCTCATCGGTGATCAATGGGTCGCCGAGGCGCAATTGGCGTACTACATCGTTTTGTTATTACCGCGCGGCCGTGCATCGACTTGGCAAGCTCGCGAGTATTTGCAGCGAATTCGACTACTCGATCAGGCTCGCCCACTCNCATATTTTTTTCTTCGCTCGCTCGCCTTAAAATTATTTACGCCTTTCGTTCATCAACGTATCGCACACAGGGATACACACACGAATTGGATAATGAATCGATCGCGTACGAGGGGCGTATTTTAAATATCCAAAATGTAAAATTTCGGCGAGCTGTGCAGCTCGCTATAGCTATATCGCGCGCGATTGAAATTTAACTCGCGCTCGCAGCATTCATAATTGAAAATCCATCAGCTGGCTACAACGCTGTATAAGCTGGAGCTTTTCCTGGGATGCGCGTTCTATATGTATATCGAGTAGCCATTATCTTCGCGATACGCATCATTATCAATCATTCAGTTTAATAACTCCGTATAGAAGCCTAGTAGTGGTAGTAATAGTAGTAGTAGAGGTAGTAGTCGTAGTAGCGTAAGCGCGTATGTACGAAAATATCACATAAAGTTGGCGTAATATAAAGTTGGCGTAATCTGAGCACATTTAAAATTTTTAAACTATTATATGTTTTTTTTTTTTCATTTTGAAAGGGTGTCGGAGTTGAATAAGATTTTTGACCGGAAATCGGAATCGTCATCAAAATTTACATAAAAACTAATTATTCAATTATTTACTCACTGTCACCCTTACTCCTAGTGAAACTTATAGACAATGAAAATCTAATTTTTCAGAGTACATACTTAGTTTGAATCTCATTTTTTTCAAAAGAGAATACATGCTGAAAACTTCATTTGAAGCCTTGTAACTTATGATTCTGATGCACCATATCCAATTTAGTGTCAGTATGAGATGCATTACTCCGTTAATGAATAGAACTATAAAATCAATTTCCATAAATTCTAAAAGTAATGAACCTTTACAAGACGAAATTTTATCGGATAGTATTAAAAAAACCGTTATCGCCCATTTGCGAAAGAGACATAATCAAATCGGATGGGCCTTTCCAACGGAGCTTAATTTGTAGAGAGCCCTGTTGCCGATCCAAGACAGGCTAGCCAGATCGCATGCCGTTTCGGAAATCTAAGCAAATAGCGGGTAGGCAGAATTGGATTAACCATCGAAAGTATAAAGTTGGGTGCGCTACTTCGATTTAAAAGTATATATATAGTAATCTGAACTACTTTAACCAATTGCAGGTGCTAAATACGCCATCTAGGTAAAGGATCGGTACTATTAAAAAATATTTAAAAATATCTTAATATTTAGTTAATTTAGTATTTAATTTTAATATTCAGCATTTTTATAACATGGCAAGGACGAACGAGTAAACATTTTTCAGTTTCGCGAGTTAAGCGCACACGACTGCAGGACACGCGCGCGTGCTCATATACTTATATACGTACACTCGGTGCGCGCGATCGATATTGCGCGCGAGCAGCACGTCTGGCTGCGTACATAACGTTTAATGCTGGCCACAGTCGGAGTGCAAAGAGAGTATATATTTACGTGTGCGTATGCGTGAGCGTATATGAGCAATTCTCTAAATGAAACGCATTTTTGGAGGTAGAATCGCGGCAAATTTTTTTTTCAACCTACGCGGATACGGACCCCCGGGAAATGTTTTTGGGGGTCCTAGGAACATGTAACCACGTAGGAACCATTGAAATTTCAATAGTGCTTACTTTTACAGCTACTTTTGTGATTTAGAGGACGAAAAATCATGTTTTCTCGTAAATACGGCTAATTACTCAATTTCTAAGTCGCTGAAAAAGTATCAAAACTCATCTAAAAAAAAAATAACTGGCTACTGTGTTCGATAGGAAATTTTCTCAGCTTTCCAATGGTAGTATCAGATTTTCCGATAAGTCGCACGTTCACTGAGAAAATTGCCATCAAACATGCAAAGCTAAATATCTCAAAAAACTCGGTACGGAAAAAGGGATCTTTGATGTCTATTTTCGATTTTTCCTGTTGAAATTGAGATTTTTTGGAAAATCTGACGGCACCATGAGAAAGCTGAGGAAATTTCCTGTCAAAATCATATATTCATTTATTTTTTCAGTGGAATTTACGAGCTAGTTTTGATTGTAGCGAGCCGAAAACCTCGCGACCGCGCCGAATCATCTCGGAAACAAAAAACAGCGAACAACGTGAAAGAAATTCCCATGTATAACATTGTAATTTGACTCAAAAAATAAATGAAGATATGCTTTCGTTAGAAAATTTCCTCAGCTTTCTCATGGTGCAGTTAGATTTTCCGAAAAATCTCATTTTCACAAAGAAAAATCGAAAATAATCCAAAAAGTTCACTTTTTCCGTACTGAATTTTTCGACATATTTAGCCCTCAATGTTTGATAGCGATTTTCGCGGTGAAAATTGGATATTTCGGAAAATCGAATAGTACCATCGGAAAGCTAAGGAAATTTCCTATCGATTACAGTAGTCAGTTAAATTTTTCAGACGAGTTTTGATACTTTTTCAACGACTTGGAAATCGAGTAACTAGCCACATTTACGAAAAAACATGATTTTTCGTCCTCTAAATCACAAAAGTAGCTATAAAAGTAAGCACTATTGAAATTTCAATGGTTCCTACGTGGTTACATGTTCCTAGGACCCCCAAAAACATTTCCTGGGGGTCCGTATCCGCGTAGGTTGAAAAAAAAATTTTCCGCGATTCTACCTCCAAAAATGCGTTTCATTTGGAGAATTGCTCATATATGGCTCCGCAACCAGCTAGAAAACGCCATTAAATATGTATCGAAACCTCTCCCGAAAGCTCCGGCGTTTAAACTATACGTATCTACACGCGTAAGCCTATGCAGAGTGGTATCCTCCGTTTTTTCCCTCTCTTTCCTTTTTTTTATACGCTACACGAAGCTTTTATGATTTTTTTTCCTTTGCAGAATTATTTCGAGAGAAAAGAAAAAGAGAGATTAAACGAGGAACGAGAGTAGAGGGCTCGAATTTCAGCTGCGAGGATGGATGATTTTAGTTAGCTGACGTGAAACGAGAAGAGGCAAGTTCAGAGAGAGAGAGAGAGAGAGAGAGAGAAAAATCGAATGAATGAGTAATGATGAAAGTTGCCATTGTTCCGTCTTGCAACTTCAAAACTAATAACAGACTCTTGGTATTTGCCGAGATTTTACTTGTTTAACGATTTTCGAGGGGTAAAAAAGTTGTCCGGATCATGAAATTGAGTAAATTTTTCAAAATTCTCAATTGACAATTAAGGACCCAAAGTGTATTATCGTGACATAGGGTATCGTGACGGTCATGGAATCAAATTTCCGTTGCATTGCATTGGCCATACTCTCTCTCTATTTCTTTCTTGCTTTCTTTGCCGTGTGTATGGTTGCTGCTTACGTATCAGAACTTCGAGAGAAACAATGCTGGCTCTCGCATTTACACAGTGGCAGTTTGCTGTCAGAGCCAGCGAGTTGAATGTTTACTTTCGCGAACCGAGTTTATTTTTTGATTTTTTTATGAATATTCGGAATATACTTTTCACGATGTAAAAAGTATTCGAAATATGAGTGAATATTCGGAGATTTTTTGACGTAGTGCATGTTTGAAGTTTCGGTTTGTTTTTCAAATTTATTCGAAACTAATTCCTTTTATTTTTCAATTGTGTTTGAAATATCAAACAAATGTGCATTGAAATTATATTTCAATAGTTTTATCGCAGTGAATGTTCAACAGTTTTGACAGCCAGTATGACTGTATACGTGATAAACAACGAAAAAACTGAAGATGAAAAGAAGAAAAAAGACATTGTTGGTTATATTTTCACTATTTGAAATAACAATACTAATATTACTTGTTTGATAAGTCGATGAGGTTATTTAAACTCGTAAATGGCTCGTGTGCAATCACTTTTTGCTGAAACATAGTCTGGCATTCGTATCATGTCTTTGCAACTTGAAGCTAAATATGATACTTGAATGCTTGGCAGTTTATGCTATATTAAATGCGTTTATATACAATACAATACGCCGCTGATCGGAAATTCTTGAGCGGCATAATCATGATAACTCGAAACAATACCAACAGTTATCTACTTTATCGATAGATGAGACGTTATGAAAAATACTTACTTCTATGATCCGATAGATGGCTTTGGTAGTCGTAAAAATCGAGAGGTCATACGAGTTTGAAAGGAACTTGAATGAATACGAGCTGTCATATGTGTGTCAAGTCAATTTATAAAATATATTCGAATAAATTTTCAAAACAATGCATCCTTTGAACTTTCTGATGTAACAATACGAATATTTTATCAACTATTTATTAACAATAGAATCTTGATCAATTTTTAATGCCTGGTTTATTCACGATTAAATCAATGATTTTTTGTATCCTTCAGACTGTTACAGAAAACGCTCGTTTAGACGTAAGTACTCCTTCATATGACGATGACTTGGATTTCTGGGATCAATCGGGTTTCATGTTGAGGAATGACTTCGACGATCCTCTCAATCACGGAAGGTGAGTACATACTTGATACTATTATATTCACGAAGAACAAACAATTGTGCCTTCTACAATTTTTATTAATTTGTACCAATGAAAATAAGTCGATCAATTGATATTATTGATCGACTTCAAAACAATATTATTTAGTTTAGCATTTTTACTCTCAGGTTTTACAAATTAATTTTAGCTTATTGTTAATTTTTTTACTCTGTCAAACACCTTTTATACTTTTATCACTTGTAGACCAATGATTCATCTCGGATAAAATTTTTATACCGTCTTTTTGTTCAGATGGGGCGGCCAGGAGTGGTGCCGACCGAGCTGCATACCCATCACCTTCATCCTCGTGCTCATCGTGCTCGTCGTGCTGCTACCGCTGCTCGATCACGCGCCGGAAAAGTCGAGCCTCAACGCCACTTATCTGGCCAACGAGAGCGTCATGTCGCAGCGCATGAGCGACTGTCGCCTCGGACTCGTGGAGTCCATACCGATCGGCCTCGCCTATCCGAACGGCTCGGCCGATCACCCGACGACCTTCGCCACCTGGATGGACCTGATCGGCATGGCCCGCAACAGCGTCGAGATAGCCTCGCTCTACTGGACGATGAACCGCGAGGACATTTATCCGGACGACAGCGCCTACGAGGGCGAGACCGTGCTCAAGGCCCTGCTGGAGGCGGGCCGCGATCGGGGCATAGCTCTGAGGATAGCCCAGAACGTGCCGAGCGAGCTGAGCCCCAACATAAACACCGAGTACTTGGCGAAAAAGGCCAATGCCGTGGTAACGATCGAAGCTTCATTATTTATTTGCATGAAAAATAATATCTGCCTCGTCATTGTCGTCCTCGCCCTCGTACATAATATTTCATGCTCTCGATGCACCGCGCACAGGTACGCAGTTTGAATTTTGCCGCACTCATCGGCGGTGGAGTGCTGCACACGAAGCTCTGGCTGATCGACCGTACCCACGTTTACCTTGGCTCGGCGAACATGGACTGGCGCTCGCTCACCCAAGTCAAGGAGCTGGGCATCGTCGCCTACAACTGCTCCTGCATCGCCAACGACCTCGCGAAAATTTTCGACGTGAGTATTGAAATATAAACGAGTCACGAGATTTAATGTAATTCTCATCGAATTTTTTTTACCTTTTCGATCAGGTGTACTGGAAATTGGGCGAAGATGGCAAAGTACCGGCCACTTGGCCGAAGGCCCTGTCGACTAGAATTAATATGGAAAATCCCATGGCGTTCGTGCTCAATGGAAACAAATACAGAACTTTCTTCGCGGTGAGAATTTGAATTTTAATAAATTACAACGCGATGAATTATTTTCCGTGAAAAATTGGTCGCTTAAACGATTCTGAAGTGTTTGATGAGTCGTCTAATCGACTATTTGACTATTATTTTTCGCAAAAAATAAATCGATGACTCAAACAACAATTACGTGCATCAACTTGTGTTTGACGCTACATAAAATCCCAAGTCGTCCTGATAGAAATGTTTAACATTTTAGGACTAATTTTTGACCAGAGAATGTTTTTGCGTATAAAAGGCTTAATAAAATTGAATGTACTAACAATACAACGTTTACTTACACATTTTATCGCCATATAATTTTTTTTCACTATTAGTGCAAAGTTATTCTTTCGGAAAAATAGGCTGCAAGGTCCGAAATATTCTCAGTTATACTAGAAAGTACATATTCTAAAGCCAACAAAATAATCTCCAAGACACCTTTCTTACATTTTTGAGGACCGTACTTTGACTTATACCATTATTTCGACCTTGCCACTTGCAGATTTTAACAGTAAATGAGTCTCGCCATCTAGCGGTAAAGCCTTTAAATGGTATAATCGAATATAAAGTGGTTAACTTAAACCGTTATCGAATATAAAGTTGAAAACTGGTCAAAACATATTGACTTCTTAGTCATTAGAATATTTTTAATGTTGAGCATTTCTATCGCAAGACAGTCGCGCAAAATTTGAATTTTTAAAAAATGAGTTGAACTTTTTTTTTTACGCAGAGCTCGCCACCGCCATTCTCACCGGAGGGTAGGACCGGCGACATCGACGCCATCCTGCGCTGCATCGAGAGGGCCGAGAAATTCATTTATGTCGCGGTGATGGACTACTTCCCGCTGATGATGTATACGCCGAAGCGCATGTACTGGCCGGTGATCGACGACGCCCTCAGAGCGGCGGCGATCGAGCGCAAGGTCGAGATCAGGCTGCTCATTAACAAGGGCCGGTACTCGGCCGCGTCGGAGGACTACTTTCTCAAGGCCTTGGAGGATCTGACCAATAGCTTCAGCAACGTCAAAATCGAAGTGGTTGGTGGCTGCCTTTTTGTCTTCTTTATTTTTGGCTTCGTTACCGCATGTATAATATAACGCTGGCGCGTTGCTGCGAGCCGTTTTACATGTATAAATTTGTATCTTTAACGCATCTACGGTTTTTTATTCAATTTTTTTTTCACCTGCCGAGAACTTTTCGCGTTTTTAATACAAAGAAAAACGCAAAATTATGAATCACTCTCTGCAATACACAGTTGCAAGTCATGCAGGAGATTTTAACATATGTCGTATAACGTTCGTCATAAAATGTCAAATAAAGCGTATATGATATTTACTATTTTCCACGACCACTACTGACGCAAGTCGAGAGAAGATGGGTCGATATCGGCGCGGATGCAAAAATACAATCTTTTCTCATTTGTTTCTTTTTTTGTTTGTTTGTTCCATTATGCAGAGGAGATTCACCGTACCGACGAACGCCTCGTTCGACAAAATTCCCTACTCACGAATTTACCACAACAAATTCATGGTGACTGAGACGACGGCCTACATCGGTACGAGCAATTGGTCAGGCGATTATTTCACCACGACCGCCGGTACGAGCTATTATACATTATGTTATATATTTAGCAAGCGATAATTCAAGAACTCGCTTGACTTGTGTAAAAATTCCAACGCGATTATCATTATGTAACGACGATTGTTCATTCTTTCTTTCTTTCTTTCTTGCTTGTCTCTCTGCAGGAATCGGCGTGATTTTCGAGGATGCGGACCCGCGCAACGACAACAGCATACGGGACCAATTGGAGGCGGTCTTCGTGCGTGACTGGACGTCGGACTACGCTCATCCGCTAAACGCATCGTGCGAGAATCTGCTCATACCCAAAAAAACGCTACTGAGGTCGCAGATCGTGCCGCCGCTGCAGCACCAGCAGAGCGAATCGAATTATTAAGATCGATCGATGATCGCGAGACGTCGTCGTCGATCGATTAAAAAAAAACAACAAAATACTAAAACGTTACTTCTTGTGGAGCTTCCTACATTGAGCATATATGTAATATGTATAATCTTATTTGTATAAGGATTGTGAGAGAGAAATAGTTCACCTGCGCGCGAATCGCGATTGTATCATACACACCACGTGCCTACACAAACAGATCCGTACAAGATTCAAAACAATCGCTCACGAGAAAGTGAGAAGGACAAGCACAAAAATTCGCTCCTGACTTGTGAGAAGATTTACTATTATACTTTCCGTTCTCGAGTGCGCGGGCCCGCGAGGAAAGAGTCGTCGTTAAAGTCCTTTCGAACAACACTCGACCGGCCGGACGGTTATTATCGCGCGGCGTGCAGATATTTTTCGCGAGCCTCTGCGAAGCTCGATGATTCGACGGATTGTAATTATTTTACTTTGATATATCCTTTTGTTTCAAACGATATTTGCGTGTGTGTACCGAATCATTGAATCGAAAGTCGGAGAGCAAGTTTAAGTATACAATGTGTATCATAATGTGCAAGATCCCGAGGTTTTCCATGAGTTCATTGTTAAATACTCAATTTTTTTGTATCGTATATAAAGTTGACAAATAAAACCATGCACACAAGCGTCGATATGCATATACTCCCAAATGTAAACATTGCAATATACTACTTGTTGATAAAAGCAATGAGATTTTTATGTATGGTTTTTTTTCATAACATCATGGAATAAATTTATTTTTACAATTTATTGAGTTTACTCTTGATTACGCATGTTTCCAGCTTCGAGCATTTAAAATTCATATCATTTTGTATGTTATATGGGAGGCACTCGCACGAGTGAGTGAAAAAGAAAAAAAATTTCCGATGTACGCTCGGTTTTTTCTCTTTCGAATTGCCGCCGCCGACGACGACGAAGTGTATTGAGCAAAGACCACTACTCGCACTCGACCTTTTTCGCACTTTGGCTCTGCTCGGCCAGTCGGTCGGTGCTAATTGAGCGCGAGCTAGCGACGGATGCACGGACGATTCTTCTCTTTCATTATTTTTTTTTCTTTTCGAATGTGCTCGAATCGATTGGTCGAGAAAAACGCACACATTTTATAATAAACAAAAAATAATACAAGTTATCTCGCTTGGCGCCATCGATAAATCGTCACAACGACGCACGCACACAAAACTCGCTTTTGCGGAACTAGGCATTTTTTGTGTAAGAAAACTTTCCATCATTCATAATTTATAAAACTATCATCAACGAGCTTGTCTTATGACTGCAGTAGCAGCAGCAGTAAAACCGACGACAATGATTTTACGCATCGGAAACCACGCGTTCATTACGTTTCAACAATCTTTTCGCGCTCAGCGCTCACCTTTACGAGTAATAGCTATATGTCATATACGAGCGATTATCGTACAACAGCAGCTGCAGCCGCCACCGCCGCAGTCGATACATAGTGCCTAGATAGTTTTTTCTCACATTTTTATCATACTTGTTCGCGTAGTGTAATATATGCGGTTCGCTTTATGCGATATTTAAAATTTTTTATACATACGTAGCTTTTTTTTCATCTCTCTCTCTCTCTCTCTCTCTCACTCTCTTGCGCGCGAACGCACGACTCGCTGCTGCCTGCAGCAACGTATAGATCTGGCTCGAAGTGAAGATATTATTGTTTGCTCTGCCGGCGATCGGTTCCATTATGCAAACGATTTCGAAAAAGTTGGAAGCGCGCTAAGACGTCACACCGTAGCGCAGCGCGACATAATATACGTCAAAAAGTATATAGCCATTAAAGAAAAGTTTTATAAGATTTATTAATAGCGTCGACGTCTTTTTTCCAATTTTTTGCGCTGCGCTAACTAATATCATTCGAAGCATATTATACCGATTTTAATCGAACGATATAGTCGAGTCAAGCTAATAAGTTTCGTGATCGATGAAAAATTCTAATAATCCGCAGTTTTTCGCTTCCTTTAACGGACGGAAAATTCGCCGCTCGCAATACAGCTGAATTAATTGTTTCTATTACCAGACAATTAAACAATCGATGTTTATTGGTTTGATAATTTGTACTTAAGTACCCTCGTAATTGTTACAGCGATTTCCTAAGCTTGAAATACTCTTTTAACCGTTTGTTAAAAAAATTCATCGATTCATCCACGAAAGCTCTCGTTAATTTTTTAAACTAAAAGTACTAAAACTTGCGGCCAAACAATCATGTTTATTCAAATGACACCTGTCTACATGTTAATAGGCTCCTTTATCTCTTTGTTGCAAATTATAATGACATCATGAAACTGCACCTTTTCGGTAAAGCCACTCGAGCTCTATAAATGCATTGCTCTCTTTTACCCTAAAAACTATATTATACGAAACAATCCCACGCGATCGAGTGTACACACTTCGGTTCGGTCAACGACGAAATGTCAAGAATGTCGTTCGCAAAAAAGTCACGCCGTGGTGGTGCACTTCTAGACTGTTCGCCCGTCGTCGTCCAACGAGATTTTTCGTGTTTATACGATCGATCGATCGATCGCGCGCGCGGCCATTCCCTTTCGATTTTGAAATTTACATAATTCCAGCAATTCGGTAGGTATACGTATATATGGTCAAACGTCATCCTGTGTCTCGTTAAACATACGTACGTGTGCGTACGTGTGTGTGTGTGTGTGTGTGGTGTGCCGTGCTGCGTTCCCCACCATTTATCACGCTTATATAGAGAATCGGCGTACGCTGCGCGTGGCTTAATATCCGCGCGAATCGCGCCTCAACCCGAAGGAACCGCACACAACAGCAGCAGCAGCAGCAGCAGCAGCAGCAGCAGCAGCAGTCACTGTCACAGCGGCAGCGGTCAGCAAAAGCAAAAGAGAGAAACAGTGTGTCGCTGTCTTAGTCGCGCTTCTCTCAGCTGTGAGTACTCAGTGTGTGATGCCTGCCCAAGCGCACTTGTTGTTGGTCGATATTTATCCACGGGCTGTCAGTCGCTGCTGAGCTACGAGAAGTAGCTCCCCGATCGCTGCATCGGAGTGTAACATACTCGAAATATCTTGAGAGAGGGTGTCGATCGACGCACCCCCCGGAAATTTTTCATCCGCTTTGTTTTTGGTGTTCAAGAGAAAAAAAAAAGATCGTCCCGCGATCTACGGGTGGAAAAAGTTGCGACTGCCAAGGTGAAAAGAAAGTGACTCCAAGGTTTGTGCAAATTTTTTGATGTACCAAGGCGTGTCTTTTATTAGCGTGTCACGCGAACCGATCGCGAACTATTATCGAATCGCGCTGATATTCGCTTTGATCAACGCGACCGCGTGTAAAATCGCAATTAGGATTATAACGATCCGATACACGTATTTACATTATTACATCGGACCATTAAACGCTTTTGTGCAAAAGTGTCAAGTGAAATTTTTGAATATTCATCGATCGGACGCGTCCGTCTTTTCATGCCGCGCGCAAATTAATCGACGCTTTACAAACGTCAATTTTACAATAAGACGGCAACGATCGCTCGCTCACAACAAAAGATTTTTCACTCCGTGCGGATGATTTACTGCCTTATAACACACCGTATACTTACATCATATGTCGTAGCGTGTCTTTAACGCGTGTGTATATATAGCTGTATACGACTTGGAAACTGACATGATCGCGCGTGGTGTATTATTGACGTATAATGAGGCATTTCTGTTTACGTTTGCTCTTGTGTATGTGTGTGTATGCGTGTGTCCGTGTATATACTTTTCGAAATATTCACTCAAGCGAAGAGAGAGAGATGCATCCACAAGGCATCGACAGCAGCGATAAAGTCCAAATTCATCCTCGTAAATTAGAACATTCGATTTTTCAGGGTTATCCCTCGATGTTCGTGATCAATTTTCGTCGATACGATCCACGAAAAATTCTGTTATGACATTACAAATTGCCTCGGCGAACTGATAACACATTGTGTTTACATGGAAAATTGCTTCGCCGTATAGAGTTCGATCTTTCGTGGTTTCGACGATCTCTTCAATATAACAATCACCTATATAACAATCGGTAATATATAATAATACCGATCATGCTCGATCGATCGATAAAAAAAAGACGCGAACATTTTGGAAATCGGATGTTCCGGAACGAATTGACGAAAAGATCTCGTATATTCGAAAGACAGAACAGGTTGGATCGGTATTACAAGCGAGATCGCTTTTAATATTATGTATGCTCGCGATCGCGCTCGGCGCATATAGCTGATGTATAGGTATACGCGTGCACGCTAAATTATAAAACGTGTATTATCGATCGAATTACCGATAATTAAAAATTGCACGCGTCAACGGATTTAATCGGTGACTGATTTCTCTCCTCTCCCCCGCCGGTCGCGTAATAGGCACGCGTCCGATATCCATATCATTGGGTCCACTTAATAAAACTACTAGACACACAAAAATTGTACACTTTTAATGGTGTCGCGCCGGTGCTCCCGAAAAAAATCGGTCGATACGGTAAATTTGTTTGTCGATCATCCACACCACTTCGCGGAAGTGTCTTTTTCTTTTCTCGCGAATCATGCATTATATGATACGGCTTCGAACTTATGTCTATAAACAAAGGGGGCTCGTAAGCACACTTGCATACAGGATGTGCGACAAATATCATAGTCGTGCGCCACTGCAGTACAGAAATTCTTTTCTCTTAAATACACCGCGTACATGTGTATGTGTTAAATGTCAGTGTGTGCTTGATTTTGCACAAAGTCAAAGACAGAGAGACATGTGCGTTCGCAGCGACGTTAAAAAACGGTGACAAGAAAGAGAGAAAGACAGAGACATGAGACGGTTGAGCAACATGCCAAGCGCAAAACTTGCACACCGCGCTGAATTATTGATCAAGTGGCTCGCGACTTCATAGTGTTTGCATTATATACTTACACATACATATCGTTACATACATATCCAAGAGGGAGCTCATCGTCGTCGTCGAAGAGATGCGTCGCGAATCGCAGCCGCGACGACGACGACGATCGTCGTTATTATATGCATGCGATATACGCTGCACTGCGAGGCTGTAGCTGCTGCTGCTGCTGCTGCTGCGGTGTGTGTGCACCGTGTGGCACATGACGATGATTGGAGGGATTTTTATTTTTATACCGCGTGCACAGCAGCACCTTTGACACGGGCAAGGCTGTACATGAATAAAAATATTAGTCGAGTCCACGATAATATTAATGTACGCTCGAACGTGCCGAGTATTTTATTAAATGTCAAAGATAGTCTTTTTTTGTATGGAGGATCGAAGACCGAGCGCGAAGGTGATATAATAATCATACGGTATATCCAACGCCGCCGACGCTGCGTTGCTGACCGATATTTCCCTCCTCCTTCTTTTTTTGACTTTTTCGATGTTTCCAGCAAATCGGGTTGTGCAAATTTTTCGCTCGTTTCGGATATTTTTTTCCACATAAAAAGCCAAGTAAACCTGAAACTATAAATTGGGAAATAGTGCATAGCCTTGGAAGGATTACTTTCATCGGGTTACATTATAGGCGAAGCGGGTAAAAAAAAAAAATAGAAAGAATGCGGATAAAATGATGTCATGAGTTGCCCGCGCACGGATTTACGGATTTTAGGCATATCGATCGTTCTAGAACTTTCTTCACGTGATTCACTCGACTACAACACGTTTTTCGATGTAATTTTATGCATTCGCTCGTGCGAGCTAATTTGTATCGGTGTCCGCGTGGACGGAATTTAATTGTGATTTTTAGAGATTTTTAATCAGTTCTTTTTGTTTTATTATTCGATTCCTATAAATAGGAAAGGGTATTTTATTGTAGGCTAGACAAATCAGTGCATTTATTTGAATAATTTCAATTCATGGTATTTTTGTTGCAACGATTACTTCGAACAGGCATTCGTTACAAAAGATTTATGCGAACAAACAAACTTTAATGAAAACATAAAATATTTCGTAAAAATAATAAACAGCCTCCCGTGCGTAATAGAAAAAAAGAGAATAAGAAAAATCTCGCACTTTTAATTTTTACGCAAGTGCAGTTTCATAAATGCGTAGAGCAAACAAGAGCCATTGGCGGCGGCGTTGGTTCTTTCTCGCGCTATACCAACACACTATATACAATACCACGTACCACCTTGACCAGGCGTGACACAGCCTGAACAAACACAACAAAATAATAAGGATTATATAAAACTCATTGAATTTTTCGAAATGTATATTATTCTCTTCTCTTTTTTTTTCATCCAATAGCCAAAGAGCGAATTGTTGCATCGGTGCGTGGGCGCGTAAATTTGAGAAAGTGTTTTTTTTCTCGCTTTTCAATTCGTATACGCGCAATACGTGTCAAAAAATTGAAGTAGTCGAGAACAATCGACCACTTGACTACTGAAATGGTGATAAAAAAAAACATTAATAAATGTATAAACTCGTTTCGTATCGTCGCGCTTATTATCCTTGACCACTTGTGGGTGTCTGCTTACATATACGCTTACTTTCTTAATCATTATTTTAATTTCGAGCAATTTTCCAATCGTTTCCTCGTTTTTTTATCTGCTGCTCTCACGAACGCACACGTGAACGATTAAACGATCAAAGTGTCGTTTGGCTAATGTTTGGAAAATAGCAAAGAAAAAAAAAGTAAAAAAAGAAGTGCAGGCCAGAACAGTTAGATGCGGGGACAAAGGCGCGCTGATGAGATCCTGACAACCGCGACTCATCTCTGGCATACGTGCCAGAAATAAAGTATGAGCTTAGATAACGACGACGTCGACGTTGACTACGACGATAATTGTGCTAAAGAGGGGAAGGGTTTCTTCTTACTAATTTTGCATGCTAAAACGCGCTTTTAACGCGTACGGGTACGGTTCTACATGTATCCGCATACACACACACACACGCACATAAGCGCGCTTGTGCAAAGCTCGCGCGAGATTTTTTTCGGAGCGAATTGCGCCGCCGAAGACGAGTCAGCTGTTTCTCTCTTTTTTTTTGTTCCCTCCCGTGAGGCGCACGGATTTAAATGTATACAAAGTACTTTTTTCCTCTTCTTTTTCGCCGACTAACGACTGCACTCATACACGGGTCTGTGAGTGTATGTGTGCAGACTCTGGAACCGGAATTTTCATGTTTATACAGCCCGACAACTAGGCGCGCGCGTGAAAAACCACACATTTACGTAATGATCGTAACGCTCTGTGGTTTCGAGCGCGTGAATAATTTTCAAATTTCATTTTCGTATACCACCACCACATCTGCGACAGACTTTGCATGCAAAAATATCAAGAGGGGCACCGTAACCAGACGAGCTTTTTTCTTCCCATTCATCTTCGGTGGAAGTTTTGCATGAAACTTTGTTGTTTGCTCCGTCGTGATCGATATAGCACGCTATGCCGTGATTTTGACCGAGTACGAGGAAAAAAATTAAATCGTATTATTATTGTTAAAGGCAAGAGAAAATGAGGCTTCGATAGCGAAATCCGTTCACTGCGTTTCCAGGAGAAATAAAGCGTGCGGCTGAAAGAACGAGTCTCTCGCGAGCCGAGCCAACGATGCCCCGAAGTTACCAAATACGAATAGTAAAAATTTAAATACACAATGCCTAGTGCACTTTTAAAAATTATAGCGAATCTCACGCGATAATTGTTTGTGTGCTTGCGCGCATTAAATACCCAATTTCGTAACCATTTAAACGCACCACGCGTACTCGAAATTAGAATTTAAACGTCGATCGGTCTCTCGACCTACATATTATTTGCAGAAAGGTGAAAAAAAAAGTAAGTTCGTTTCATTGTACGCTCCGATTGTTACATTGTATGTATAGTACGTATATCTCGGAATTCTTCGGAGGCGTGGTGAGTCCGTCCGTGTCCGTGTCCGAGCGTGTGTGTGCTCACAACCATTGCGCGACGTACACCGTGTGTCCGTGTCGAAAGTGAATGAAGCCGTGCGGTACGAAGAAGAAGAGGAAGGCAAAAAAAGCGAGCTCGCGCGAGCAAGGCAATAGGCCCCCCATAAATGAACACTAATTTCTGCTCGCAACTTCGTTTTATTGTCAGTTTTTTTTCTCTTTGCTTTACGACTTCGCCGAAGTTATTTATGCATTCATACTTGCAAACGAGCGTGCGAGCAATTTTGTCGCAACGACTTCTCTTCGCGCTCGGCGCGGAACTACAAGCTGATAATCGTGCGCGCGAGCGCCTCGTTTTGCGCTTTGCTCGAGAAGTGGAACGATATACTTGACCGATACTGTATAAAAGTTTCGTAAGAGCCTCCGAATTAAAATCTATATATCAACAATGTGTATCTCGTGCGAGCATCGATCGGCATACATATTGTATATTATTAAAATTGGGTGGGCAACCTACTGAAAAACTATATTTATAATAATCGATCGGACAAAGTCTTTCTTGTACATCGAATCTCGAAGTTCGAGTGCTTACATCAGATAATATACATCGCACACGAGGAATCGATCTTATGAGTATTCGAGTTATTTTTAGTGTACACATTACCTCATCGCGATGCGTGGCGTGAAAATTGCCCCCGAGTGCATGATATAATACCCGCACCAAGACGTGTCCGAGTGATTACCTAAAATTTCTTTCCGTATAATTATTATTACCTATACTTCCTTTTTCATATGCGTATACGAGCGCGCACGAGTCGACACGCGCGTCGATCAAGTTCAAGAGCAGTAGCAGCAGCAGCAGTAATAAAAACTTTCACTCTTGTGCAAAATCGATTATTTCATTTATATCATACCCGTATAATAAGCCGCAAGGAGGCTGAAAAAAAATTCTGTAAATATATAATGATTATTCATCGCCGCCGCCGCCGCCGCCGCCGCCACGCGGTTCTCGCACTTAAACTTGGCGCAATGTGCAATTTACGCTACTTAGCAATGCTGATACGTGCAATTGAGTAACACTAAATGATTTTAAATATATCGTATACATGAACGCGTGTGTGTTGTACGATTTCAGCGCGCTGCTCGGTGAACTAAAACATTGCAAAATGGTCGAGGTCTTGATGGAATCGGGCGGCCAAGACGTCGTGGTGCCGGAAACGCCTCGCTCCGGCACGCCAACCGAGTGCGACGCCAACCTGACCGCTAGTACTCGGGGGACGACGACGACGAGCATTCGGGACGTCGTCGGCACGGATCAGCACGATCTCAGCACGCTGCAGCGATTTTACGCCCACTCCAACATCTTCATCACGGGCAGCACCGGCTATCTGGGCAAGCTGCTGGTGCAGAAGCTGCTGCGCACCTGCGCCGACATCTCCAACGTCTATCTACTGATCAGGCAGAAGAAGGGCCAGAAGGTCGATCAGAGACTGGAGCAGATATTCGACGATCCGGTCTTCGAGGCGCTGAGGGAGGAGCAGCCGAAATATCGACACAAGGTCGTGGCCATCGCCGGGGACTGTAGTCTGCCTGGACTCGGTATCTCCGAGGCGGATCGACGCACCTTGATCGAGAACGTGGATATCGTGTTTCATGTGGCGGCTACGGTGCGATTCGATGAAAAGCTCAAGCTCGCCGTGCCGACCAACGTGCAGAGTCCAAGGGACGTGATCAAGCTTTGCAAGGAGATGCCCCAGTTGAGAGTAAGATTATATTCTTATATTGATTTTATTTGCATATTTGAGATTTTTGATGTGCTAATTGACTTGTTTATTATTTTAGGCGTGCATACATGTCTCCACTGCCTACGCCAATTGCGTGCAGAATCCGATCGAGGAGAAGTTTTACGACGTGCCGATCAGCGGGGATAAACTGATCTCTTTGGTCGAAAATACCGATGAAAAGCTCATCGAAGATATCACAAAACCGTAAGCTCCATATTCACGATCGTCAAGCTTCCTTACCGATTTAAAAAAATAAATGTAAAAACAAATACATTTCCATTTTCAGACTCTTGCAGAATTGGCCAAACACCTACACCTTCACTAAAGCCGTGGCCGAAAATATCGTACGTAACGAGGCCGAAGACTTGCCCGTCGGTATCTTCAGGCCCGCTGTCGGTTCGTAAAATTTTTCATAAAAAACGAGACCCAGCTCGAACCGGCGTTTACAAAAGATCTCCGTTCTGTATTTTGTAGTAATCTCCACTTACGAGGATCCGCTGAGAGGATGGATCGACAATCTGTACGGGCCGACGGGGGTGGCCGCCGGAGCTGGCTCCGGACTGCTGCACTCCATACACTGCGACGGCAGCCTCAAGGCCAACGTCGTGCCCGGCGACTGGACCGTGCACGCGCTCATCGCTAGCGCCTGGGACGTCGCCGAAAGACGCAAGTACGTGCTCGATCGACGCGTTACTTTTTTTTTCAATAATTACCCGGATTTTCGAGAGATCTAACGTGATTTCGTTCGTTTCACCGCAGAGACGCGGAGGAGGGCGATCGGACGATACCGATTTACAATTACACGAACAAGGACAATCCGATAACCTGGGACGAACTGAAGGTCATGACGGCCAAGCACGGCCTCCACTTACCGACTGTGCGCGCCGTCTGGTACTACAGCTTCGGCAATACCAAGTCAAAGTGGCTGCACATGTTCTACGTCATATTTTTGCATCTGTTGCCAGCCTACCTGGCGGAGGGTTGCTACCGTCTGACCGGCAAAGGCGAGCTAGGGTAAGCAGATGGAGCTTTTTATTATAAATCGAGCTTTTTTATTATTTATCCGTTTCCAAGCGCTGATTGTTACTTTTCGGTTTTGCAGAGTACTCAGAATTTATAAAAAAATTCACAAATTCATGAACGTATTGAATTACTTCACGACGCAAGAATGGCAATTCGGTAACGAGAACGTCCGAGCTTTGGCGGAAAAGCTCGACTCCAAGGATCGCACACTGTTCCCCATGGACATGAGGGAAGTCATTTGGGACAAATACTTTCAGACTTATATCAAGGGAATCAGAATATATCTCATTAAAGATCCTCTGGAAACTCTTGGAAAGGCCCGACTAAAATGGCAAATGTAATGATCGAACGTTTTGTAGTAAAATTTACCACATTCAATTGTCAATTATCCACTAATTCAAATCGTGTGTTACTTTCAGTTTGTGGTTCCTTCATACAGCTGCTAAACTTTTCTTGGTGTATGTGCTGTGGAAGCTCATCTATGCCGTGTACAGCTCAGCTTTCGGCGCATAAACGAGAAAAACAGATACAGTACAGACGAGTTTTATTTTGGATAAACAGTGATAATATCATCACCAGTAGTTTTGTGCATTTTTTTGTGATAGAATGATGATATTCGCAGCGTTTATAATCTCTTCAGCGAATTGCCAACGTGTAAATGCCAAGTGCAATGTAAAAAAAAAAATATTACGATCCATGATTGCGTCAAAGGTGCCCGAGTGTAAGAGAGAGACAGACAGACAAAAAATGTACACGCATCAATGAAAATATCTCAATGACCTAAGTTTTGAAGATTCTTGGTTAACGACTCTTCTACGGGATAAATCATCGGTACAGCCGATAATATTTGCATAGTCTTTTATGAGTGCATTATATATGTATACTACGTTCGTTCGTGTATGTATATTGGTTTCAGAAAAGTGTGATGTGTATGTGTGTGTACCACAAAGCTATGTAAGCCAAGATTTATTGAAGTTTCAGTTTTTTTCTGTTTTTTTTTTCTACTCTACAACATGGTGTCGCGATAAAATAACCTTATGCTAAACACAAACGCGTGTATCGTGTGCATGTGTGCGCAACGCCCACGGGAGACTGTAGCTTCTGAATAACATTAAAGCAAGTGTAAATGATGTAGTTTTCTATTGTGTTATTAAGTTCATTACGGCTACACTATAATCGTGTAATAGAGGTTTAAAGATATAATTATTTTATTCGATAAATGAAATCAATTTTTCTTTTTTGTAATTAAACTAATGTTAAAATGTCATTATTATGTATTTAATGGTAAACTATTATCTCGTTAGGATACGAATGATTAGCTTTAACGATCGTTCATGAAATGTATAAAATATATATAAAATAATAATCTGGTAAATCACGCTTTTGAAGCAATTACCAGCCTGTAACTTATTATTATATTTATAGTACAAATAAAAAAAATAGTTGGTATTTTTAAATAATTGAAGTTTTTTTTGCGATCGATCGATACACGTGCCTACCTTTATCGGTAAATAAACATCTTTTGACATTGCGCTATGATGATGATTTTGGTCTGTATAATTTCTCCTTTTACTTCCTTAAAGCGAAGGACACGTGGATTTAATGGTGCGTATTTTAGCACGTAAATCGAATTTGTTTTATCAATAATTACGGCGTTTATTCCCAATTATTACACAGCATTCGATAGTATTACCGTAATCAAAAAAAAAACTTTCATTATGGTATAACCGAGATGATTCAATGAGAAAAAAATCACGTATTACGCACGTAATATGCAATCTGAACTATTCGACTGTCGTCGCATTTTCAATTAAAAGATCGGTCAACAAATGATAAAACATTCAATTAATATTGACAACTCGGGTGAGCTTGGCTGCCATTTCCTCTTTATGCATATACGTCAAGCGGCAGTAGGGGCATGAGCAGCAGCAGCATATTTCAAAAGGCCGAACGTGCGAACGCACGCACGCACGGCACCGATTTACGCAAATTAAGACGCAGGTATTTTAAGCGCGGGTAATTTTAACGCGTCGAGCAGCTATACAGATTTCAGAGCCGTTTGGTATTAAACGTGAAATTTTAGTAAAAAAAAAAACCTGTTAGACGATTAGATACAAACGCGCCAAATGCGGAGTCGATGATCGTTACGGACCGTTTATGTACATTAGCCGAAAAAGGTTCGCGACCGACAGGTTTTTCTCGCGCGCACGTATATGTGCTCTCTTCGCGCAAAGGTCAATATTTCAATTATGTACACGTCTGAAAATTCTCAGGCACATGTGGCAGTGGTCGGCCGACACGCGCTGCAAATGCACTCATGAACATACAATTATACGGATTATGCCCTACTTCTAACTCGCGCATTCACGTGCAAAAACGGACGATCGCATCGATCCGGCTAAAACCGATCGCGGCACATGCCCCCCGCGCGCGAGCGTCCCGCATTAACATTGTTGTCACACACAGACACATCCTCGCGTGCGTAATCTATAATAATTGCGTTCGGAACGCGACTTTTCCGCGTTAATGTACTGTGCGCGTCTGCCGCTGTTGATTTTTTCTGCCGTCGATGGAAGACGAAGAGGATGCGCACACATGACAAAGCCGAAGACGAACGTGAATTGTTTACCAGAGAATTGCATTGTTCTCGCGATTCGCGTCGTTCGGTTATGTACTTACTATGGAGCTCCGTCACCGCGCGCGATGATGTTATATACTCGTGCGCAGTTTTCCCTCGGACTCTTGGACGGGCGTGTCAATTCTAGCTCTAGGCGAGCTCCTTCTTCTGCGTCTTTTTTTTCCCCGCGCACGGACAGCTAATATATCCCAAAACCATATAACGCTAAAAGCGCAATTTTTTACGTCGAATATATATTGTGGTAAATTGTGGTAATTATTTTTTTTTTAACCACTCGAATTCGTAACCGCAAACCATCGACCTTCGAATATCGAACGAGAGAGTAAGCGAGAGAGAGAGAAAAAAATTCGTACCTCAAAGTTCAAGTCTAGATGATAACACGCGGTATATAAATATAATATATAATACACACACCATAGCAGCCATACACACAGCCATCGGTACAGTACAGTGGTAGTAGTAGTGTGTATATACACAAAGACACAATCAAAATATACAAAATTGAGCGCGTTTGAGTGTGGGGAAGCTTTCACTTTAAGGCGAAGCGCCGCACGCACACAAGTGACTAAGTTACATAGTCACCCATCATAAGCCATAGGCCCGAGCTCGCTCCGGAGCGCGCGCGTGAAACAGAGAGAAAGAGCACTCGCGCTGTATACACTTTAAACTTGTGTACAGATCACAGAGTCGTGGGTCACAGTCAGTGGACGACGGTTTACCAGGTGACAAGCTCCAGCTCCCAGGTATCCGCGAGACTTCGTTTCCAGCCTCTCTCTTGCCGTTCTGAGCAGTCTTCTGAACAGATAAAAAAAGGGTAAGAAGAAATTTTATTGTTAATTAATTGTGAAGGAGCGTATGTGCCGATTAAAATGATAAGATTATAACGGGAGTTTGTGATTAAATCAATAAATTTGAGTGAGAAAATTATAATTGCCATTGATAAATATTTTGCTATTGATTCAAGATAATTGGTGTTTATGACGTAGTGCGTGGTGAGCTTTTAGATTTTTTGTTTGATACTTTTAATTTATTTATCAACTGCAAACTGGATATTTAATAATTATCGTGAAATAAGAATCCAAACTATATTATTAGTATAGCTTCATGAATTGACAAAGCAATTCATATTTTTTATTGCATTAAATATAAACGACTTTAATAATAAATAATCTTATTGACTGTTCAAAAAACTTAACTGCATAGCTCATATTATAAAAAACTATAACATATTATTAATATAACTACATAAATTGACAAAGCAATTAATACTTTATATTGCATTAAATGCAAAAGGCATTGATTATAAATAATCATATTGACTGTTAGAAAAATTTACCCGCAAAGCTCATTGACCGCTAAACTTACGCCACGATGAAATAATAACCAATAATCCTCTAATATAATGATACTTATGAATCGCTAATGCCTTGATTAATTGAATTCATAATCGTTAAATCGAGTAAAATCTCTGGTTTCGAGCAGATCTTTAATGAATAAAAATTCATCGTGTTGCAATCACTAATAGAGCTAGATATTTGAAACAATAATTGTACAATGAGAAATTTTTAAATAACCTTGCCAAAATTATTCGTTTGTGAGTACAGGTACACTCTACATACACATGTTGCAACACCTAAAATATCTAAAAATAAAATCATTTGAATTTCCATTAAATCAAAGATTACATTCAAATACAGTCGTTTCACGTTTTCAAAAGAATTCCAATGATTGCTCAAAGCTTAAAGTTCAATGTACCTCAGTTAAAATGATTCATAGAGATTCTAATAAATTCGCGGTGAAACCGCGCAACGACCTTATGAATTGTATAATTTTTATATCAGGGATTTATTGATTTTTTAAAATCAAATTCACGAAACCGAAACAAACAAGTTAACGATTAGAATATTATGAGATGTTTGTCAGATCTATTTGCAATCGGCTAATTTTTTCCTCTTCCTGGAGGTGCGTTAATTTTATATTGTCCGCTTGATCGATCGGTGCGTGCGCGATTACATTTATTATGAGACGCTAAAAATTATTATATAAGTTGCAAAACTTATCAGAAGGATATTGCGATAAATTTTATTGTTTTGTAAACGCGCAAGACATTTGTATAATAACGAGGCTTAATTTTTTTAAGATTACACCATTGCCAAAATGAGATTACCGAATATAGATGAGGAGAAGTCGGAGATTCAACAATTCTATGACGGACAGACCGTTCTAATCACCGGGGGCACCGGTTTTTTGGGCAAGGTCCTGGTCCAAAAGCTTCTCAGAGAATGCCCGGACATCGAAGCGGTTTACCTCATCATACGGATGAAAAAGGACGTTGAATGCGAGGACAGGATCAAAGCGATACTCGACGAACCGGTGAGTGTTTGAAAATGATAACACGTCGATACGTGAGCTTCGAATTACGATCGATCCAATTGATTTCAGCTGTTCGACGAGCTGAAACGAGTGCTGCCAAACTACCGTGAAAAGATCGTAGTCCTGGGTGGTGACTGCTCGCTGCCGAATTTGGGATTATCACCTAAGGACATAGAAACCGTCAAGTCGAAAGTCTCGATTGTCTTCAACGGAGCCGCGACCGTCAGGTTCGACGAGGATCTGAAAAAAGCCGTGTGCATCAATGTACGGGGAACCAGAGAGATCTTTAAGCTCGCTGCTAAAATGCCGCACTTGAAGGTAACGCAACGAAGTATCAATTTTTTGCATCGATCGAGTGATCGATCGATTGAAAAAAAAAAATGATAATAATAAGCGTAATGATGTGATGGATTTTATTATTATAGGCTGTGGTCCATGTATCGACGGCTTACAGTAATTGTCTTCAATCGAAGATCGCTGAAAAGTTGTACGCGTCGCCGATGACAGGTAACGATCTTTTTTACTGTCAATCTGATCCTCTTGATTTCAATGACACTAATGTGTAATGAATTCACGATGTTACAGGGGACGAGCTCATCGAATACGTCCACGCTGCGGACGAGAACAAAATCAATATCAATACGAAAAAGGTGTTGGGTGATTTTCCGAACACCTACGCGTTCACGAAGCAGGTGGCCGAGCAAGTCGTCCAGCAGTACGGCCAAGGATTGCCGTGCGGCATTTTCAGGCCCGCAGTCGGTGAGTCCAACGTTTCAGATTGATTATTGCATAAATAAAATAAAAAATTAACGCAAAAAAATCATTCAGAGAGAATTGAAAATAAGCCTATTACGATCGTCGCTTTAATTCGATTCATTACGATCCCAAGGCCTTCGCGCACTCGTTTTAATTATAGCACTCGCAATCGCTTTCTATTTCCGAGTCTATTTCTGGCTCTCGCACGTGTATATTAATCATTTTGTTCTTTTTTTTTTATATATTCTTTCGTCCATTGTCCGTCCATCTCGCTGTGCAGTCATAAGCTCGTACACGGATCCCGTGCGAGGCTGGGTGGACAACGTGTTCGGCGCCACGGGGGCGATGGTGGGCGGCGGGGCCGGCCTCGTGCGTACCCTCTACGTCGACCCGGAGTGCACCGCCGAGCTGGTACCCGTCGATCTCACCGTCAATGCCCTCATCTCGACCGCCTGGGACGTCGCTCGTTCCAAGTACGTGTTTAGACCGTGCAGTTTGGCTCTGTAAGCTCGAAATTACGTTACCGATTTCATCGATGTGCTTTTGTAGATCGACAGCCGAGCCGAACGTCGAGTATCCAAAGATCTACAATTACGCGTCCACCTGGGACGAGCCGCTGACCTGGGGCAAGTACATGGACTTGGCCTTCAAGTACGGAAACATGAAGCCCAGCAAGAAGGCCTTCTGGTGCTACAGCCTCACCTGTACCAAGTTCTACTGGATGTACTACATACTGAGCTTTTTCCTACACTCCGTGCCCGGCGCGACAGTCGATTTTGCCGCCAAAATATTCTCTCCTCAAAAAATCAAGTAAGTGCGAGGGAAGATGACTCGGGAGAGGTGTCCAAGCGGCTTCCAATAGAATATCTTTTTAATTGCAGATTGATGCGTATCTACAAAAGGATACACAAGTTCGCCGACGTCACGGCCTTCTTCGCCACTCGCAAGTGGGACTTCGACCTCAGCAACACCAAAGCCCTCTGGAGCCGGCTATCCGAGCAGGACAGGCGCATATTCGGATTCTCCATGTACGAGTTCGACTGGGAGGACTACATGAACAATTGCGTCGACGGCATGAGATTGTACATCTTCAAGGAGGGCCCCGAAACGATACCCGATGCCAAAAAGCGCATGGCTAGGTACTTACTAAAATTTCATAAATTTAATTTCATTATTTCATTATTTTTTTATTTATAATATTTGCTTTTAGATTCCAAATGATCCACAACGGCGTGAAGGCAACCTTCTTGAGTGCCCTGACCGCCGCTATCTACTATTTCGTCACCACTAGTGTGATGTTTCAATCGCAGTTGAGTCGCTTCAGGGAGAGCATTAGTATCAGATAGAAAAATGATATATTGATATATCGCAGAAAGGTCGGCGTAGTTAGGATAGTTATGCGTATACGTTTAATGTTTTTCTATTTTATTACATGTCCACAGTAAGGCTGTTTATGCACAAAGCAAATTGCCATAGTATTTAAGTTTTGCTTTTGTTAAGTTGTTAGTGTTTAATTTAAAATAAAATTACAAATTTCCCTTAAGAATAAATGATCTAGGAATAAAGTGATATTCCATGAATATTGTCGAGATATTGAAAAAGAAACGTCGAAAAAATTTATTTTTGCACGAAAGATCGATTTTTCAGTTATAAGAATGATCTAATCAATCTTGTAAGATCAAAATGATAATATTTTTCAGGAGATTGACTAAATGAATAGTTAAAATAATTGTGAATGTTATATGTTACGAACAATGTATATGATGATATGATTAAGAATTTTGTAAAAATTTCCATTAAAATAAACCCAATGAGAACTTTTGAATATAATTCAAAATTGCATAACCTTGTACGTTTATGTCAGAATAAAATTTATCAAAAATACATGAGTTAAATTGAGAATTAGTAAATCATGTAAAATTGATATTGGTGCATTAATTATCGATCGATGACGAAAAGTCATTGTGATGCTATTGAAATTGACTATCTGAAAATCGAAATTAAAAAGTATTGAATTTCGTCTTCAAAACTGTTTGATACGGTTTATATTTATCTACAATTTACGATCACTTTTGGATTATCAATATAAATTAAATATTTATTTTGAATAAATATTTCTCTTAAATTCATCGGACCATTAATATTTTTCAATATCAATGCATTCATGACACCTTAACATGTTTTACACGTCGTCTATATCATTTAATAACTAGAACTGTACACATAATAAATGTTAGAAATTACTGATAATTACTGATAGCAGAACGAACTGTGATTCATTAGTTTGTACTTATTCACAGTCATTCGTGCACTGCACATCAAGCATGACTACATCAATTGTTTATACTAATGATTGTTGAATTCTCAGAATGTTTACTATTGAAAAAAAACACTAATAGGTTTAGAGTGTAGTCAAAAGTTACACTTGATATCACTTGAAAATAATTAGAAGAGTTTTTTCATTGAATGTTCATTCCTCTATTACTTCGGTTTTTATTACTTAAAAAAATAATGCTTTTCAAAGAATTGTAAGCTAACTAAAATGTTATCTACTAGAATTAAAAAGTAATTATTATGTTGATTATTTGAATTCACTCAATAAATCGACATAAATGCCATATATTGACATAAATACTGTATAGGCAAAAAAAATGTTGGTACTTTAAAAGTGTACATTATTCGCGAACTAATTTTGATGTAGACTATATCCATCAATCTTATCTAATACCTATCAGTAGCCGTTGTGCTTATTATTTTATAAAACACTCCTATTGTAATAATTCGCTCTATACGTGTTATCTTATTTTAATTCAATCATTTTTATCTTGTACAAATATATATCAACTTATAATAGATACACAAGTGTCGAGTGTTGGTACGACGATTGCCGAAATCCATTCCTGAAACTACCATCAAATCTCGAGCAGTTATAACAGCATCCGCGCAAAAGCACCATATAGCGGCACATAAACGAGTGCACATTACCTTACTTTTTGTTGTTGTTATAAAATCGCGTCACGTGCTCTGCGCGCACAAAAGAGCAATAGACGAATTTGCGCGTCGCGAAAGAGAGATACGTATATATACGCACGCGGAGAACTTTCACATTATGAAATAATTTCAAACGTCCACGAAAAGGCCGCTGCGCGCTCGCGTCGAGGCGCGGCGGCGTTGGTACGGGTATTTTTTCGCTCTCTTATACATGCCTCGCAAGTCGCATGTGCTCGCGAACGTCATCCTTTATTATAATATCTTCTCCTATGCTGTGTCCGTGTTTTCAGCCGCAATGGGTACATATTATACGTATTGTGCAACTAGATGTGCGCGCGCGAGAGTATACGCGCGAGAATTGGTCCAATGGTGGAACGTACATTACATTATGTAACAAGAAATTGTCATCGTCGTGGATTTTTACGACGATGACCGCCCGAAAAAATGGAAAATTCTATAAAACCGATCGGAAGTCGTTAAATTCCATTATAAATTTCTTTATCGCTGGACGATTAGAGCATCTCGACGTCGAAATTTGATGGTTTTACGAAACTGCAGTGTCTCATATTTTTAATAGATTCTCTTTCGTAAACGCGAGGACAGTTCTTTCGTCGAGTCATCCTAGCTATAGCTTCCCATATTGATTCAGCACAATTTCGATGACGATAGTAATATTAACAACTCGCCATAATGAAAAAAATAAATAAATAAAAAAATCGCAATCCAATGCAATTCATCGATGTGTTCAAACATCTCCAGAATTGAAGACGCGAATATTTGTGTATGCATGTACGTACAACCCGCTAGGAGAGGAGAGGCTCTCCTCCTCGCATGTACGACGTGTGGAAATACGACGTGTCAAGGTTTTGGTCAAACGCACACAGGCCATTGCTATATATTAACGTTTATGTATCTTGAATTATTAATTATTTCATATATATAGCACGCATGTGCGCCTCGGTGGACTCGCGAAGAGCACACATGCGACCGCACTGCTACTGCCACTGCTGCTCTTACAAATGTGTTTTTTAATGAGTTAAAGTAGGTTCTTTAATCGTTTAAAGTAAAATGTAATGATAAATTTTAAAAAATCGTTCGCGGTAAATATAAAGTGAATTTCAGCGTAATTCTATAAATAGGCGCCTTTTGAAATTCGCGATCATCGCGAGCTGCGAGCGAGAGTACAGAGAGGTGCGATCCGAGGAAATTTTGCAGGCTATCTATATTTGTGCTTTTTGTGCAAAAAGGAGACAAAAAAAAGTCGCGCGCGAACGACATTGAAAATAAATTAAAAAATCAATTTACATTCGTGTGAGCCGCGCCGCGATGAGCACAATATCTCCTTACCCTTCGCGCGGCTACCTGCTGCTGCTGCAACAGCGCGACTCTCTTTTGTTAAAAATTATAAACGTAATATAATGAAAGGAGCTTGTATGCGAACGATAAATTCTTAAATGCCACACATACGTCAAAACAAAACAACAATTCAAATATACACACACACGTACATTAAATGAAATATATCCTGCATCAGCGAATTTCACGCGTAATTTTCGTACATTCATTAGTGTACACATATACAACGTACGAGTGTAGGACACCAGCACAGATACATACGTAGATTATAATATAGCGCACACACGCGCGCAGATCGCGGCTCGTGTGCGGCGTTGGCAAATGCAAACACTACCGATTTTTTTTTTCTTACTTCTTCTTTCAAGCTCATCGTGACTCGACCCATGTCAATAACAAATTTCCAGTCGTGAAAAAAAAACGAAAAAAAAAGAAATAAAGAATTATAATGCGTATGGAAAAAAAGAAAAAGAAAAATACGCGTATATCCTAATATTCCGCAGAGCGTCGGAGCTCTTACGTGCGCGCGTCGCGATGATCGGTATCGTCATTAGTCTATCTCTATAGGCTAGATATTAAGAGAATAATATAATATAGGGGGATAGCACACGAGTCGCTCGCACACTTCTCAACACACGTGTGTGAGTGTGCGTCTGTATATGTGTGCGCGAACGCGTGTATACACATTCACGTTTCTCTCCTCGCCGACGCGCACACACGGGGATACATATTCGTATTAATGTGTGTACACACGATTTGCGGCTAAGCCAGGCAGCAGCAGACCAGCAGTAACAGCACCTTCAGTCATTGTGAGCGTGGGCCTTAACAGCGCGAGCGAGCACAACACGCACCTCAGTTCTACTCGAACATTTGTCACTTACGGGCCGGGGCCGCGTCGACGATTCGCGTAAAAGACGGCGAGGACGACGTTTAGTTTTTCTCCAACCATCGGTAGTAGTGTAGTACCGAGAGTGTGTACGTTGATACACATAGATATAGGGAGCGAAGAGAGTAATAAAGTGTGCGCCCAAGAACATTTCGGTTTTTAATTCCTTTTTGTTTTTTCATTGACGAAGAAGAAAATTGGATTTACGAAAAGTGCTTTTTCTTGAAATTGAGTTTTTACGTGTGAAAAATCCAGATAAATTTGTTCGGTGCTTGAGCTGCTGAAGGGTGTTATCAAGATGTATCTCGAAAATGAAAACGCCGCCAATCATGTAAGTACTAAAAAGGTCACATTTCCCGATTTTCACCTCAGTGTGCTTTTTCCAAGATTACAAAGCTTTCAATAAAAAAAAAGTCGAGCTTTTTCATGCAAAGTGGAAAGATGAAATTTGCAGACGCGACGATTGAAAATACATAAAAGCTTTCTTGAATGTGATTACGCTGGTGTCAAAATTAGCTCATTCCTGTATTATATTTTTTCCGGGACTTTCGGCATAACTCGAAATTCCTGCTCCCCGAGATTTGCAACATGTGAAATCGGTGACTGCGTAACGCAATTTTTTTTTTCGAAAAAAAAATTTCGGCACATTCGGAAAGAGAGAATTTTCCTTTTTTACACTCAAAACGTTAAAAATATATTCGTAGCAGATTCTATTCCGGACGAAAACAGGTTTGATCGATTTATACCCAATACCATCTCATAAAATTTCGTCATTTGATTATTCAAAATAACCATCGCGCTCGTCAGGCATAACAAAAATTTGTGTACAGCCGTTATATACGTACTGGCAGCTTTCTTTTCTGCGCGGTGGCTGGATGCCTGTGCTTCACCTCCTCCAGTAAATACGTGAATCTCTCGGGCGATTGTGTATATTATTACGCGTACGAATATTACATACAGATTAAACAGCGGAAGAGAAAGAAAGAAAGAGAGAAAGAGGAAAAAAATCACGTCTACACCCGATTTTCTGCGAGACCAAAAAAGCAGAATGATCCCATTTTAGCCATATAGAACTAGCTGTCGGAAATTGATTCCCATAGAATCCATAAACATGTATATTACATTCAATTCAGCAGGGGGAGAGAGAGAGAGAGAGAGAGAGAGAAATCTCTGCGACGCTCGCGGACACATTCGTCAAATGGCGAGCGTATATATGTGTATGAACGCGTATATTTACACGGCGCGCGGAGGTTACATAAAAAAAAGGCAAGGAGAGAGAGAAAGAGGAGAAAGAGAAAGATAGATTTGTGAATTTTACGCGAAAAATTATGTATCCATTCGTAATTTGTTTAATAATAGAAGAGATGTAAGAGAAAAAAAAACGAGCCAGGAAATTAAGAAAATTATCTGATCTCCATTCGGGGCGTTACGAAATTTTTATACTTGTAGCTCAATACATACGTGTGTTAAACATCTTTCTTATCACGCGAACTATACGATTATCTACTTTTCGATGATTACACACGGTCCTCCATAATTAACAGTATAAGCCGTGCGCGACACAAGCGTCGAATCTAACGGGCAAATATAGTAGTACTGATAAAGAGAAAAAAAAGCGACACGCGGAGCTACTATAAGTTTGAAAAATGTACAAATTTGGACGTTTCAACGCGTGATAGATTTGCTACTAGTCTTTGTTAGCGTCGCGCGATATCTCGAGACCCGCGTCGTCCCATCCATTTCTCTGAAATTTCTATTTTCTAACTGTATTATGTGTGTATAATCAAATTAGAATCGACAAAGCCTCTGTCTCGTCTGGTCGCGTCTGTATCGATTTAGCAACAAACGAGAAATGATTTAATCGCTTTATGCATAGACAATGTAACACCAGTGGCAGCTAAGCGTCATCGTCGTCTCTGGAAATAAATATGCATAACAAAAAAAAAAAATAGAATGAGTCTGACACGCGCCAATGCTAAGAACTCATCCTCTAAGCTGGCTGCAGTTTTAGGCGGCTACACCGCAGGTGCGAACGTCGATCATGCATCATAGGTTTGGCCATAGAAAGCACACATGTGAAGCGTGACGTAATTCTGAAATTATTTCACTGCAGCTTCGTCGCTATAGCCTCGGTGCGCGTTATTCACTTACAATCTCCATCCCTCCTCGAGAGAAGAACGACTCGAGTCGTGCATTGTCATTTGTTTTCGTATCGATTAAAGCTCGAGTTTCGAGATCGCTTCTATACACGAAGCCACTAATAGTCACTAATAGTATGCGCAGTCGCGAATTCGAGTACAAAAACGTACGAGCTAAGATGAGCGCGAAAAAGTTTTCTCTCGAGCTCGTGCTCGATGATAAGATAGACGGAAGATAATCGCGCGTCTGAAAAATCATAAACTAGAGTCGATGACGACCGATGCATATCGCTGATAACAGCGCCGCGCGCGAGATATCGCGACGAAAGTTAGTTGACCCATTAAAATAGATTCGGAATCTATTCGCTTAGGTATATCCCATGATAGTGTCGTACGATTTTGCAGAGCCCAAATTATAAAAAAGGAGAAGAAAAAAATAAGCATGTAATATCGTATATCGCGTTCATTAGGTTAATCTCGTGATAATACTCGAGCATAGATCAGCTGTTATTACGACGAAAGCCGATCCGAAACACATTCGGTAACCATGTAATACTCGAGCTTCGTAATATACATTTAGCAGAGCGAGAGAGAGAGAGGGGCATACATTACAAGTAAATAAATGATAGGAAATGTTTATGTTTTCCATTTCCTTGGCTATGTAGCTCGGCCGCGTGTCTGCGGCCTGCGCGAGAGCCGATCATCTATGGCAGAGAGAGAGAGAGAGAGAGAGAGAGATGGAAAGAGAAAAAATTGCACAACACCAGAGCGAGAGAGACGTAATGACACTCTTCGGAGCGGTATTAATACAAGGAAACTTTCTTTCATTTCTTTCGCGCGCTCCCTCTACTCCGGCGTCGTGTGCATGCGCGTATTATTTTTTGATGCGGGATCAGCCGCGCGGCAATGTGCAACTGCATCGTAACGCGCCGCCGCCGCGTGCACGTGATTATCGCCGAGATTTTCGATGTATCGGTGTCACGATGGTCACGTACACCACGCGCACATCGTATTCCACCATACGCATAATTTGTTTCGAGCTTCAAAAGGTACTCGATCAACTCGCCAACCTGGTTTATATTTAGCCAAGACATAATTAAAAAAAAAAAAAAGTTGTAACATCTCGTGGACGATTTTCCAGAATTTCGTGTTGTGTATTACGTGTACATACTACACGCGCGCGTTATACTTTTTTGGCGCAAATGACATTTATAAAAAGAGGTTCTATATATAGGACCGCGGCTTTTAATAAATCGAAGCATCTTTCGCCGGTTCATAGTATTAATACACGCCCTTCGGGGACTCCAATTGGACAATTATTCGATACACTCGTAACTGTAAAACGGAGGAATCCGTAAAAGCTCGCTCTGTCTCGCGTGTATAACTGTTAAAAGAAGAGGCGATCTTTCACTGATCGCGCCCGTCAATTATACAAGCCATTATTAAGATCGGCGTCCTTGACACTAAGATTATACGCGGACACACATACACGCCCGTTCGCGAGTGTACGTAATTACGTACTCGCAATGGTTGTGTACAGTTTTTTTATAGGTATAATACAATCGCGTCTCATCTTCGTTTTTTTTTCCTCTCATTTTTTCTCTTCTGCTGCTGCTGCTGCTGCTGCTTCGCAGCTGTGTGTATCGCGTCGCGCAAGTTCGATGAACTCAAACACGCGCGCGAGCTCACCGTATTATGTAGACGCGCGACGAAATAAGGAAAAAAGGAATTAAAAATCTGCGCCTTTCGCTTCAACGATCGCTTGGTAATGGTTACATCCGCGCGAGAGTATAAGCAACTCGGAGTAATCTATTATTGCTTACGCGAGACGTTATAGAGAGGAACGTGAATTCTATTTTACGCGTGTCTTTATTATGACGCGAAGCTATTTGCCACTGTAATATGCATGATAAAAAAATGAAGAAGGAAAAAAAATGTGCCCTACCGCGAGAAGATTGATTCTCTCTGTACGATCGTAGCACATAGTATCAAAAATTGCGCGACTCTCTGCGTTTGCGGTTTTACGGAGCGCGAGAGAGAGAGATGAGTGAAATTTCGCGAGTCACGATGTATCTGCGAAGACGCACGACGACGACGCGAGAGACAGAGAAAGTGTCATCGGTTACGTATATACGAAAAGCTGCAGGAAACATCCGCGCTCGCAGAGATTCATTATGTATGTACGTATATGTACGCACAATTAAACTCGTATATAGAGAAATAGGCTTTGATGTAATAATCAATCGAGAGCGCGTCGTAAATAGGAAGCTCGAGAATCGGTAAAAATCGGTTATAACCGAGCCTATGGAGAAAAAGCAAATTGCGTCGCTATGTAATCATCATATTATAAATCGCCTAACATAATATTATAAATGTGCGCGAGCTTCGAAGGACGCGGACATGCTCGTGCGTGCACGCATTTAATACATGTTATTCGCAGTGCGTACGACTTTTTTTTTTTTCTTCATCTTCTTTTTCCATCAACATATTATGTGCGTCTTAGGCTGCTGTGAACCACAAAATATGACGTCATTTAGCGCGCGCACGTGCGTCTTCGACCGAGAGAAAAAAATTAGCACTGATCCCGAGGCTTTAATATCGCCTTTTTTTTGGTGAATTTTTGACTTTTTCGTCGAGTCATTCTGAGGTAGCATAGATTTTTGATTTCGGTATAATTTATTCATTTCTTGCCGATCGGTAGAAGGCGTCACATTCGATTATCTTTTTGAATTTAAAACGGCCCTTATTGAAAAATTATAGATGGTAAGCTCATCGCTGCTGTGTATCATGAGCTTGCACTTTATCATCATAAATTTATGCATCTCAATTGTTAATATGCTCTTTGTGTGTGCGTTGCAGGAAGAGGAGCCCGCCGTGGCGACCAGCGCGTACTCTACCTCGCCGTCTCGGACGTGCCAGAACGAGAACAACAACTATCGGTCCAACTGCGGCCAGACCGCAGCCGAGATGAGCGACGCCAAAACGCCGCTGCAGACGTTTTACGCGGGACAAACCGTGTTCCTGACGGGTACGTGTGCGACCATGACGTTAATGCGATACGAGGAGGATGCGCATATTATGCGGTGCCTGACGATCTTTTCCGACGTCACCCTCGTCGTTCCTCTTAATTTTAAATGAAAAAATTTACTAATCAAAATGTATGTGACGCACAGGTGGAACCGGCTTTCTCGGCAAGGTCCTCGTAGAAAAGCTCCTGAGAAGCTGCCCAGATGTAAAACGCATCTACATACTCGTGAGGGACAAGAGGGATGTCAGCGTAAAGGATAGAATGGCCAAATACTTCGACGATGCCGTAAGTCCACGCATTTTTTCTGTATTATACATATGTCACTGAGACTGTACGCGTGTACTGGTCCGCTTTTCCTTTTTCCGACGCGCGATTATGAGAGATACACATTATATATAATGTTTCACGTATTTCTCGGAAAAACAGCTGCGCGTGCGCGAAAAGAAAAAGGATCGATTTCGTAATTTTCGACTCACAGCGTACTAACAATCGTTTACCTTTTTTTACTTTATGGCGATTGTAATTTTGCGCGCGTTAAAGGTCGAGTCTCACTATATATCGACGAGAAAAATCGTGGAAACTTGACTTTGCTGTGCGGACACACACGCTGAAACTTGTTCGGCCTTTTTGTTCTATTGAAATTGTCTTGGAAACTGAACATATTTACATCGTCGTCTAGTCGCGCGGTTTTTTTTCTTATGCATAATCTTGTTCTATTATTTATCAACCTTATATTTGTTGAACGAGACAGTGATGTCATTTTCAACGACACGTTATATATACGCGCGCATATTATGAGCGCGCGGTCGCAACATAATATTTTTCCAATCACGTGTGAGTACGGTTTTTTTCTGGTCGAAAACTTGAAAAAAAATAAAAATAACAAGACGCCGCCGTCTAAGAATTGAAAGACGCCAAAATTGCAATAAACACGATTGTCACGTTTATAATACATGTATCTCTCACACACATACAGGTCTTCGATCGTCTCAAGAAGGAAATACCATTAGCCAAATTTCAACACAAACTCGCGGCCGTCGCGGGCGATTGCTGCTACGATGGCCTGGGACTTTCTACCTCCGATCGAGAGCTGCTGAAGCGCGAGGTAAGTGCTTTATTTATAAAAATAAAAAAAATTCGGCGCTTTATATGCGCGTACATGATACATATAAATTTTTTCTCCTCGTGACCTAGCCCCGATGATGCAACAGTGAATTTCATGTATTGAGTAACACACGTGCCAATCGGTGAATTCAAACGATTTTTTTTCTTCCTTTTTTTATTTCGTTTTAATGTGGTCCTCCTATCTTTCCACTATTCTTTTTCAATAACACGGCTCGGTTCACGTGTCTCTAAATGACGCACGTGTTCGGAATAAAGTCAAAAGAATAAATAATGAAAAAAACAAAACAAAATAAATAAAAGCCATACGCGCGACTATCGAGCGCGACGTAATACACGAAAATAATCTTGTATCTATTACACGGCGCTTCTTCGTGCTGCATCATCGTCGACGCGTTGACACATGCAGTTAAATTAAAATAGTACGGAGAAATATCTATTATAATTTCGCCGCGTCGTTGTTCGCAGGTATCGATCGTCTTCCACGTTGCCGCCACCGTGAAATTCGACGAGAAGCTGAAGCTCGCCGCGGCCATCAACACTCAGAGCACCGCCGACATGCTCGAGCTGTGCAAAGAGATGAACAACTTAAAGGTAATGTATTTTGTATACTATATAATATAGAAATAGATTTCTGATTTGTTTAAACGCGCCTCGTGACTTATCTAATCGGTGCGTATGAACGATTCGTCGTCGTCTTATACCTACCACGAGTTTAACGAGCCGACTCGAACGATCGGCAGTAATATACACAGCCGCACGCGATCGATAAGGTCTATTGTTGAAAATTACGCAAATTATACGTGCCGATTTGCCAATTTCATTCGAGCGAGGCCACTGCCACCTGCTGCTGTCTAATTTCAATCGTGGTTATAATTTCGTTACGCAAAAATGAAAAGAAAGAGAGAGAGAGAAAAATAAAGCGTATCCAAGCGTGCGGGCTTACTAAACGGAATGGCAAGGTCGCCTCCGTGTTGCGGCGATAAAAGAGAAAATCTCGGGACGATTGGCAAGGCACCCTTTTTGGCTCGTGCCGATGGACAATGAAAGAAAAAAACCAAAACAAAACGAAGCGCCGTATCGTGCGTAGCCTTGAGTCTAAGAGAGAGAGAGTGTCATCATCCGATCGGCTATATTCGGGATCTATTCGCGGTGGCGAAATTCTCTATACGCGCGCAAGGTGAAAATCGAATTTCAGCTCGTCCTTGTGCTCGTCTTCTACATACCCACTTATTACGCGCGCTACGCGAAATGCATTTAAAAGTATCTCTTTCTCTCTCGAGAGAGAGAGACCGGCGAGAATGAAATTAATGTAATCGGTTCTGTTTTTTTTCGTTATTGCAGTCTTTCATGTACGTATCGACGGCCTACTCCAACTGCCATTCCCACGACATCAACGAGAGATTCTACGAGAATCCGCTGGGCGCCGACGCCGTGTTGGCCATCGCTCAGAACATGCCCGAAGAATTGCTCGACGTCATCAGTCCACAGTGAGTTTCGTCGTTGACAAGATGAATTGAAAAATCGACGAGTTCATTTACTAAACCTTTTTCTTTGATTTATAGATTGATCGCCCCATGGCCCAACACCTACACCTTCACCAAGGCACTGTCGGAGGATCTGCTCCGAAGAAAGAACCAGAGACTGCCAATGGGCATCTTCAGACCTGGTATTGGTATGTACAAAAAAAACTTTTAATTGTAACAATTATTTTATCGATCCGGAGAATTTGTGGGAGTAAATCGATCGTCCACATCCGAGGAAGTACAATAAACTCGCGGAAACACCAGCGATACAGCCAACTCGCGATTTTCGCGCTTGTTTTACGCATTGTTTTACGTATTGCAATAATATACAGTTCGCGACGTGTAATAGTATTCGAAAACAATTGACGATGCGCCTCTGAGTCCACGATTGTTTATGCAAATGGCTCATCATCGATAGATATTAAGCCTCGTCATCGTTGCGCGTGTCAGCTTGATGAATAAACGAGAGTAAACTGAAAAAAAACCCAACCCAATAAAATTTTTGTCGTACCTTCCACAGTCATCTCCACGGCCAAGGAGCCCATGCCCGGCTGGATCGACAATTATTACGGGCCCACGGGCATCGCCGCCGGTGTCGCCTCGGGCCTGCTGCGCACCATGCACTGCGACCCTGCGGCCAACGCCAACATCGTGCCCGTCGACTTCACGGTGAACGCGCTGCTCGCCGCCGCCTGGGACGTCGCCATGCAGAACGACCGCAGAGACGACGAGATGCTGATCTACAACTTCATCTCGACCAACGACGCGCCCATCACCTGGCAAGACTTCCGCAGGACCAATCTCAAGTTCGCCAACGACTATCCGCTGAGCAAGGCCATCTGGTATCAGTCCTTCAGCATGAATCCCAATCGGCTCTGGCACAACGTCAGCAAGGTGCTGTTCCACTGGGTGCCCGCCTACATGTACGACGGCCTGGCCCTGCTCACCGGCCAGGAGCCCAAGATGCGCGCCATGTACGAGAAGGTCCACAAGATGTCCGACGTCGTCTCGTACTTCAGCACGCGCGAGTGGAACTTCGCCAACGACAACGTCCACGCCATGTGGAAGCGCCTCGACGAGGCCGACCGCGAGCTCTTCGGCTTCGACATGAAGAACTTCGACTGGCGGACGTACTTCAGCACCTACATCAAGGGCATACGCGTGTACCTGCTCAAGGACGGTCTGGAGACGCTGCCCGCCTGCAAGAGGAAGCTCATGATGTTCTATCTGGGCCACATGCTGCTCAGGCTTCTGCTCACCTCCGCGGGCGCATACGCCGCTTTCAAAGCCTACATGCTGGCCACGAGATGAATCGATAGTTGATTTTTTTTTTCAATTTTTTTCCCCCATTCATCGCATTAATGTTTTTTTTTAACAATACCTCCCTCTCTCCGACGAACGTGACGGACTTTGAATTTATTTTTTATCGATGAAATTTGTTATACGTTGATCCATTGAGAAAGGAAATATAGAGCGAGAGAGGCGCTGCGTCGAGCCGAAAGAAACGTCTGAACTTATAGTGCCCAGATAATAACACCCGATAGGCAGTAATATGGTTCTTTTAACTTTTTAATTGTTAATTTTAATTTTTGGTTCGGAAGTGTGTGTGGCAGCTATCATAACAAGGGGGCAAAGAGTCGCATAAGCTTTGGGTAAATTCGAGCCGTTGAAACAGGAATGCAAGCACTCGACGACGATCTTTGCATCGTTCAAACCATCGATGAAAATTGTTGTATGCTAATCCATTTAGATAAGAACGAGTGCAAAACTGTGCCGAGCCATATACAATTACTAATTATCGTGCCCAGGTTACATGGCTGTTTTAACTTTTTTTTTTTTAGATAACTTCATTATAAAAAAAAACTTGATACATGCAACAATTATCCATTTTTTTCAAGTGGAATTTTATCAACATTCGGTCGACTGGTTCCAGGCTAGTTTTAAAGATTTTGAATGTAGAATTTATATTTTTTTCTCGGCGTCGATTTCCGTAAGCCTGGAATCAGCTGGACACAGGCAAGTTCATACGCCTGTGGCCAGAAAAAGCCGCAGATCTAGTTTTAAAGTATAAAATATAAATGCGAGGTCCATTTAATTCATAAGATATTTTATATGCAAGAATTAATATAAAATAGCTTAAACATTTTTTTTTATTAATTTAAGAATTCACTAAAATCTTTTAACGTTAGAAGTAAGAACCTGTTTTTTATTTCACGCTTTTTCCATACTTTTTTTTAATGTAAGCGCTGGTATTGAAGCATTTCGTTACTGGTGCCTAAGAAATGTCTAAGATATTAATTGATTAGCTATTTTAATCATGAAAAAAAAGGAATTATTTGCTTTGCCATTTTTATGGCGAACTTCGGTGGTATTAAACTACGAGCAGTAGATTTACGAAATGTTTCTTTTAAATTTTATGAAGCATCGTACCGAGGAATCGCATTTGCAATGTATAGATGCACTAAATAAACACAAACTCTGATTCTCATGATAGTTACGCGCCATTTCCCCGTGTATTTTGTGTATTTATTTATTGTCGACACGATTCTCCCGTAGATTCTCTTAGACTTCTAAGAATGGGATCGATTTTTACATCGAACTTGAAAAAAATTTTGTTAAAGAATGTAAATACGATTATATTAATAATGCAACATAGAGTATACTTTACGATACTTATATGACTATATATCAAATGTACTCAATTAGATTTCAAAAATTGATATCGCAAAAATAATGTAAATTCGCATTATACTACATTTGTCAATACTCTATTATATATTGAAAAAACTTTATAGATCTTGTAAGTATGCAATATATTTTAAATTATAGTTTTAATAAAAATGTAAAAATGTTAATTTTTTTTTTACTCGTAAATTATTTTTTCTATTCAAATTATTTTGTTAATTGATAAGCATAATGTTCAAAGAAATAATAATCATTCATGAATTAGCCCAAGTTAAGAAATCAAAATATTATGATTGTCTCGGAGCATTGAAGTCCCCATTTATAGCTCGTGTTTGAAAAGTAAGCAACAGTTCTCCCGAATGATCAGCGATTATAAATCATTCGAGAGACATCAGTATATAAAATCGAGTCGAGTTAGCGCGACTTCAATCAAATCCTAACCCATTTACTCAACAATATTGTCAATTAATTTTCAATCCACTGTTACAATGATACTTGCGGAAGATATTTGGACCGGCAAGTGGTTTTGGTTTTACATAATTTCTGGCATTGCCAATCTGATTTTTCAAATTGGCTTATTTATTAAAAATAATATGATGGAACCAGATGCGCCGCAAAATTCCTCGTTACCTATTGATAACGCTACCGTAAGTCAGGATCTATTGAAGGAGCTTTGACAGAAGACGAGCTTCGATAGACTTCACGACGAAATGCGTCGAACGAAAATATACCCTCTTGTAAAAAGGTTTGTCGCTATACATTTTAATAATATCACGTCATTGCTTTACTTATATATGAGTCATTTCACGTCAAGTCTCCTAGCGCGGAGCCCGCGCGGCATTATTAATCGAAATTGCTCAATTTGTAACTCGCCAGAAAAGCACCTAAATGCACCCAGAAAAAATATGTGCCATATGATTTTGATAGGAAATCTCCTCAGCTTTCCGATGATGAGGTCAGATTTTCAAAAATTTTCCATTTTCCCCGGAAAAACTTAACACAAACTTTCAAACTCAAATATCTCAAAAACGGCATTTTTAAGATTTTTTTAAATAGTTCCAATCGAAAGCTGAGGAAATTTCCTATCGATATGCAAGTTTTCAGAGAGTACTTTTGATAATTACTCAATGAAATACAGCGACGAACGTGTAAAAACGTGAGATTTTGCGCCGCGCGGGGTACTGCGCGCGGGAACAGCTGCCGCACGGGCCGAAATGTCACGTTTTTATACGTTCGTCGCTGTATTTCATTGAGTAATTATCAAAAGTACTCTTTGAAAACTTGCATATCGATAGGAAATTTCCTCAGCTTTCGATTGGCACTATTTAAAAAAATCTTAAAAATGCCGTTTTTGAGAAATTTGAGTTTTAAAGTTTATCTCAAGTTTTTCCGGGGAAAATGGAAAATTTTGGAAAATCTGACCTCATCATCGGAAAGCTGAGAAAATTTCCTATCAAAATCATATGGCACATATTTTTTCTGGGTGCATTTAGGTGCTTTTCTGGCGAGTTACAAATTGAACAATTTCGATTAATAATGCCGCGCGGGCGCCGCGCTAGGAGACTTGACGTGAAATGACTCATATATTCGACACAAGTGAAAATTTTTTATACGAAAAAAAAATTACTCCCGAATTTTGTTCAACAAAGAATACGAATCAATACTTTTTTCTGTAAATGCTGTTAGTACTTATGTGGATAAGGCATAGATCAAAGTTTACTTTTTTGAACTGAATTTATTCCGTTAAAATAATCTTCGCGAGCAACATTACAGTAATTATAGCTTTCGATGACATTAATTGTGGATTCTTTTTGATGACCATACTTCGATGGTGAGTTGAGTTAAATTGAGTATTTTTTTTTGTAAGCACTGGCGATTCTATGAACTTCGGACTTTAATTTGGCTGATAAAAGTAACTATGCAAGAACATGTTGTAAAATATACTCTAGTTTAAAATTCTTTTTTCAACATTATAATAATACAGAAAACTAAAATTTCGTGGAGACTTTTCATGTACTGAATTTCGCTTGTTTCTCGATTATTCCCGTAAGGGAAAAGGATTTCGAGACCGTTAAAATAAAATTAATTAAATAAAGAAATATATAATGAGGAACATTTTAATTGTAGAAGGAAGTCTTTGTTCTATTCAAAAATAGTTTCTCAATCGATTTGAATATTGCTCAAAGCAGAAATAATAATTTTACAAATTAAGTCAAGTTATGAATGAGGGCTCATTTCAAAATATTATGATTTCCTCGCCGCGTTAAATTTCAGTCTAAAGTCCATGTATAGCCAATGTTTGAAAAATAAGTAACAGTTCGCCAGAATAATTATCAATCGTAAACCATTGGAAAGACATCATCAGTAGAGAAAATCGAGTCGAGCTCGCGCGACCTTAATCAAAACCTAACCCATTTACTCGACAATAAATCGATTTACAATCCTCCAAAAATGTGTCTCGCAATTATGGTTTACATAATCACTGGCATTTGCGATCTGATTTATCAGATTCTCATGATAATCTTACTCTCTGTTCTGGCCGTGATCGCACAGATCTTCCTTGGGATAACGAGTCTTATGGGGATAGATTCGCCGCCAAATCCCACGACACCGCCACCTGCATTTACCTCGACTATGTATCCGGAACCATACGACGACGACGACGACGGCGAAGACGATGACAACGACGACAACGACAAAAATGACGCCAAGCTCTGACAGACTTCACGACGAAATACGTCGAACGAAAAGTTACAACGAAGGTGTGCCGTTGTAGCATTTTAATTAATCACCAAGAAAGCGAGAGAATATAATTTTTATTTGTACTTTTTTTGTTCAAACATCATGTCACTGATGTTTGTTTGACGTTTTTAACTGTAAATAAAATATATCATATTGAGTGCGAATGATAGTGCTACATCACTGTAACAATGAATAGTTTTTGTAACATTTCAAATATTCAATACAGAATTTTATTTCTTTGTTAAAAGCTTTACACTTGCATTTTTGTGTTTAGCATTAGTTTTTTTCGAATAAAAATAGTTAAAAAATAAAGTCATAAATACAAATGCACATATTGATAAAAACGTGTCTTACTTTGTTACACAAGGACGGATTTGTTATACAATGGACGGACTTTGATTTTTCTAAAAAAAAAGTAGCAACAAGAACATATCATACTACAAACTAATATCTTGTTGTTTTGGGATTACGATTTTTCTATTCTGAGATTCTTTTTTCAATATTATAATAATACAATACTCTCATATGTAGATTAAACAAAAAAGAATCCATTTTAAAAAGTTATAAAATATTATACTTTTGATAATCTAGAGTATTACTAACATACTGTTCCAAGCACTTCTAAAAAATTTTTTGAAAGAATCTTTAGACTTTTCGTAAAATGATTTTTTTGAATCTTAAGCTCAAGATGTATAAGAAATATACATTATTAATATGGGTCAAAATAATACTTTTTTACAAAACCGTGCGCACGTATGTCACCGATCTTGACGCGCTTTTGGTATGTTATAGTACATGGTAAAAAGGTCCCAAAAAAAAATTTTTAGACCCCCTCCCCCCTCCTACCCCCCACTTCCGGTATAAACGTCCATTTTCGATCTATATTTTTTCTGAGGACNATGGTCCCAAAAATTCTAATAAAATTTGGGGACATTTCTGACATCGGGAACAGCAAGTTTTTCATATTTGCAGAAAAAAAATTTTTTTGGCCATTCGATTTCACAGAGAATCGGCCAAATATAAATAGAAAATGAAAGTTTATAGGGGACGAAGTCGAAAACTTGTTGGTGTTAGGACTTTTTGACTATTTATTATAACATACCAAAAGCGCGTCCAGATCGATGGCATAAGTGCGCATGGTTTTGTAAAAAAGTATTATTTTGGACCCATATTTATTTGAATGAATGAAGTATATTTTTGCATAAAAAAAATGTTATATTCGAGCAAGTAAGTATTTGTTTGAAGAAATTATCGTAAATGCCACAATAGATTCCATTGAAACAATTACTTAATTCTGCAATTCAATGAAATATTTAGTTGCGTGAATTAGATAAATATTTTTATACCAGCGGCCCGAAAGTGACTACTTCCCTGCCGGTACGCAAAGCAGGAAGAGCGATTTTCGGGCCACTGTGTATGAAAAATAATGTACAGGCCTATGCCGCGAAAAAAGTAAGCCCCAGAGCACGTATTTATAATCGGCCTCGGCTTCGTCTCGGCCACTTATTACACGTACTCTGGGACATTTCTGTTTTTGCGGCCTAGGGCAGTAATATACTATTTTAAACAACATCCCTCTCTCTCCAACGAACATGACGGACTTTGAATTTATTTTTTATCGATCAAAATTGTTATACGTTGATCCATTGAGAAAGGAAATATAGAGCGGGAGAAGCACTGCGTCGAGCTGAAAGAAACGTCTGAACTTAGTGCCCAGATAATAACACCCGATAGGCAGTAATATGGTTCTTTTAACTTTTTAATTGTTAATTTTAATTTCTTTGGTTCGGAAGTGTGCGTGGCAGCTATCGAAACAGGGGGGCAAAGAGTCTCGCATAAGCTTTGGTAAATTTGAGCCGTCGAAACAGAAATGCAGGCACTCGACGACGATCTTTGCATCGTTAAAACCATCGATGAAAATTGTTGTATGCTAATCCATTGAGATAAGAACGAGTGCAAAACTGTGCCGAGCCATATACAATTACTAACTATCGTACCCAGGTTACATGGCTGTTTTAACTTTTTTTTTTAGATAACTTCATTATAAAAAAAAACTTGATACATGCAACAATTATCCATTTTTTTCAAGTGGAATTTTATCAACATTCGGTCGACTGGTTCCAGGCTAGTTTTAAAGATTTTGAATGTAGAATTTATATTTTTTTCTCGGCGTCGATTTCCGTAAGCCTGGAATCAGCTGGACACAGTCAAGTTCATACATACGCCTGTGGCCAGAAAAAGCCGCAGATCTAGTTTTAAAGTATAAAATATAAATGCGAGGTCCATTTAATTCATAAGATATTTTATATGCAAGAATTAATATAAAATAGCTTAAACATTTTTTTTTATTAATTTAAGAATTCACTAAAATCTTTTAACGTTAGAAGTAAGAACTTGTTTTTTATTTCACGCTTTTTCCATACTTTTTTTTTAATGTAAGCAGCTGCTATTGAAGCATTTCGATACTGGTGCCTTAGAAATGTCTAAGATATTAATTGATTAGCTATTTTAATCATGAAAAAAAAAGAATTATTTGCTTTGCCATTTTTATGGCGAACTTCGGTGGTATTAAACTACGAGCAGTAGATTTACGAAATGTTTCTTTTAAATTTTATGAAGCATCGTACCGAGGAATCGCATTTGCAATGTATAGATGCACTAAATAAACACAAACTCTGATTCTCACGATAGTTAGGCCCCATTTCCCCGTGTATTTTGTGTATTTATTTATTGTCGACACGATTCTCCCGTAGATTCTCTTAGACTTCTAAGAATGGGATCGATTTTTACATCAAACTTGAAAAAAATTTTGTTAAAGAATGTAAATACGATTATATTAATAATGCAACATAGAGTAAACTTTACGATACTTATATGACTATATATCAAATGTACTCAATTAGATTTCAAAAATTGATATCGCAAAAATAATTTAAATTCGCATTATACTACATTTGTCAATACTCTATTATATATTGAAAAAACGTTATAGATCTCGTAAGAATGCAATATATTTTAAATTATAGCTTTAATAAAAATGTTAAAATGTCAATTTCATTTTTACTCGTGAATTTTTTTTTCTATTCAAATTATTACTTAATTGATAAACATATGGTTCAAGGGAATAATAATTAAACCGAGGAATCGCATTGGTAAAATGTAGGCACACGAAAAAAAAACATAGTCACTGATTCACCTTTTTATACACATTTATTCAATGGCGAAATGGTTCTTTTAGACTTATAAGAATGGGATAGATTTTTACATAGCACTTCAAGAAAATTTTGTCATAGTATGTAAATATTATCAAACAAAAAAGCAACATAGAGTAAACTTTATGATTCTTATATGACTATACGTCAAATATTACTGTAATAAATTCGATTTTAAAAATTAATATCGCAAAAATAATGCAAATTTGCATTATATATTTACATTCGTCAATGCTATATTTTAAATCGAAGAAAATTTAGAAATCACAAAAAATGATATGTGTTTTCAATCATTGTCAAAATATAGATTATAAATTTCTAATTAGCGTCAAGCTTAAGACTAAAGCTACATCATTAAATTAGCTACATAGTTTATACTATTATTTACAGGTTCTTACTAAAATTGGATACAATTGTACCCATTTTTTAACCATGCTGACCACGGCGGCTTGTCGAAAATCATCTGGGAATTTTAAATTATTGGCAAGATATAAATAATCTTTGTAGTCTAACTCTATGTTTTCCGGATCCGATTGCTGCATAATGCTATATAGGGATACGCTGGGTCGTATCATGTATTTTTTGGCAATGTTTCTAATTTCTTCTTTTTTCTTTATCGCTTGGTAAAGATTCATTTGGCGCATATTGAAAACGTGCAACTTTTGAAATAATTTCATGACTGTGTAGTAGTCTCTTAAACTAACTTTGTAATTGAATTTTTTTAAACTTTCTAGAACGCCAATACTTCCACACACGACTTGAATTGCTTGCAGCTTCAAAGTTTCATGTTCATCTGTTTGAAATCTGTGTGTTAGTGCAGTGGAAAATTGGAATACCTTTAATTTAGCGTCATGGCGCCGAAGCGTTTCTACTGTCCTTGGCATTAGATTCTCTATAGCCCAATGTAGACTCGTTCGCCCGCTTTCGTCGATTGCATTCACATCAATTTGTTTTTGGTAACGAGAGCAAAGTTGAAAGAAGAAATCGACAAGAGTTTCTTCGTCTTCCTCGTCATTGTAATTTTTTGCTTGACAAATCATGTGTAACGGACTTGAGCCATCCTTGTTGACAGAATTTACATCAGCTCCTTTAGCGACAAGAATCATTGCTATTCCTCTTTGTTCGGTTTTCAAAGCCAAATGAATCGGTCGATTTCCTACTTTGTCTCGTGTATCGATTTTTAATGATTTTTTGTACTGGTTTTCACTTAGTACTAATTGTAACAATTCTGTATCGTCGGGGGAATGCAGCGAGATAATATGTACAATTGTATGCTCTTCATTATTTCGTAAGCTCGGATCAGCTCCGAGAGACAGCAACAGTTTCGTTATTATTAAACAATCGAGCATGCATGCCAAATGCAATGCAGTATTGCTGTGCCTGTCTGGCTCATTTATAAAATTTACAGGCATCTCCATAACATTCATAATACACTTTAGAATTTCATCATTGTCTTCTGATGTTTTGCTTATAATGTGTAAAATGGTTTCTCCTTCATTGTTTTTAATGTGAATTAAACTTTTTTTTTTCAGTAAAAAATTTACCATTTCTTTGTCTTGTCGAATAACAGAAAGCATCAAAGCTGTTCTCCCATCTTTAGTTCTTGCATTTATATGTATTTCTCTTTTTTGCCTTTCCATAATGTCGAAAAATGTTAACAAGATATCATACTTTTCATTTTCACAAACATAGTGCAATATATTGAAACCGGCATTATCGGTCCTATGCGGATCCGCGCCGTTAATCAATAGTATCTCAAAAACGTTCATATGTTTTGTTTTTAAACTCAGAGCTAATAGTGAATCACCTGTTTCTGGATAAATGGAGTTGACATCTTGCCCAAGTGCAATGAATTTGAACACTTCATCCTCCAAGCCAAATTTGCATGCGATAATAAAATGTGTGAGACCGGACTTGTTGATGTAATTGTCGAATCTTCGATAAATTCTAAATAGCTCTCGGGCTACTTCGCGTTTGTTATGCTCAGCTGCGAGATGAATTGGTGTTGTCTTCAATAATATAGCATCACCATTTTCGTTAAATTCAGGCTCATCTTCATAAACACAGTCCACAAAAAAGTTTATAATTACAGTAATATCATAATTTGTATTACTCGTGATGATCTGTTTGACCAAATGAAAAAGAATTTTATCGATCGATTTTTTTTGGAATGTACTTTTCAAGTTTGGAACAGATTTTAAATTGGACTTTGCCAAAAGGTAAAAACGATCAATAAATTCTGCCACTTTACTCGGAGATTTCCATTGCAACTTATTGAATAAATCTACTACTTCTTCGATCGATGATTCCATATCGCTCAAGTGAAAATTTAAAAGAAATACTAAACGTGTATACAGACGACACAAAGACACGAAAACTCAACGACCGATCGTATGACTAGACTGAATATTCATTCTACATGACTCTTCGTACTAAGCTCAGTTATAAACAAATCAATCCCCCTCTCCATTTATCCTAGATCGAAAACATATTATTCGAGAGACACACATACATTCGATCGTCGACGTTAACGTACGCTCCGAAAGGTGTGAAAAATTGAAATCGTCTTATCGGAGCTATGTGACGAGATTGGAAATTAAGCCGGATACATGGCTGTGAGCTCATATTTTTTAAACTCAATCGAGCGATGATTGGTTCTATGGAACAAATGATACAAATTACAATTGTTTTGCGCTCGGCTGTATGCAGATGTATACTTGTGAATGAACGAAAATTTCGTCGACTTAAAAAGAAACTGGTGAAATGATTAGCATTGATAATGTTCCAATTACAAAAAAAGGACGATTTGAAACTTTTTAAAGTACAGGATCATAATTGGCTTGCTTTTGTTGATTTTTCTGTTACAATTATATTAAAATTATCAAATGCATTGAAAGAACTTTAAAATGAAAATTTAAATTTTTCGACTAATTTAGACTAGTTTTTAAGTACTTTAATTACGCTCATGCTACTTGAAGTCTCCACCGTTAGATTGCGAGTACCTTTAGCTGTAAATCTACAAGTGATAAAGTAAAAATGATTGTATATATTTGCCACTACTTATGAGTAAAAACACGGTGAAAAAATCTATTAAAAAAACATTTTTATAAAATGTCATGAACAACAATACACTTTGTCGGATGCCGTGATGAAAAACACACCACATTGAAACGCTGTGAAGAAAAACACATCTCATCGAATCACGATGTAACGATCCTGTCAAAAATATCTTGATTTTTCTAAGAGGTGTGTTTTTCTTCTGAGCGCGTTTTTTCACAGCGTTTCAATAAGGTGTGTTTTTCTTCACGACATCCGATGAGATGTGTTTTTTTTTCACAGTATTTCGTTTAGGTGAGTCTTCACTCATACGCAGCAGCGAATATATTTTATGTATATGGATTGTAATATTTTATGTAAGTTTTTACAATATTGAACATAAATCGCACAGGTATTTGCCAAGACAATTTCGGCTTTTGCCGGTAGCAGATGAAGGGTTTCTGTTTAGTTCGGTTGAAGATTATTCAGAAAGTCAACCACACCATTGCGTGGCAGCGACCATGGATAGTGTCGGAAAATTTTGGTATGATAATCACACGACAAAAAAAAACGTTTGTGATATCTGTCCGAAGGCATTTAAACAAAAATCAAGTTTGATAACACACCGAGACACAATTTACAATAATCAGAAAGATTACGCATGCAACAAGTGCAAAAAGAAATTTGAGTTCAGAAGTCGTTTGAGTAGGTACCAAATATCAGAACACAAAAGTCGCAAAGATTTTTCTTTTTTCATAATTTTTTTAATGTAAACCTTAATATTGAAGCATTTCGTTACTCGTGCCTATGAGATACTTAAGATGTTTATTGATTAGCTATATTTTAATAATAAAAAGATGGACAATTATTTGATTTGTCATTTTTATGGTGAACTTGAGTGGCATTAAAATCAAGCAGTAGATTTACGAAATGTTTCTTTTAAATGTTATAAAGCATCATACCGAGGAATCGCATTTGCTATATATAGATGCACAAAATAAACACAGTATCTGATTCTCTTGTTAGTTACTCGCCATTTCCCAGTATTTTGTGTATTTATTTATTGTCGACACGATTCTCCCGTAGATTCTCTTAGACTTTTGAGAATGGGATCGATTTTTACATCGAACTTGAAAAAAATTTTGTTAAAGAATTTAAATACGATTATATAACTAATACAACATAGAGTAAACGATACTTATAAGACTATATATAAGGGCAGAGCGAAAAAACCCTTTAGTCGCCGAACGATTTCTAATAGCAATAGAACTTTAGTATAACTCAAAAAAAAGAGAAAAGCCGCGAGGTAGGCGCATACAAATGATATCTTCAGTTAGTGCATGCAGCTCGAAGTTTGAATTTCGTAAAAACAATATAATCATGCTTCAGAAATAAATCACAGCAAAATCTCTCGGCGTCGAATAGACCGATCGGGCTGAAAGTTTCAAGGCTTGTTTTACATGTAAACACGAGTTTCTCTGTAAAATTTTAGCCCTCTAGGTGCCTTAGAAACAAAGATATAGTCATAGGAAGGTTGAAAAACGACGTTACATTAATTTTTTTTGTGCTATTTCTATTTTTGTAAACCTGTACGTTGCGTAATTTTGCTGCTATTGAGACGAGCGAGTAACCAATTTTTTCGTCTTTTAAAGACGTTTTCAACCGTATAAGTTTGTATGGGGGTTTTTAAATTTTTATTGAAGTTGCAATATAAAACGTCTAAACTTTTGTATCGCGATCGAAACTACAATTTGTTATTATTTTTTCGGTTTGTTAAGAGTTAGACATGCTAGACAAACTTGTACCCCAATGATAGTATATGGTCTTAAAGAGCATAGAATTACCTTCAATTTGGTGTATGTAAAAAGTTTCTAAGTCCTCCAGAACCGAAGATACAGCTGTTTGATTATATTGTTTTTACGAAATTCAAACTTCGAGCTTCATGCGCTAACTGAAGATATCATTTGCATGCGCCTACCTCGCGGCTTTTCTCTTTTTTTGAGTTATACTAACGTTCTATTGCTATTAGAAAGCGTTCGGCGTCAAAAGGGGTTTTTCGCTCCGCCCTACTATACATCAAATGCACTCAATTAGATTTCAAAAATTGATATCGCAAAAATAATGTAAATTCGCATTATACTACATTTGTCAATACTCTATTATATATTGAAAAAACTTTACAGATCTTGTAAGAACGCAATATATTTTAAATTATAGTTTTAATAAAAATGTAAAAATGTTAATTTCTTTTTTACTCGTAAATTATTTTTTCTATTCAAATTATTTTGTTAATTGATAAGCATAATGTTCAAAGAAAAAATAATCATTCATAAATTAGCCCAAGTTAAGAAATCAAAATATTATTATTGTCTCGGAGCATTGAAGTCCCCATTTATAGCTCGTGTTTGAAAAGTAAGCAACAGTTCGCCCGAATGATTTAACGATTATAAATCATTCGAGACACATCAGTATAGAAAATCGAGTCGAGTTAGCGCGACTTCAATCAAAACCTAACCCATTTACTCAACAATATTGTCAATTAATTTTCAATCCACTGTTACAATGATACTTGCGGAAGATATTTGGACCGGCAAGTGGTTTTGGTTTTACATAGTTTCTGGCATTGCCAATCTGATTTTTCAAATTGGCTTATTTATTAAAAATAATATGATGGAACCAGATGCGCCGCAAAATTCCTCGTTACCTATTGATAACGCTACCGTAAGTCAGGATCTATTGAAGGAGCTTTGACAGAAGACGAGCTTCGATAGACTTCACGACGAAATGCGTCGAACGAAAATATACCCTCTTGTAAAAAGGTTTGTCGCTATACATTTTAATAATATCACGTCATTGCTTTACTTATACATATTCGACACAAGTGACAATTTTTTCTACGAAAAAAAAATTACTCCCGAATTTTGTTCAACAAAGAATACGAATCAATACTTTTTTCTGTAAATGCTGTTAGTACTTATGTGGATAAGGCATAGGTCAAAGTTTACTTTTTTGAATTGAATTTATTCCGTTAAAATAATCTTCGCGAGCAACATTACAGTAATTATAGTTTTCGATGGCATTAATTGTGGATTCTTTTTGATTATCATACTTGGGAGATCTACTGGTGAGTTGAGTTAAATTGAGTATTTTTTTTTTATAAGCACTGGCGATTCTATGAACTTCGGACTTTAATTTGGCAGATAAAAGTAACTATGCAAGAACATGTTGTAAAATATACTCTAGTTTGAAATTCTTTTTTCAACATTATAATAATACATAAAACTAAAATTTCGTGGAGACTTGTCATGTACTGAATTTCGCTTGTTTCTCGATTATTCCCGCAAGAGAAAAGGATTTCGAGACCGTTAAAATAAAATTAATTAAATAAAGAAATATATAATGAGGAACATTTTAATGGTAGAAGAAAGTCTTTGTTCTATTCAAAAATAGTTTCTCAATCGATTTGAATATTGCTCAAAGCAGTAATAATAATTTTACAAATTAACTCAAGCTATAAATGAGGGCTCATTTCAAAATATTATGATTTCCTCGCCGCGTTAAATTTCAGTCTAAAGTCCATGTATAGCCAATGTTTGAAAAATAAGTAACAGTTCGCCAGAATAATTATCAATCGTAAACCATTGGAAAGACATCATCAGTAGAGAAAATCGAGTCGAGCTCGCGCGACCTTAATCAAAACCTAACCCATTTACTCGACAATAAATCGATTTACAATCCTCCAAAAATGTGTCTCGCAATTATGGTTTACATAATCACTGGCATTTGCGATCTGATTTATCAGATTCTCATGATAATCTTACTCTCTGTTCTGGCCGTGATCGCACAGATCTTCCTTGGGATAACGAGTCTTATGGGGATAGATTCGCCGCCAAATCCCACGACACCGCCACCTGCATTTACCTCGACTATGTATCCGGAACCATACGACGACGACGACGACGGCGAAGACGATGACAACGACGACAACGACAAAAATGACGCCAAGCTCTGACAGACTTCACGACGAAATACGTCGAACGAAAAGTTACAACGAAGGTGTGCCGTTGTAGCATTTTAATTAATCACCAAGAAAGCGAGAGAATATAATTTTTATTTGTACTTTTTTTGTTCAAACATCATGTCACTGATGTTTGTTTGACGTTTTTAACTGTAAATAAAATATATCATATTGAGTGCGAATGATAGTGCTACATCACTGTAACAATGAATAGTTTTTGTAACATTTCAAATATTCAATACAGAATTTTATTTCTTTGTTAAAAGCTTTACACTTGCATTTTTGTGTTTAGCATTAGTTTTTTTCGAATAAAAATAGTTAAAAAATAAAGTCATAAATACAAATGCACATATTGATAAAAACGTGTCTTACTTTGTTACACAAGGACGGATTTGTTATACAATGGACGGACTTTGATTTTTCTAAAAAAAAAGTAGCAACAAGAACATATCATACTACAAACTAATATCTTGTTGTTTTGGGATTACGATTTTTCTATTCTGAGATTCTTTTTTCAATATTATAATAATACAATACTCTCATATGTAGATTAAACAAAAAAGAATCCATTTTAAAAAGTTATAAAATATTATACTTTTGATAATCTAGAGTATTACTAACATACTGTTCCAAGCACTTCTAAAAAATTTTTTGAAAGAATCTTTAGACTTTTCGTAAAATGATTTTTTTGAATCTTAAGCTCAAGATGTATAAGAAATATACATTATTAATATATAAAGTAAAAACGATCGTGTACGATTTTTTAAAACGTATCTTAAAAGTCGATGATATAATATCATAGCATTGCTTCAAGAGCATAATGTAAATAAAATTACTATTTCACAGTCATTCAATAGTTAATATTCATTGGACGGAAACTTTTGTAACTCTCGCACGCACACATGTGTATAACGATAGGCACTAGTGGTAAAATATAAAATGAATCAGTCTCAACATGAAAAACTGATTCTGGTGATAAAAAGCAGATGATTAGCTTTTCAGGCAAGCTGCTAGTTTATCGTTAATGTGTTGCATGATTTAGTACGTCTAAATACTATGTAGATAATTCCTTTTTGTACTAAACTATAAAACAAGGCGTTTCGTAATGTACTCGCTCATTTGAGTACAATAATTGTGCTTGCTCCATTATGTTTGAGAAATTGAACACACACATTGAAGATGTAGTTTTGGAAGATTCCTGATTTAGGTAATCAGTTTACGGGCATCGTTGAAACTGTACTGTGCGGTGTAGTAGGTCTCGATCCCGCTATAGAGTGTGTCGTTGAAGCATTCAGAGATTGCATTGTGCCAATCTAAAAGTAATAATAAGAAATCGTTTAAATTATCAGTTCCTTTCAAGTTGCATTGATTTAATAAATTTAATTCAAAAGTATACTCACTCTAAGATGGGCTAAATCTTCTAATTTAGTTAAATCACTCAATTCGAGGAATAGTGACCATACAATTAAAAATCCGTATAAATTCATCAATGTGAAAATAATCCAAAGAAGACAAATGATAATGTTGTAGGAAAAAATCATATCATTGACAATGCTAAAGAACAGGAATGCTACTACTCTAACAATTGTGAAAATTCCAAAAACCCAAAGCCATGGAATCATTTTATTCTCGTGTTCTTTTCTTAATCCGCTTATAAGGTAAATCGATGTTACGAACACCGCCATTGCGATTAACATAGAAAACATTGCAAACATAATCAAGGCATTCCGAACTGTAAATTCAATAAATTTTTTAATTAATTACATGTTTTAATTTCTCCAACCTTACTTTATATTTTCTGAATTTAATAAATCAAACTTACCATGCATGTTCCCAATGTATACAAATTCATACGATATTATATAGTATCCATAATGTATAGCTCCTGGCGTTGTTTGTGAATAACAATATATATCAAATATTGCAGTAGAAATTGTGAATAGAGACAATACCTAAAAAAAAAATTGAAATAATCTTATCAAACTGTTGCCTTAGTTTTTGAACGATTCAAAGATATATTTTATAACTCACTAATGAATAGATGGCTGTAAACATGGCTCCTTTTTGTATATCCATGATGATTGCATGAGTCAGTAATCTTCTTTGGTACCATGGTATTCTGACACTTTTGACTGATCTAGATGATCTCAAATTTGCACTACTTCTCGATGTAACATGTGAATACACCGATGGTGTACCCATACTGGGTGATTTTTTCCCGTAATTCAAGGATGCCATCTGTAAAATACAGTATTCGTTTCACAATTCATGAAAACTGCATAGCAGCAAAGCTGCACTGGCCAGTCGAGTAACATGCAACAAGATTATTCATTCCAAGCAAGCAAGCCATACAATTAGTAAACAGTGCAGGTTTTATGTAAATAAATAAGACTCAACTCTGATAAAAGTAATCTAATCCGAGTACGCTAAGCACATGGAAACGTAGCGGTAAGTAAAATTATGCTCGCGGCCTATCTCGCTCGATGCAAGTATACAAAATAAAGAATTACTTTGACGTTTCTAATCACAACTGAAGTGTGTCATCCGCAAGACAACACCCACCAGACGCTGCTGCGCGCTCGCTCGCTCGCACGCAAGCACGCACATGCATGCACTCTCGCTCTCGCTCGTAAACGAGTGTATAAAGTTTTGACGAAAAACTCATACGCGAACTCGATACAACGCGAATGAAGCTACCGTAGCAGCAAATCGTGACTCACCGTAACGAGGATGAAACGTCAATTTCGCGATGCACCCAACGCAAACACTGGCGTCGCTTCGATGGATGGATCACACTTCACAGGAGATATATAACAACAATCGGACGCTGTTGCAGTTCGCTACTACTACTGCTGTGCATCGAACAACGAGACACACCTTGAGATCGCCATGGACTATAATACTCACTCGCACCTCTTGCAATGTTACACTATACAGCACACATAAGCTCGATATAGTAGCGTAGTATACTTTGGAGTCCACCTTGCGTGTATATACACACACGATTACTACGATATATAGGTATAGTTTCGCGCTACAGGAATTGCACGGTGATTTCGCGGGCTAACCGTGGAGTGGCGCTGTGATTATGAAAAAAGTGTCGCGAACGGCTTCTTTAACGGATTTTTTTTAAACGTTTCAGCGGTACGACACGCGGTGCGGATCCCGATCGCTTAATCGATGACTTCTTTAGTAAAATAATTATCGCATTTTTTAAATCAAGCCCAAGATTCGAGTATGCAAATGTCAGTCAACTCCGTCACACGCGATGCTTTCGTGCGGACAAAACCACCTGCAGAAACGCGCAGCTGCTCGCGTCTCTGACAGCGTCACAACACCTTGTACCGAGAACGGAGAACGGCTTCGCAGCAGACGTTGTTTACAATGAATACACAGTGGCAGGCGCACCGATCTCGTATACAACAGCAGCGGCGAAAGCGAACTCCGATGCTGTGCTGCGGCGCGCGGCTGAAAACCTGCCATTCACGCGTGGCAACGTGGACGCGTTTTGCGGAACGTTGACTGCTGCTGATTGGCGCTGTATATATATCCCAGTGTATACGTAAACAATCTTCCAAATACCGCCTGCTGCGAGTAGAAGCAGATGTTCAAGCCAGTATTAATCGATTACAGCCGTGGCAGTGGTACATAGCGTTTTTTACGGTGCACAAAAATGTCGGTGAGCAAGACGTCGATTTTCCGCTCCAGCACGGCGAAGCTGCTCTTCTGCACCCTGGGCATATTCGTCTGTTATTCCTACTATGCCATCGTGCACGAGAGAATAACGCGAAGACAGTACGTCGACGGGCCCAACACGGAGAAGTTCACGTACATGATATCGCTGGTGTTCGTGTCATGCGTCGTCAATTGTTTATTCGCCAAAGCACTCCTCATGACAGTCATGAAGCAGGGTGAGGACACCACCACCGTCAAGTATTATGCCACATGCTCGTTGACTTACATGCTCGCCATGACCTGCAGCAACATGGCCCTGCAATTTGTTAATTATCCGACTCAGGTCGTTGGCAAAGCCGGTAAACCCATTCCTGTCATGATACTCGGTGTCTTACTTGGTGGCAAGGTGAGTTTTAAGCGTTCCATATTGTTGTAACATTTTACTACTAGTAAGTCTTCAAAACTTATTTGATTGATCTTAATGTTTCAGTCCTACCCTCTGAAGAAATATGTATTTGTATCGATGGTAGTATTGGGTGTTGTAATGTTCATGTACAAAGATAATGTACCAAGTAAACAGCTTGAGAATGAAGGATTTGGTCAAATTCTACTTATTTTATCGCTCATAATGGATGGTCTCACTAGTGCTGTACAAGATAGAATGCGAGCCAATCACAAGACTAAATCGGGACACATGATGTTGAACATGAACTTGTGGTCAGTCGGTTTCAGTGGAGTTGTCATGCTGTTTACTGGGGAAATTGTGAGCTTTATTTCATTTTTACAAAGACATCCATCTGCTCTACAACATATTGCAACATTCACTGTATGCGGTGCTCTGGGACAATATTTCATTTTCTTGACTGTGTCAGAATTTGGACCATTAGCTTGTTCTATAGCTACAACAACCAGAAAATGTTTTACTGTACTAGCTTCTGTTTTATTCTTTGGTAATTCAATGCTTCCAAGACAGTGGATGGCAACATTTATTGTATTCTTTGGACTATTTCTGGATGGTTTGTACGGTAAATCGCCAGCAAAAGTTCTTAAGAAAGAAGTATCCAAGTAATGGATTAGGAAACTTAAAAAAATTTAGATAAATTTTTTAAAATGAAATTAAAAGTGCAACTGTGACCTATATTCCCTGTACATTTCAAGAATAACTTTTTGTTGACCAAAGCAAATGTATATTACCAATGGTCATCAGTTGCCTCATTACAAAGACTTTGTTCTGATTTACATTACGAAAAACAAAAAATATTATTTATAGATACTTTTCTACTTCTTAGGCTAAATAACAAGTTGAATTGTATAGAGTTAGGCAGTATTGCATAATATGTTATTTTATTACTGAATGAGTATGTTGATGTAAATGATTTTATAGTATATTCTTTATTTATATATTTGAATGAACGAATGAATGAAGAATCTGTCTTTATACAGACATTCATGCACAATCAAGCGAGAAATTGAAATGTATTTTCAAACGAATGAATCCAGATTCATCAAAGATGTTTTTGGTATACATTCACGATAAAGTGATTTTTTTTATCGAATTTAGCGTAGACATCACAAACACACAAAAAACTGTAAACTTTGTCCAAAAATTTAGTGCAATTGTTTTGATAAAAATATATATTTATTAAAATTTATCAAAAAAGTACTTAATAATCAAACGTCTCGTTACTTCAACAGTGTCATCTTGATTTCATCGTGTGTTAGCCGAATCAATCTCTCTCTTCATGCCTACCTTATCGGCCAAGCGAATTCGTCGCCCAATTAGTGAACATGTTTGTTACTTAGTTAGTCGAGGGGTACACTTACATAGATATACATATCTGGGTGGTAGGCAGTCGTAGTTCGGGCTTGATAAAATTATCATACAGATTGGCCCGCGCTTGCGACTCGACCCTCCGCAGGCACAGTGCCAATAATGACATATCCAACACGTTGTCGTCGGTTGATGCAGTTGGAAAGTCCTTCTAAACTGGGGCTATTGATAGTTCGACTGTATATAGTTATAATTATAACGAAGAGCTCTTCCCCATTGATCGACTTTTGCGCAGGATAAAACTTTTCAATTTGATCGGATCAACATTATTGAAAATTAATTCGGCGGCACGAAATCGCACGATGGATGCGAGAATGCCGAAAGATGTTATATAGGCGCGCAGAGTTCAATGTATGGGTCGCGCGAGGTCAATGAATTTCGGCGCATTTCTTTTTCTTGCAATCAAATTATTTTTATTATTATTATTATTAATTACGTTTTAATAAAACGAATATTATGCACAGTCTAAACGTAATATAAAAAAAAAAGAAACAGTAACAAACTGATCACACCTTAAATAAAAAATTCGAATGACATTTATGTAAGTATAATAGAGGATAATAATTTACACGAAATGATGCATTTTCGTAATTACATCGAGTACGTCGAATCTCCGCTGACGCCGCATTGCGACATCGTTAAAAGTATTTAAGGAATATATAGAAAAATATTTGGCTTGGACCTATATGTACATTTTGATATACACACACAATTTCTTGGGTAAAATATTTATAATGAAGCACGACCGAATTATAATATTAGTCGAGGCTTCAGTTACTAGCTATTTCTATTATAATGTTTCTTTCGTCATTTTTTTTTTGGATTTCATCACTTTGTAAATCACAGCTACGAACGAATTAATTATTAATCACTATATAATTTTAAAACATAGTCCCATGTACTCGTCATAAATACTCCAATTGCTCTCATCATCAGGCAAATATAGCAGCAGCAGTAAAATTCATTTCCCTTCCTATTTAGTGATTGCAGGTCGGCTTCGTGGCTACGAAGAAGACGTTGAGTTCGATGAGCGACGCGAACACGAGGAAGACCGAGTACATGCAGAGGCAGATGATGCCCACCTTGCGATCGAGCTTGAAGCGATTGCAGCCGAGGGCCAGGTAGAGCAGCACGAGGGTCGACATGAGCGAGATCGAGCTGTAAATGAGGCCGTCGGAGTTGATCTGGACGAAGTGCTCGCCGGCCCGGGTCGGGAAGAAGCAGGACTTGATGAACCAGGGCAGACCGAGGCAGAGAAGGACGTCGAAGACGTTCGAGCCGATCGAGTTGCTGATGCCCATGTTGCCTTGGCCTGAAAGCGTTAACATCGTTTCGTTTATCGTATTGTACATAATTTTTTTTTTCTCGTTTGAATAATAGAAACGAGAGATTTTCTCTCGGCTCAGCTCACCTTGATTCGTCACAATGACACTGGACACGGCCTCGGGCACGCTCATACCGGCCGCGAGGAAAGTCAGACCCATAACCGAGTCGGGAATCATTAGCGTGTCGCCTGTACATTAAAATAAAAAATTATCAGAGAGTTGGAGAATTGTGTGAAATCTCGGAAGGCGATTGCAGAAATACGCGAGGCTTTACCGATTATCGTGATGTCCCAGCCGACAACGTAGGACATGAGGGCGATCCAGACGACGCACATGAGGAAGGTCAGGGGATAGTAGTTTTTGAGCGAGGGCCTGCGGCAGTCCGGAATGGTGATCAGTAGCACGGCGTTGATCGGGTAGGTAAATATCCACCAGCACTTCTCCCAGAAGCCGTCGTTGGGCCAGCTAGTCATGTTGACGATTTCGGCTGCGTAGCGTGAATAATCGTTCATCGATTAGAGAATAATTTACAAGTAATTATCATTTCAAATGTATTCGTGTACTCACAATCGTCACCGCTGCTGGTCAAACTCTCGAGGTCGACGGCCGCGAGGCTGCTGCACTCGCCGCCGTTCTGATAGCCCTTGGACTTGGACGTCTGGAAGAGCTCGCTGCAGTCCTTCGTCGTCATGAAGGACTCGTGAAGCTTGGACTTGCCGATCAGCGGCGTGTCCTCGCCCAGGTTGCGGTAACGCCTGCGGCGCTTCGTCACAAAGAGATTCAGGTAGGCGCTTATGCGCTCGTTGAAGCACATGGCTGAAAGCCGACGATACAAAGGGCAAGAGAATTAATGTCTTTCGTAAGTGATGATACTCCGGTAGAAATGCTTAACATTAGTAATGTCTCAGTGATCAAAAAATGAACATTTAAAATGTTTTGACATTATCATTGATTGGCTTGTTTTTGACGATTTTTCTGTTAAAATTGTGTAACAAATATCGAAGGCATTTTAAATGGCCAAAAAATGTTTATTATTCGTTTCAAACAATTTAGACGACTTTAAATACGATAGTACAACTTCATGCCTCTACCACTAGATGGCGAGTATCTTTATTTGTAAATCTGCAAGTGGCAAAGTGAAAGTAAATATATAAGTATAAGGAAGTTTTTCAATGAAAATTGAAATTTTCATTGTAATATCATAAGTAAAAAATTTAAATTATTGATTTTTATAATTCAATTGTAGAAAATAAAAAGTGACTATTAAAATTGTATTTAAATAATAATTTGTACTAATATTATTAAATTAAAATATGGTCAATAAATAGCAAAAAAAATTTGGAGCATTATATGTTCATAAAATATTGAGAAAACGTTCTTTTTTGGTTTAAAAAAAAATCAATACAAGCTCTAATCTTGCCCGTGTACGTTCGAAAAACTCTCTGGTCAACCAAAACTAGTCATTAAACGTTGAGTAGATCAAAGTATATCGTCATAGGTAAAATGTATTATAATTCGGACGTCATATATAGGAGCTTTAATAGAGTCGATGATCTCGATAGCATATTATACGTGACGCAAATCGGATTCTTTATCGCGCGCGCCGCATCTTCGAAGCCGGGCGTGCGCGTCAATCGCGATCAATTATCATTAGTATACTATATGGCTTAAATACATCGTTATATAGACTCACCCAAAATATACAAAATGTAGAATAATACGAGTACGAAGGCTTCGTACCACTCGATACGACTGTCATGTAGGGTGATTATGAGTAGGATGACGGTGACGCCGTAGGCGAGCGAGTCGCGGGTCACGGGCCACCAGTCCAGATCTAGGACCTGCTGGGCGAACAGGCCGCAGCAGGCCGGCACCGCGAGTATGTTGAACACGGCCGAGCCGACAATCGTGCCGACGCCGAGGTCGCCCTCCGTCACGAAAGTCCCGACAATGTTGATGAACAGCTCCGGCGACGACGAGGCGGCCGCCATGAAGGTCGCGCCCGCGACATCCTGCGACACGCCGAGCTCTGCGACGAATCGAAATAATAGTTATGATTATGAGCAATTGGTGAAAAAAAATAAATTCGAGTGAAAAAAAAACTCACTGGCGACGATCCTCGTGATCGACGGCACGAAGAAGTCATCGCAGACGATGGCCAGCAGGAGGAACGAGTAGATGGCGATCACCACATGGATCAGGATGAATCCATGCTGGCGCTGCGAGCGAGTCAGCCCATCGGCGGGAAACTCCTTGATGGACGGGGGCGTGCAGTTGCTTTTGGGGTAGGGAGGCGCCTGCTGCAGCGGCTTGACCTCCTCTACGGCCAAAGTTTCGTTCTCGACGCCGACCTCCTCTACGAATTGCAGGAGTTTCCTCGACGATTCTGCAATTATTATTTATTTTTTAATTTTCGAATTCGACCTTATGGAGCATTATATATATTATAACGATCGTCGCGTTGTTACAAGTGCATCAAGGTCGCGCCAGCCGAGCAATTATTTATTCGCTTTATCTACTCGCGCGCTGGGCAGTGCTTTTTACGATCGATTAAAAAAAATTCAATTATTTAGAGTAAAGTTCAAATAGAGTAAAATGATATTCAGCACATATTTGTGCGCTATGATTCTTTTTTTTTGCAATCCCATCGTCACTTTTTCTCTGACTCATTTATATAAGATCGATTAAAAATACATACGGCCACTTCGCACGTAACTTATCGAATTCACGTCGTCGTCGATAACGCATCTAATCGTGTAAGAAAATAGACGTACACAGGCACCTGCGTCGATCACTGCCGACGACGACGACGACACTGCGATTTATTTACTTTTTTTTCTCTTTATTTTCCATTGCGCATCGACGAAAACAAGGCAAATACCAGAAGGTCTTGCTTTCCATCGACGGAATTTTATCGTTTCGGTCTTCTTCTTCTTTTTCATTTTATTCGTTAATTGTTTAATCGGAGATGTACATCTCGGATACACACAGCCTCGAGAGCGCGACCCAAAATTGTTGCAAATACACAAAAATTATCGGCATCGTCGCGATTTATCTTCGCAATTGGTTTAAAAAAATTCATTTTTTTTAAGTGTGTTTTGTAATTTTTATCATACGTGAGATATTTTTTTAATAGCCTTGATTATTTCTGCCAAAGTACTTCAAGTCCAAAAATACTTGGGTACTCCGTGCGTCAGTCATACTCGAAGCGGTTTCTCATAATACATCGTTCGCGGAATACCTCGATACATTTTAGACGTGCTCGAGCTTTTAATCGATCGAATTAATCCAAGTTGTACCGTTACTCTCTGAAATTAAATTTTCTAATCAAGCTTATATCCGATGAAACTTACGAAGAGTCGGAGCATCGAAGGAGGAAAATGACGAGGCAGAGTCTTGTGGTGACAGAAAGGCGCCAGCCTTGGCCGCTTGAGCCGCGTAGCCCGCTAGGCTCGTGAACAGACAGTAGAGGGTCGGTATCGCCAGTGCCAGGGCCAACCTTAGAGCGATGCTGCTGCCGCGTCTCCTTCTGGCCATAGCCGGCCAACCACCAGTCCACATCGACTTTTGCCTGTCTCGAGGGTGCTGTCGGTTGCTTCTTCCTTGAAGCTGATTGCTCGCAGCGACGAAAGGTATCATTCAACGACGAACGGAATGAACGAGGATGAAAATTCGATATCGTTGACGACGACGAAAATGTGTTACACGATCGATGCGAAGAGAAAGACGAGATGCTTCAGAGCGTGCGTTCGAGTATAAAGAAGTTATACTTGGTTGAGCTTCTTCTTCTCCTCTATCGATATTCGGTAATTAAGAACGTCGCCGGACGACGTCCCGCTTGGAACTGCGATCGAAAGATCGCTCGAGGGATGTCGCGGCATATTTAAGGGCGATCGGCTCGCGGGTTCCACGGCGCTTCTCTCTCTCTCTCTCTCTCTCTATCAATTTCTTGTGTGCGGCGCGTCGAGGAACGTCGTCGCTCGTTGATACGCATGTGTGTATGCGCGCGAATCGAATTTTATAAAGATAAGATTAAGTGAGCTAGGCGGCCAATTGCTGCTGCTGCTTTACGAATTGTTGTAGAGCATAATACAGGTGGGATAAGTGTTAAACGATTGACCACTGCCGTCGTGCGTAATCGCGAGGAAAGTTTTCAGCGCCCGTCCAAATAATTAGAATATTATCGCGTCGGCGCCCGGAGTGTGTCTCGATCTTAAAACGATATATAGTATAGATGCAAGATGATTATGCATCGCGGGCAATCTTATACGGCCTGGGATTCCTTTATTTTTTTAATTTAAGCAACAAAAATGCGGTGATTCATATGTGTAACTTTTTTGTTGTTTTTAATATCCAATAAACTGGACGAAACTGGATATCCGTGTTTTCTTCGATTATCTTGTGTCAATTTCGATTGTAGTTTCAAGAAACTGAACTACATACACACGATCTCCATCCTAAACCGTGTCAAACATAACAATTAATGAGCTCTCATAACAACGTCGATTCGACCTTTTACTTGACAGGTATAACTATAACATCGTTATAATGATATTACCGTCTCGTGAACAGCGACTGCAGCAGCAGCAGCAGCGGCTTTTAACGCATCAATCTTGGACAATACGTCTTGTGCACTGGAAGGAAGATCATAATTCACGCAGTTTATGTGTATCACCGAGTTCTCGGTACCATGTACTCGTGTGCTTCCGGGGGCCGCGGCGACTATATATACACGATTTGCATGTTACGTACCCTCTATTACTACGGCATGCGCGAGTGCAAACGTGTATATGATGTATGCCTTATGCACCGGACAGAGACACGCACACACACAGAGCGCGGCTTATGTGTACCGAAAAAAATCGCCCGAATCGTATATACGAACGCTCACGAAAATAAACATCGTGTTTACCCGAGAAAAAACGTTGTAGTACGCTGCTGCGAGCAAGTTTCATGATGCATATTTATTGTGTGTGTCGCGCGCGCGCGCCATCGAGAAGAGAGACAGAGCAATTGTGGATTGTCCGGAGCACGCGGAGCGTAAATTTTTAATTTTGCACGGAATATAATTCGAGACGGATTTTTTACGCTGCTTTTAATAATTGAGAAATAATAAAAAAGAGGTCGATGGCGAGCAATTTAAACAAACTTCCTTCAAAATTTACAATGCACGCCTTGGCGATCGCTTATTTTTTTTGAGAGAGATCGATTTGTCTTAAAAAAAATCCATCAAATCTTATCGTCCAAACGTGTGTGCAGATGATTTGTTCCGATGGCAAAATTCATTATCAATCGTACTGAATTTGTTTAGCAAATTTGAGTACCTTACAATGTATCATCGCTCATCTATCTGTTAAATTAATCAAATTCTCTCTCGCAGCTAAATAACACTCTGTTGCATCACTGATCGTTGACTCCACTTTTTTTTTTATTTAGTCTCAATGCACCACAATCGTTGTAATCGTGTTTACGAGCTTTAATTGTATCATCGTCGCGATGTGGACGACGACCTATTGCGCGCGTAACTTTTGCGGTAAACAATTCACAAGATGTAGGTACACCACTCGAATTATAATTTTAAATGAAAGCTTGATATTCGCTTGAAAAAGTATCGCCGAAACTTCTGCTCGGAAACGTAAATTGTTAATGAAGCCCCGAGAGCAGCTCTCGCGAGATATGATACATCGCGCGCGCGCAAATTTTTGGGTCGCATACATCCGTTTTATTCTGATTATTCGAGCAGTTCGCGCGATGCTGAGCTCGACCTTCCTGTCGCGTGCCCGAAAAATAAAATCAAAAATTGTAATTTCTCGACAAATAAAACGTGGCTGCACATGACTCCGCAGAATATATTCTAGCTGCGAAGAAAAAATGGAGAAAAAAAAACGAAAACAAAAAATACAAATTTTCCGGGACCAAAAGCGTACACGTATATATCGCGAATATAGGTGCAAAGTACATACCAAGTGCATGACGTGACGTCTGCGCTCGTGCTGCGTCGAGAAGCTAACGGCCCATGAGAGCACACACGTATACATACATATACAGAGAGACATATAAGCGGCACAGCTTGCAAAGTGCGCGCCCGTAGGTACCACAGATACGCACACGTATATATTATTTCTCTGTATGTATAAATGTACAATACACGTATTCGGTATGTATAAAGAGAGCCGAGTAGGAGTTGAAGCGAGCAAAGAGCAAAATTACGCGAGCGAGCGAGAGAGATGTTGATGCTGTGCGTGTGTCTGTGCCGTGCGAGCGCATACATCGACACACGTATAAAACATAATGCAGTAAGCCACATAGAAAGAGAGAGAGAGAGAGAGAGAGCCCGGTGACACAATGAGAGAGAAACAGAGACAGAGTGGCAGAGCTGGTCGGTACAGGCCGAGGGTCGCGAGGAAGGGGCCTGGCCTGGAACGATCGGAGCGATTCTCTAACAAACGATGTCCGACTTCTCGTAGGTTGTGTTGTTTAACGTAGTATGTGTGCGACAACGGGATTGACAGCATGGATTCGACGTCCAACCTAGGAGGAGGTTGGTCTCTGTTTCTCTCAACAAAACTCACCTTTCCGTATCGCTCGTGGCTTCTCTGCTTCGGCTTTTCATTTCTTTCATTTTTTATTTCAAACAACAAAGATAACAACAACAACATCAACATCCACGACAAAAACGAAAAATGTTCTTTTCAATTACATATCTGGCTTGTGCTCTTATCATAAACATTACCCGCAATCGAGTTTAATACTCGGCTCGAGACGAGACAATATATATACAAAAGAGAAGTAGAAAAAGAAGAAAAAAAAGTGCATCCACTCTGGCTTCTATTAATCCTTAACGACTCGGCAGCAGCAGCAGCAGCAGCCGCGGCTCGAGGCGAAGCTTTCGGAGCTTACTTTCAGCGACAGTAGCAGCAGCTTTATATACTTTTAAAATGCTTTGCCCCATCTCTTTCACTCTCGCAAAGTCACATTCATTCTCTCTCTCTCTCACTCGCCATTTTCCTCTTCCTTCTTATTGTTCTATTCAAGTCTAGTTTACCTTGTAATTACGGGCTTGCAGCGAGAGAGAGAGAGAGAGAGCACCCCGGTAAGTATAACGTGCACAAAACTCTCTCGCCTCGGCGCAAAACTGTGTTACACGTATATATCTAGCAACCGAGGAAAGAGAGAGAAACATAGTGATTTTGTCAGCGGAATTTCTGTTCGAGACTCCGTGACCAAAGCCAGAGCCGTCGCCGCCGCTGCAATTCTCGAGAGTGCCCGAAGAGAGCTGTTATAATACACGGGCCCGACTGTTCTCTCTCTCTCTATATAACGATGCGAGCTCCACGTGACCGACGAATTTAAAAGGAACTCTATTATACACAATGTACGACGGTAGTGCGTAACGGACATAAAGTGCGCGAAAAAAAAAGATCGAAAGTGTGCCGCAATCAAAATCCATCGAAGTGTGCCGATTGCATGTACGCGTTGTTGTGCTGCGTCTGAAAATTTGTGCGTGCATTTAATTTTGAGAGCTTCGAAAAAAAGCTCGAGACTCTTGAGTGCCGACGTCGAGCTGCCAACTGCCGCTGCCTACACACGTACGAGCTCTCACACGCACGGATCTAGATTGCCTAGTGACGAATGAAACATGATGAATAAAATGGATAAAACTACCTTTGTTGCATCTTTCTCTCTCTCTATCTCTTCTCTATCTCTGTGCGGCTCTAGCTGCAAGCTAACGCAATGCTCTATCCTCTATGCACAAAAGAGGCATACGCACGACAATATCTAATTTTTCGATTGTAAAGAAAGTTCAAAGATCGCTTCGACCCAATTTATAATCACCCATCGTAATCGCCACCTCCTACGCACACACACCGCGTCTAATAAGAGATAATGCAATAAGATGTCATTCGCACTCGCGTGGCACGCATATCATCGACTCAGGCTTCGTCGTATTTTATATTGTACATATTGGATTGAATTAGCGCGGGTTCGCCGACTACATGTGTGATCCGTCTTATACGCACGCGATCCTTCGACGACGATAATAATCCCCTCATTTTCGCCACGAGATAGCATTTTACCGCCAAGTCTCAAGCACACACACAGTAGAAAAGTTTAATTCGTTCAATCAGAAGAATAAGGTTACCGCCAGTTTATCTCACAGTTCACGTCAATTCAAATGCCGCACGCTTGTATCTCTTATGTATACGTACTTATGTCTGCGTGCGGCTCTGTGTGTGCAAACGTATGCTGCATGTACCGTGTGCTCGAGTCGAACACATCGACTCAGCTTTGCGCTTTAAAAACGTTCTCATCATTCATCCTCATCGTCATGCTCATCAGCTTGAGAGAAATCTCAATAATTTACACGAGAAAATAAAAAATAAAACACGAAAGCTCGCGAAAGCTTACACAAGCTCCGGCAACCGCTGGCGCTGATGCTGCTGTTCATGATCAATTTATTAAGTCGTCTTTTTTCTCTGTTATGACAGGTTACATCGATCAACATCGAACTATCAATGGTGTGTTTGACGTTCAGTTACACGGTAACATCTTCCCCTTATAAGCTTGGATTGACGAGGAGTAAAAAAGAAAAAAAAATGCGCGCGGGAGCGCACGTGCACGTGTACGAGATAGAGGGGCAAAAAAAAAATAACATCACAGTGATCGGTGAAAGAAAGGCGGGAGCACGCAACGACGAACAAAAAATATTTATGGATAAAATTGGGTGACAGTGATTTATTATAATCCTGACGCGCGCACAAGTTTGTTAGTGCAGGCTTCGTAAAACACACACACACGCTCGTTTACATTTGCCTATTACTTATATAAATCAAGTTAGAGCCGACGGCAACTACTGCGACGACGACGACGAGTCAACGAACCTTGACGATTTTTTCTCCTTTTCGAATAAAAAAAAAGATCCAATTGGCTATTGATCGGAACGGATATCGGCGACTTCGCCACGGGTGAGATAGTAACAATTATTCCGATGTCGAAAGTTTTTTTTTATTGGTTATATCCTTTTGAGCTATTAAACAAAAGCTAACCGGAAAGTATATCGATCGATATCAAATACTTACCGAACTGTTTTTCATAATCAATTGCCCTCGAAAAAAAGAAATAATATTCCAGTATGAAAAAAAAGTAATTTTGAGCCGAAACATCGTGACTCCTTTAGCTCGAGCTCGAGCGTAACACATTTTTTACCCGCGGCTTATTTTCGCTCGCTCGCGAGAAGGAAACTTTCCATCACGAGAAGCTGGTTACGATCTTCCATCAAACGTGACTTTTATCGAGCTTCTTTTATCTGTTCTCATAAAAAGTACCAGAAGGAGTAGCAGCTTCTTGAAAAAGTACCATTTCCCCGAAATTTTGCATCTCGAGCTTTCCGATGGAAAAATTTCCAAGAGCTCTGTAAGGTCGTACGTAACGCGCTCGCTTTTCGAATAATTTTGGGCGAACGAGGTATATCACCTTGCGCGATCTCGATTGGCCCCGTATCCGTATCCCTCGATCATCGATTTCGCTTGCGGAGCTTTCGAGAAAAGCTCGCGATCGAGAACGTCAGAAAAGACGGGCTGCTCGGGGGGGAATACAGCAGCTTCTTATCACCTATGCTGCCTATATAGCGGTACACGACTTCCTAGCCGAGTTAAGAGTCGAGAGAGCAGCAGCCAGCTCGAAAGAAGAATGCTAAATTGCTCTCTGCTCATTCAATGAGTGCAGTCCCGAGAGACTGCAGATATGCCTGCCCGCCAGCAGCAGCAGCAGTTCTCTGTGTCTCGCGCGCGCATTCAATATACATACGAGCCTCTAATGTTAGCTTCGCATAAACTAGATATAACGCGTCTCCTCTCTTGCTGTGGCCGGCTGCTCGACGACCGACTGCACACCACTAACGTACGCACGCGCACATTTGCACACATGTACGGGCCAGAAGTAGAGAGAAGCTATCCTGTAAATTTATCTCTCTTCGGGCGACGAGCTTGCGATGCCTCGATACGCAGCGGCCTGCGACGGCTACATGTGGCTAGAAGGCCTCGAGCAAATACGGTACTACGGTATGTTTGCGTACGTATATCTCCACGAGTCGCGCCTGGCTAAGTGTCGATATGCACTTATGGTTCTCGCATCGTGTCACCGAGAGACGATGTAGCTCCGAATCGTGCACCGTGAATGTAAACGTCTTGTATGGAGCTTTCAGCGAGTATACCTTGATACGCTTCTGGAGTCCTTCTTCGGCTAATTTCGTAGTACATTTGCAAACAATTTTTTATTTAAAGGGATCATATTCTCCCGACGAATATGTTTGCGTCTACGAGACCCTTCGCATTTTTTCTTCGGCTATGGTACACGTCTTTAATAATGCACGTGTGCTGTGCGTCCTTCCGTTGTCTTGTATCTTATCGCTTTCTAGAACATTATAATGTTTAAATACTTCAACGAACGAGGTGTTTGATCTTCGAGTGGCACTTTCTTTTGTTTGATCGTTCGCAATTTTTCTAGATTAACCTACCTATACAGACAGCTTCGTCAATAACCAGAATCTTCCTTTGCTACAATGTTTAAAAAAACATTGTATATTTATCATGCAGATTTAATATAAAATCAACCATTGGAATTAAAGTGGCTTATATTGAATTTTATTAAAAATACTTTTATATAAAAGCTATGATGAAAATTAATGAGTCTTACAACTTTATTTGCTCCGAAACTTTATGAAAATTGAATCGTAATTAAATCCAGCACCCACCACTAGATGGCGAGTACCTTATTTCTGTAAATCTGCAAGTGTCTAAGTCATTATAATTGTATAAGTCAAAGCGTAGTATTAAATGAAATTTGTGTCTTCTTCTTGCTTGATTCTCCCCAAGTCTGCTTTTTCGGGTATAGAAAATGAAAAAATGGTGAAGAATTTTTTTCACACTGAGCGGCGCGAACTAGTTTACCCTTTTTTTATCCATAAAATATAAGTAATCATTGAATCTGGGACCTTGAGATTTCGTTTTACGAAAATTAGGTCCAATTTTATGCTTAAAATTGACTATTTTCGGTTACGGAGGTGACAAATCACTGCTTTGATCAACTAAGTATAAAAAATAAGAAACCCACAACATTTTCCGTACAATCCGAAATTCGGTCATGAAAAACGAGTTTTTTGACGGGGCGAGCGGTTATAAATAATGACCATAGTTCGAGATATTCAATTCCACGGAGGTGACAGTTTTGACGCACGTGAATTTTCCAATAGAATAATTATCGCTGCATAGCTAAAATGTAAAATTTGAACCCGCAACCTACACCAATCGAAAGCTGGGTTATAATACTTAACATTTAAGTATGTAGGGACATCAAAAACGAGTTAACGACCCAAAGCAGGCGGTATATTTGAAATTATTCAGAAGCATAATTAAAATCCGAGATATTTTTCAATTGTGTGGGAAATTCTATAAAAACATTTTTCAAAGCCCTATGATAGACTTAAACTTTACTTTGGATGTATAGAAGCTGGTCTCGTAGTTATTATGGAGCCAGGTGCTTATGAGAATGCATGGTATATGCGAATAGAGTTGATTTTGAGGTGTAGACATGCCACGGATGTGATATTTGGCATGTATATCTTCACGGCAAATTTAACTGGCACTGAAAAATTGAAATTTTTATGTCCAATCAAAAAGATTACAATAATATTGAATGAACGACCGAGCCAGTTTTGGCTCATCTTCACTAGTTTAAGAACATGGCATAAAGACATGCAAAAAGCAGACTTCGGGAAATTCAACCGACTATAGGTGTGAAATTTTATCGTTGCACCGCGACGATCTCTCGATTCCGGTGAAATTGCAGATAATATACTAGCACATAAGCTGGAAGGTGTATAATGACGATGTTTCGGACATGCGCATGCTGTATATCGTATGTGTTTGGCACATGCCGCATTACATTATGTATAGGCTCGAAGCATCGACGCGGTGCGCGTCGGGCGCTATCTTATATAGTGGCCTCATTGCATGCCAATACACATAGAGCGCAGCGGAGTCTCTTTTGTGCATATAATACACACACACGATGATGATGAGCGTATAGACGCGAGCGCTGCGCAGACACGCGTTAAACGTTCCCATTTTAGGGAGTGGTATAGACGCAGTCGGACAGTCAGTCAGCGCATCCGTAAACACGATAGCCGCAGGTGTATATATATTCATGCCTCTCTTTCGATGCTCGGTGTATCCTATTGAATCAATCGTTGGCTCGTGCGCGCGATTCGCTCCGATTATGTATACTACTATCGTCAAACACGCGTTGCAACACGCTCGTATATTATACGTCACACACGCACACGTCCAATCTCTCTCTCTCTCATTGAGCAACGAAAAAAAAAACCAGCAGCAGCAGCAAATAGTCATAGAAATTTCGATAATGTTTCAAGTGATGGTACGGAATTCGCCGCGATATATGTCAGCGCATGGAACTCATGGTATTTCATGCCTGCATTATACACACGCATATGATATGCGACAATTAACGTCGGCAATTCGCTGCGCCGCACATTTAATAGCTGGCGCACGCGAGCGAGGCATACCGACGCGTGCAAAGACTCTCCATATATCTATCTCTAAATGGCTTTCTTCAATTTTTTTTCGTTTAACCCTCCGCCTCGTCTCGCTCTGCCTCGCCCCATGTGTAATGCGTGTAATGTACGCCGATACGAGTTCGTCACTTATACATGTGTGCGGTCGCGCGCTCGATCGTGCGAGAAAACCGAGCGTCGACTCTCTCGAGCTTTTGAAGCCAGCGATGCGTGCAAGCTTCGATATGCTGTTGCTGCACGGTAAACTTATCGCGATTGCGATCTGTTTATTTACCCGATTGACGAGCCGGCGTTAAGATTTTCTCGCGGGACTGGAAGTTGCATTCGAGCGATGGCACACGCCTATGTAACTTGTTTACGTTTAGAGTCTATTAGTAGTAGTTAAATTCACAACTTCATTGCAAAGCTCGCGTTTGAAAGTGACGCCGGTTTGAGAGATGCTAAGGTCGCAATTTCTTTCTCCTTAAATTTTCGACCAAATACAGTTTGGCTCTTGTCCACTTCCGACGACGATGTTTTAACTTCCCTCGAAATATACGCGTCGAGAGTAGAGAGGGCCACAAAATGTTTCACACAAACTTTTCGCTTTTTTTTGCTCGACTTTTTCTTTTCCTCGCAGCTAGCTAGGCAATCTCTCGGTAAAACTCGGTAGAAAAGTGCCTAATGAGATAGCGCGAGACCGAGCAAGGCGCGAGAGCAGAAGCACAGGGGGGCAGAGAAAAATACATAATGAAAAGATTGAGGGCGTAACGAGTGCCTCTCTCTTTTTTTCGAGATAGCTCGGATATGTGCGGGGCGGCGGTTTTATAGAGGCTCGCTAAGTTAGTTAGCAGCATTTCGGCTCAGAAGCCGACTTTTTTCTTTTTTTTCTCTCGCAACTTTGCGTGAAAACTCTCCAGATGTTGTTCACACACACACTTACAAACAATGCATTAACGCGCGATAAAAAGTAATATGGAAACGCGCGACGTATACGCTGAACCGCAAGTGTATTGGCGCACGATAAAACGAAGAAAAAAAAGCTGTTTTTTTTCGTCGCTCGAGTTAATCTGTGAAACGCGCAACGAGCGCCTGTTATTGCATTCGATTTTATTCGACGACTCCACGCGCGCGCGGATGATTTTTTATGCTACCTCTCTTACTCTATCATACGGCAATAAAGCAACGTCGACGTAGACGACGTCGTTGCGGTATATAACCGACGACGATCATCATCGAGCGACGTCGCCGCGACGCAGATCCTTATCGTCATCGCGCCTTAGTCCAATAACGCGCGAATTGACATAATATCGTAATATTTTATATCGAGACTATTGAGAAATACTTCTAGACGATAGCGTTCTATACGCTATATGTATTCTATTGTATTCTATACGCTATATGTATTCTATTGTACGCAGACAGGCATGTACACGACGAAATTATGATTTTAACGCGCGCTTGAAACTGCAGCAAGTCTATATAGTAGTAGTATACCTGGGAGAATACCACGAGACACGATGCAGTTGGCAATCGCACAGGTGTCATCGACGAATGTTTCGTATGGATATATTATTGTAGCCGCGTATATATATACGGTCTATTGCCAATCTATATAAACAGCCGACGACTCGCACGACGTTATCGGCTCGCGAGGAAATGCAAATAATGCAATTTTTTCCTTGCGAAATCGTTCGAATTTTTTCTCTCTCTCTTTTTTTCATTAAGAGCAAAATATCCGATTGATAGAGGTAAATATTGCGATTTCATTAACACGATGAAATCAATAAACACAAAACGATTCGTGTTACGCAACGCGAGCTTTTATCGATCTGCATCTTTGATTCCTCGATATCGAGTACGGACCAATCGATTGTTCGGGTCCATTAAAAAACTTTCTCACGTTTATGACTGCTTACTAACTTACTTACTTACTTACTTTCTTTCTTTCTCTTACTCTCGAAACGTGCCTCGTTCGAAACAAAAGCTCCGAGACGCCCACACGGTATATGTATTCAATTGCGACGCCGCCGGTGGTAGAGAGACGCACACTCGAGAGCTGCTCACGCGGGCAAATATTGGGGGCGAGCTTTCAAGTTCGTGAGCGAGGTATATATCCCGGAAATACTCATAAGCCACTGCTCTCTCTCTCCACCCAAGTTCGAAGAATAAACAAAAACTTCTCTGCTTAAGCCTATATATACAACTACTCGAAGTAGAAAATGATTTCGATCGTCGTCGTCGACCGATGAGAGGAAGAATAATAAGCAAAGCTCCCGATGGTAACCGCGCTTCGACGTTCCATATCCGATACGTTTATTTTTTCATCAAAAATTTTTTTGCATTTTATCATTTCATGCATCATCTCCGTCGAAAAAAAAAACAACAAACGAATCAACCAACAACCAACAACAACAACAAAGGGACCAATTGCACGCCGCCGGCGATCGAGGACTTTCCGCACGATCTCTTCGACGAGCAGCAGAGGCAGGCAGGCGCCGTCGTCGTCCATGTTCTCGTTTCACTCTACTTATTCGTCGCCTTAGCCGTAGTATGCGACAAATTTTTCGTACCTGCCGTAGAAAAAATATGCCATGGCAAGTATAAATACAGTTAATTTGTTTGCATTCTTACTAATTGACAATAAGACATTACGAAAACATGTTTTTGCTATTATATACCGCCATATAATTGCTCACGTGGCATTGTACCTTTTCATTATCCGAGTCGATCTCTCTCAATAATCTATAGTAAAGTAAAGTGCAAACATAAAGCCGACGAGGCACTTGAAATGCACCGATAAAAGTGACGAAGAAGTAGGTGCAAAAAACGATCGTCAATTTGTTGTTTATAAAATAAATGTGTTTATCTCGTTTTCTCTCTCTCTCTCTCTCTCTCTCTCTCAGCGCTGTCAATGTCAAAAGACGTGGCGGGCGCGACATTCATGGCCGCGGCGACGTCGGCGCCCGAGCTCTTCGTCAACGCAATCGGTACTTTCATCACGGAGGGCGACATCGGCGTCGGCACGATCGTCGGCTCGGCCGTCTTCAATATCCTCGCGGTGCCGGCCTGCTGCGGCATCGGCGCCGGTATGGTATGTGTGACCACAACGTCCGACGCTCGAAAAACAGAGGGCTTTAATGCAGCGCGTGTCTGTGTGCAGCAGGTCGTGCCGCTCGACTGGTGGCCCGTGAGTCGGGACTGTCTCGCCTACGGCGTGACGGTGGCCATCCTCATCTGCATCATCCACGACGAGAGGGTCGAGTGGTACGAGGCGCTCTGCCTGGTCCTGCTCTACATCGTCTACATAGCCATCATGTACTACGACAAGTCGTTTCAGCGCTGCGCGAGGTTTCGCCGGAAGAGTTCCGTCGCCGCGACGACCGCAGTCCAGCAGCAGCAGAGCGGAGGTGCTGGTGGTGGCGGGAGCAGTGGAGCGGAGAACGAAACGAGCAATCCTCCTGCGCGACCAGGTGAATTCAAAACATCGATCCAAGATCGCGTTTGTTTATTAGTTTAAGTACTATTAGCGAGCCGTGGAAAATATTATTTATCGCTCGCGGTGAATTACCTGAGTGTACAGCGAGAAACTCGACTCGGTGTAACATTTTTTTTCTTCTGTTTTTTTTTGGTTCGCGCGCGCGCGTATACTCGATTTATCGCCTATTAGATCATAATCCAAGCGTACGTTATGTAATTTAGCTGGCGTAAAGATTTATTATCGTCGATTTTATATACATGCACGCGCCTCGTGAACTGGAGGAGTGAGAGACAGAGAAAGAGAGAGAGGGAGAGAGAGAGAGAAAAGAAAAAAAGAAAACGAATGAAACGAAATTTCATAATGTTTGCCTCTTGACCGCTCGGCTCTCTTTCTCTCTCTCTTTCTCAACATACTTTATTTTACTTTATTGCCGACCATGCTCTCGGACAGCATATATAGCAATTCGTGATTGATTTCAAGTGGGCTCCACTACGTGATAGAACTTTCGGTATTTGAGCACTGATGACCGTACGTACGTACGTACGCACGCATGATTTGAACTCATTGGAATCTTGTTATTTTTTGCGTTAATTTAAAATCGATACAACACTATACGAGCGAACCAAGCTTCGATTTCAAGTGGCAAAATCTATGTAACACAAAGTATTCTGCACGACTTGTTATTTTTGTTCATGCGAAAATTCTCATCGCCTTCCTTTATAGTTTAAAATTCCTGGCATAAATGTTCAACATTTTAAAGATATCGTTTTTGGCCAACAGAAAAGTTTCTTGGATATTCAAAATAGGGTCAATAGAACTGGACTTGTAGTAACCAACAGCGTACAGTTTTTTCAACATTATATGACCATATAATATGATAGGATTTTTTTCCATTTAATCAATTTTTGACTACATGAAATTCGTGATAATTATAATCAAAATGCGTTGTGCTCTTCATATAAATCTCCAACAGCTTTATTGACGGTTATATCCGTGTTTTGACTTATAGAATTATTTTGACGTCGCCACTTGCAGATTTACAAATGAAGCTACTCGCCAACTAGTGGTGAATGCTTAAAGTGGTATTATCATATCATATTTAAAGTGATTGAATTGAAAACTGGTCTAAATTTTTTGAAACTATTGAATTGTCATTTTCAAGTCATTAAAATGTGCTTAATATTTTTTAATATAATTGTAATAGAAAATCGCCAAAAAAGCCAAGTAATAGGAATGAATTTTAAAACGTTTTAAACAGCCATTTTTTCGCATTAGATCATAATTAATGTTGAGCATTTTTATTATAGGGACGTTTCGAACTTTTTTCCCCGCGCGTGTTCGTCGATCGATCGATAATTATATTAAAAAGTTCGTGAGAGGCCGAGGTAGAAAAGAACAAATCGCTCTCTCTCTCTCTCTCTCTCTCTCTCTCTCTCTCTCTCTCTCTCTCTCTCTCTCTATAGTATCGATTTCTCGCAGGTGATGCGGCGGGCGAAATTCACTTATCGGGATCTGATAAATTGCAATCGTCCGCCGTGGAGCGCGCGGAGCAAATTGCGACGATCGACGTGCCTCTCCAGAACGGGGTGACAAAAACTCAAGAGGACAAGGAGTCTGGTAAGTTTTATCCTCTACTCCGCGCTAGCCTCGGCGTATAAATTACAGCGAGTAAAATAGAATGAAAGAAAGAAAAAAATATCCTCCCGCCGCGCACAGAGTACGAGTACCAGCTGACGGTCTGGCCCTCGAAGGCCGGCTGGATACGGAAGACCACGTGGATCATCACTTGGCCCATTCATCTTATCTTCATGTGCACGATACCGGACTGCGACAAGCCGAAATTTAAAAAATGGTTCCCAGTCACATTTCTCATGTGCATCATATGGATCGGCTCGCTCAGCTACATCGTCGCTTGGATGATAACGATCATAGGTAACCTAGTTTTGTTTCCGCCTCTCAATCATTGCACGAACTTCACCTGGAATGGATATAGAGTATGGATGATGTATGACAAAAAATTGTGTGATTTTTCCAGGTGACACGCTGAAAATCCCCGACTCCGTCATGGGCATTACATTTCTGGCAGCCGGAACGAGTGTCCCGGAGGCCGTATCGAGCGTCATCGTCGCCAAGCAAGGTAAAAATTTTACTCCTTCGTTGGTAGAAATGCTGAACAAAAAATTACCGTTTAAAATGTTTTAAATTAGCTTGGTGTTTTTTATTATTGCAATCACGTTAAAAATATTGAGAGTATTTCAAATGACCGGGAAATTATAAATCGAACGAGGTTTTAACCTCTCAATACAACTTCCATCTTTCGCTACCAGATGGCGAGTACCTTATTTCTGTTAATCTGCTAGTGGCTAAGTACAAATAATCGTATAAGTCAAAACTTGGTTTTGTAAGAATTAAGTTCATTCGTACATTCCTTTATTATTAGACATAAAAGGATTCTTATGTCTAAGAGCACTTTTCGTTGCCCCAAAAACAATAAGCCATAAAATGTTGAGCATTTCTATCAGTTTCTATTTCTACGGGTCAGTTTCTCAATCTAATTGAAAAAAAAATACTCGATGCTCTCTCTCTCTCTGTCCGTCAGGCCACGGCTCGATGGGCATCAGCAACTCCATCGGCTCGAACACGTTCGACATACTGCTTTGTCTCGGGCTGCCCTGGCTCATCAAGTCGTCGTTCGCGCCCACCCTCAAGGGCCAGCACTACATCAGCATCAACTCGGGCGGCCTGGAGTACAGCGCGATATCGCTGCTGTCGACGCTGCTGCTGCTCTACGTGGCCTTCGCCACGAATCGCTTCCAGCTGGATCGCAAAGTGGGCCGCGCCTGCCTCTGCATGTACGCCGTCTTCCTGATACTCGCCACCCTCATCGAGCTCAACGTCTTCTTCAGGGTGAATCTGCCGACTTGTCCGAGATCGAGGGCCGGATAATGGACACGGAGAGACGACGACGAATTATTTTTATTTTATAAATAATACATCATGTATTTGTGCAAATGCGGATCGAGTGACTCTCTCTTTCTCTCGAGGGAGGGAGAGAGGCTTATATAATATTAATAAACGCGGAAGGGGGCACGTTTTGTTTTTCACGATATCGAAGAAAAAGACAGAGAGAGATGTGTAATACTGCCGCGGAGACGTGCGCGGGACGAAGATGACGTTCTTTTTCTCTCTATCTTTCGCTCTGTCTCTCTCTCTTTTTTTTGCTTTCTCGAACGATCCCTTCGCGGTGGATCGACAGATTTAAGTTACTTTTATTTTATGTACTACGAGAGGATTATGCTGTCGCGAGACGAGATTTTTACCTACCATGACACCAAGTATTCGATTTATGATTTTAATGAAAAACTTTATGAGAAATATGATAGATTTTGTTCTCTTATGAAACGAAATTAACAAAGGAAAGACAGAATCCGTCGAAACCAAAGAAAAATTCAGTTACCAAATCCTTCAGATTGTATAATAAAATTATATTGTAAGTTATTTATTTAAATTTTTATAAGTGCTCCATTTCGCTTTTTTTCTCATTGTTTTAATTGAATTTCTCAACTTATTAAAAAAAAAAGCTAAAATTTTTCTTCGTAAAGCAATTGAGAATGTAGCGATGATGCACAAAGTGTATTATGGTGATAATTATCTGAATTTACATTGAATCTCATTATGACGTTTTATGTGGCTTTACTTCTTTTTCTTTTTTACATCAATTCAAACCGTAATTATTAGTAAGAATAAGGATTATTCGTTCACAGATTATAATATGTATCAATATTTATGGTAACGTTTAAGTTTCCTTTAGTTTATATTCTTGACTCATTTTGGCCTCACATTTAGTTGTATATCGATAAGATTCGCTCCATTTACTAATATATTTATATTATAGTGATATATATTTGATTTTAACCATTGTAGCCACGAAAACGTGACAATGTTAGCTCTAAAAATAAGGAGGATAAAAAAAAATCATTTTAAAATAGAATGTTTCACTTGGCGCGTAGGAAAAATTTATCGTCATTCATTGTTACAATTTATATTCGATACGAGACGTATAAAAATCTCACGATGGACGTGTACACGATGGTTAAGCGACGTTGTAAATGCCTAAAACTTATGTATAGAAAAAAAATCAACTATTTCGAAAAAGTATATATTATTATTTCCTACGATTATCGTTTAATAAAAAGTTACAAAGATAACAAAAAAAGCACAAGAAAAATGAAGCGAACCAAAAACACAAGCCGGTGACACCTTTGCCGGATTCAATTTTCATTCTGCGCGAGTCGTGATAAAACTTTCAGAGCTCCTCCTCTTCCTCTTCGGCGCTAAAGCGACGCCGCTGCGGCAGATGCTACCTATACTCTTGCTTCTGGCTGTGACTCTTGCTGCTGCTGCCGCTGCATTCCTGACGAGCGACGGACCGACGAGTAACATCACCGAGAGATATACGAAAATGCGCACATATGCACAAACGAACGAACGGGATGAAAAGTTATAAATCACGATTGTCTATTTTTTTCTGTTTTTACCTCTGTCTCTCTCTCTCTCTCTTTCGTTTGAATGGATATTAAGTTCGAAGCGTGTGTGTGCGCAGACAGATTTGGTTTGCTACCATCGTGTACGAATAGTTCGATTTCACCCGAATTATTGATAAAAACGTGGTGGCGTACGTACACGAGCTCGCATATGTCGCAGGCGGCAGATTCTCGCGCGACCGACAGCTCATTTTTTTTCTGCGAAACGAGACAAAGTTCGCCATTATATCCGGGCATTATTCACGCGCGCGAGACATAATTAAAAACAAGAGTTTTAATTAAATTTCCCGACTAACGCGTTGGCGTGCGCGCAAGAACTCGTGACACAATGAAAAATATCAAAATCTATAATTAATACCAACGAGTATAAGCCCGCGCGCATACGTATACGGACAAGTGCAATACTTACCGACAAGCTGCTTCAGCTTATTTATTTTCACTTGGCAGCTTATTCCAAACTGACGTATTTTTATTTCGTCCTCGTCGAAACGCAACGGGAGCAACGACGTTTTCCAGCTACAGTTGTGTCACCTATTCTCGATTCCTGCGCTGCAGTGTACCGACAGGAAAGCAGAGAAAGAGAGAGAGAATCAAGTTTCTGTGTGTGCAGTGTGCACCCGAATCTGTAGGTCGAGCTTAGCGTGCGTGTCTGACGTCGTTGTTTTCGACTCTGTGCAGAGAGTCGGCTGCCAAAAACTTTCGTCTCTTCCTTGCTTATAAAGCCCATCTCCACCGGAGGGAATCTTCGAGTAGCTATTTGCTTTTTCAGGTTTCGCGAGAGGCCAAAATATTTATGCACTTGAAAATCACTCTGCGAAAGAAAGACAGAGAGAGGGAGACCTTGTTTTAAGATGACGAGGCGTTTTCACCTACACTCTTTGTACTCTTGAAGCATTGAACTATTTTTAGTAGCAGAAGAGGCATTTCATTATTCAAGCAAAGATCTCAGTTATGATTTTTGTTAATTTCATAGAAAACATTGTATAACTCCATATACTTATTTGTGTTACAACCAATTTGTTTCATTTACTAAATCATTTACTTCAAATAATTTAACGTGAAATTTCCACTAGCAATAAGAGTAGTTGTCTACATTTTATTTTTTTTTATCATTTGTTTTTTAACAGCCCTAAATTGTATTCTAACGATGAAAAGTATTTTTCACGTAAAATAAATTAATTAACACTTATTTTATACCGAGTTTTCATATGAAAGTTCATCGTTAAGCTTTGAAATTCAAAATTTGAATCCACTAAGAATTTTTTATATTAGCCCAAAAAAGAAAAAATGCGAGCAATGCATATACGTAACAGGATGTAATTTTCGAGCTTATTTATCGCAAAAGCGTTGCTGCTGCTGTGTGTGCTGCGTTTGTCGTTTTACGAAAATTGAAAAGCCTGCGCGCACGCCAGAGCTCCTTTTTGAGAGCAGAGGGCATGCACGTACGTATGTACATAACGCACGTATGCGAGAGAGTAGCTTTCTCAAAAATGCGTACGTATACGTATACGTGAACGCTTATTTAGGGAACAAAGCTCGCGGCTGGAGAGTTGCCGCGCTTACATTCCCGGGGCCCCATTGTTACGAGTGAATAATCCCTCGGCGCTTAGAGGTCAATGGTTGGGGGTGGAGTTAACTTTTCGGATGATGGTGCACGTGGAAAAATATCGAAAGACAATGTACGCGGTGTGAGTGACGAGAGTTTGCGTACATATATCACGTACAGTGGCAGCTGCTGATGTACCATGTATACATCTCAGAAAGAACACGACGAACAACATTGCGCATGATACACGTGATGCACGAGTCGAGGCGTAAAAAGTACACGAGATAGTCAACTCTTGCTTGCTGTACAAAAACTAGACTTTTTAACGTGTATGCATGGGAAAACGAGAGAAGCATCTGCTCCAAAGAGAGAGTGACGTTTTCTTGACCGAACTTCGAGCCACTGCTGCTGCCACTGCTGCCTGAGATCTCTGCAATGCGGCGCGCCGATGAGTCCCTTGGCTCTCTCTCTGTACGCGGCGGTCTATATCCTCTAACTACACCCACATACACACACATATACCCACACTCGCACACACAGATACGTAATATGTACGTACAAGCTGCTGCACTCGGCGCGCGCTTGTGCGGATACGCGAGCTTTCGGCTGTACAACAAGCTGCTGCACTTACTCGTAAACGATATTCCAATATTGTCCGAGAGAAGCAGAGAGAGAGAAAGATAGAAACGTCGATGTTTCTCGGTATACAGGTATAATACGCTTTATGGATTTTATTTATATATGTCTTCATTGAGTGAACTTTGCTGTTTATGTATGGATAAATATTACATTATGCAGACGGATTCGTTACGTATAGACCCTTGTATTATATCGAGGATGGAAAACGTGTGCATACGGAAATTTAAATTTTTCAAAGTCGAAACAAAAAAGAAGAAAGTAAATAAATTCAACAAAGATGAAAGAAAAAAAATGAAACTGGGTCGATGGCTGTGTGGCGGTGCTGCTGCTGCAGAGATTCATCGGCATTCGCGGCGGCGCCGAATGTGAGGGAAAAATAATTTCTCATAATTCATTCATCGACGCCCGTTGTTAACGTACGTATTATAAACGCAAACTTTACGTGTATAAAGAGATTCAACGAGAGCTCGAGTGGCTTTTTTTCTCCTCTCTTGCGCAAAATGAGAGAGAGAGAGAATCTAATTATTCAACTCTCGAAACAATTATGGCTCGTCGAAATAAATATAAACGTTTGCGTGCATTATATGCTGCATCCACCAGAAAAATTTGGCTCGACCTACATTCGAGTCGAGCCGCACGTTTACATCCTCGCAAAAAGGACACATGTTTCTTGCAAGCATGTACACTTATACCTGTGTGTACTTTTACACTTGTGCAGTCGCACATACACACAATATTTTATATATATAATACAGCGGCAACGGAGCCGCATTTCCTTCTCTCGCTTTACTTTAATATATCCGATACACATACATATGGAATGTGCGGCTGTATTATATATATTTCCAGTATATGTACAGTATATTCCGAGTGAGAATTCGCATCACGGAAGCCAGAACACCGACACCCACACACTCGCGACTCGAGCATCGAGTGTGTGTATGTGTGTGTGCGTGGTGCAGACCTGCAAAAATCCGGCGCAGCATTGGCACGCGACCCCGTCGCCTGTATGTACACACGCACACACACCCACACACACGTACACGCATACATTTATAGAGCATGTACATGCGGCTCTAGCTCTCTAGACGTGGGACACATCACGTGCTCGCGCGTTTCTCTTACTGAAAAATCGCGCGTGACTCTTTTTCTGCCATGCTTTGTGTATATTATATATAACTTATCCTATATCCTGCTTTATTGATTTCGTTTTTACGGGTTTGCAAAGCTCAACGCAAAAAAAAAAGCAGAAAAAAATTGCCGCACTTGGTTATGAAATGAATCGTCGTACGTTTAAAAGATTTAATTGTGTGCGTTATGCGCAGTACGACAAAACAATCGCGCTCTAATGGTGCGAGCGCGCGTGGGTGAACCGCCAAGACTCGGAGCTGCAGCGGCAAGTAGTACGAGCGCGAGTGCGTTCAGACGGTATATATACCGGAACGTGCATGTGGTTATACGCGTACATTACTTGCATCGTGTATCAACGGCGTGTCCACACACAGACGTACGTTGGTTCCGAAGTTTGGGGTTTGTTGCCCCGCGGCCGCTTCGGTTCGCTTATGATATACAAGATGTTCGCTGTACTTGCGCTAAGCCACGCTCTGCAGTGCTCAAACTCGCGAGGCAGAGAGCTGCCCGGAACAACTGCGCCTCTACTTCATCTGAAAAAATGAACGATTATTTTCAGTTTAGTGCAATTGTTTTAGTCGTTCATTATTATGTCGTTTTGATACAAATAGTGCATACGATTCAACTCTTCTGCGTATACATCGTGGCCCTGATAGAAAGTTTAATAAAGTCCTGATGATGCTTGTCAAATCATGACCGTTTAAAATGATTTAAAAAACACTGCCATGGATTGGCTTGTTTTTGGCGATTTTAATAGTAGAGTTGTGATGCAATTTGTGATCTGAAAATGGTAACTAAATTGTTTCAAAAAATTTAGACCAGTTTTCAACTAGTTTAAACATAATAATATAACTTTAAGTCTTTACCGGTAGATGGCGAGTACCTTTATCTGTAAAACTGCAAGTGGCAAAGTCAAAATAAGTGTATAAGTAAAAGCAAGTTTTTGAAAATTTATATTTACGTTCATAGTAGGTACTAGGATTCATTTCTAATAGGTCAAATAGAATGTTAACGATATTGTTATTAAAATAAAATTACTAAATTCAATTTAATCACATTTCAAATAAAGTAAATTAAGGCAGTCAAAAAATGGCCATTAAATAGCAAAATAGAAAAAAAAACGTTATACTCTTGAGCAGTATACATGACCAGTTCTAATGGCCCTTTTATAATCAATAAACTTTTTTGTAAGCCCAAAACTAGTCATAAAAGGTCATTTCTACCAGGAATCCAACAAACCTCTTAATTGAAGTTGGTTCTTCGTTAAGTAGAAAGTAGAAAAGAAAGACTTGTAAAGCTCGCAAGCTCATATCATCATCGTCGTCGTCTTGGTAGTCGTCGTCGACGACATCATCGTGTCTTACACACATCTCGCAGACTTATTATATACGTGCATACAATCCCGATGTACTAAATCTCGGCGCTTGAAAAATCGAGGGCAAGATCGCTGACCCGCTCGCTTACATACAGTACAGTACAGGCGGTGGCTGCTGGCCATGCGCTTTCATACGTATGTATGGCAGCTCGCACATACTTCAAAAGCTTCGCAGCAGCAGCAGAATCAACGGCAATCGCGCCGAAAAGCTGCACGCGCAGCCAATCGAATCTAACGACTTGGATATTCGCGCAAACGAATGCGTCGATAAATTTTTTTTCCCTCATTCAGCGCGAAGCGAATCGCAAACAATCTGCTGCTGCGAAGCTTTTTGGTATAGCGAGCTATATGATACGCTGAAGCTCGTATGCGATATTACACACATACTACTCATCGCGCTAGGCGCGCGCGGAAAAAAAGTCGGGAAGAGCCAAAAGCATATTCGCGCATGGAGCCAATATCGTCGACGCGCGCTCGGTATAGCAGCGTAGGCGCTCGTGTATAATCATAAAAGCTCGTGTCTAGCATTAACAGGGCGAAAGTGCATAGCGCAAGTTGTGCGAGCTTTTGCATGAGTGTGTGTGTGTCCGTACTTGCAAACTTACACACACACACACTTACACAGAAAGTTCGCAGCCGAGAGGGAGAAAGAGAGTCGATCCATGCGCCGGATGCGACGGCGTCTTGCGCGCCTTTGCCGCAACCAAGCCTCCCCCTACTACTACTAGCTAGCTAGCTTATAGCTATAGCTAGCATACATATATATCTAGCGACACGCGGTGTGCTACTGCTGCACACGGCACAACCCCGTATATGGGGGGACCTATATCAATATAATATATACACGCTGCTGCTGCTGCTGCGCCGCGGCTCGCTTATATACGCGCGGGTCACTCGCGTGCAAAGCGCCGCGTAGTCGTCGTCGTCGTCGATTTTCTTTCTCTCTCTCTCGCTTGCACCCGCGACCCGCTCTCGTTCCTCCCGTCTCTTTTCCTCTTTCTCTCTGGATACTGCTGCTGCTGCTGCTGCTGCTGCTGCTGCGCGAGCGGTGCGCATCAAACGAGGCTAGAGGTGGGTGAGGGTGGGTACGATGAAACCTCCCACCAGCAGCTCGCTCTATACCATCCGCTATACGCGTACTACCATACATACACCACCACCAGCCGCCCCCCCCCTACCCCTCTATATAGTACTCTCTATATGCCTCGCTCGCTCGTCGCACCTTTTACCTATATACTGGCGATGCAAATATAGATATATCGTGCATGCATACTTTTATAATATATATATCGCGCCGCATCTATATATGCATGAAACTCGCGCTCGCTCGCGCTACTACGCTACCTACCTACCTACCTACCTACCTACCTACCCCTGTATATCGTGCACATACACGTATATAGCTATAGAGGCGAGCTTGCACATGGTTGGGTGGAATAAGCGCGCGGCGCGAGCGAGTTGCGCTGCTACTGCTGCTGCTGCTGCTGCCACGACCTACCCGTGTATACTTAACTTTGCGCGTGCGAGAAGAGACCAGACTCTTTCAGTGCGTAACCAGCGCTGTTTACGGCCGCGCCAGTTTATAACAATTTTTTTTCACGTGTGCGCGCGAGCACGAGCGCTGGTGTGTGATAATAATAATAGTAACATAAAAAACAAACAAAGTACACGCGTGGGTGTAAGTACGTATACGCGCGTGTGCTTTTAGCGTGTACATATAACGTTTAATAATTTATCGTTTGCGTTGAGTGAAAAAGCAGCCCCCCGAGGAGCAGCGGATCGGCATACGAAGATCGCGAAAGAAAGAAAGAAGCAGGAAGAAAGGAGCCACGAATTCGGCGGGGACTGTGTGTGCGCGTGAAAGGGTGCGAGGGCCAAGTAGTCATACAAATAGCCTAGATGTATAATGCAAGTGGGCTGAACGTGCGCTAAGCTTTCGGCGTTTATACTTAACACAAGTGTGTGTGTGTGTGTGTGTGTATACAAACGCACGCATGCGATATATCTGAAACCGAGCCAATAACACTTAATCTCGTTTTTGTTGTACGTACTCGAGGCGCGCGTGCTATATATAAAAGCGTGCCCCCCCTCTACCCTGCCTGCCTGCCTGCCTGCCTAACCCGCTGCAGTGTGCCGCTGGTGTATAAGGCCTGTGTTATTGTGTTATTGTGTGCCACCTGATAATAATAGAAACTTCACCGAGAGAGAGGCCCCCCTTATGCTCGATACTGCAACAGACGAGTGACCTTGAAAAGCTCGTTAAGTACTCGGTTGTGTGTGTGGTGGGTTGACACGATCGTAATGCCATCGTGACGATTATATCACCCACCCACCGAAAATACACATTGTGTTTCGACGCGCGATCGGATCTCGGCCGATTGTTTGGCGTCGCTAATCGACCTGGGAAATAAATACGATGAGCGAGTGAATCGACGACACGTCGGCATCGGGACCTGCATGTGATAATAATAATAATAATACGAAAGCTTGCAGTGTGCTTGCAGTGCTTGCAAGTGCGCGCGAGTGTAGTGGGCGAACGAGTGTGTTGATATACATTGAATTAGGCAGTAGTAGGCTGCAGGAAAGAGAGTAGATATTCGAGAGAGTGCGACGAGAGAAGAGGACGGGAAGAGTCGAGTAGTGTGCCGGAGCAAAAGAGAGAGAGAGAGAACATCCCTACTTCAGTGCAGTCTGCACCGAGTGTCTCTCTCTCTCTGGCTCGCGCAGCAGTCGACTACTAGTTGGTGCAGTTGCACTCCTGCTGCTGGTACTGCTGCCGCCGCCGCCGCCGCCTCCGCTGCTACTACTGCAGTATAACTACCCCCAACCCAACGACGACGACTACGACTACTGCTACTGCTACAGTGTGCTATCTACGGCCCCTTATAAACTAGCAGCTTCCCGTTCTAAATTTACAAGCCATGCATCGGCGCTGCTGCCAGCAATCGATGCTTATCGTTGGCTCGCAACGTGCGTGCGTCAAGTCCTCCTCCTCCTCCTCCAACACCACCTCTTTCACGACAACGTCGTCGTCGTCGTCGTCGTCTTTGATCCGTCCATTGAGCAGCTCGAAGTTACGCTAAGAAAATACGCTAAGAAAAAACAAAACTAGAAGAAATTTTAATTCAACTATGAAGACTGAAAAGACAACGGCAACAATAACATCTCGGAAGGAGCAACTGATTTTAGTGATCGCTGTCGCGGGTGGCTGCCTATAGTTACAGTGACACGGTCGAGCCGCGCGACACATACAATAATACACACTCGCGCGCGCGTGGTGCATATAATACATGTGCGCTGGTGGTGTTGGTGTTGCTGCTGCTGCTGCAAGGGTCGCCCCCTGCCTGACTCTGCCTGCGTGCGACTGCACCGGTAGAGCAGCGCAGCACACTAGGGCTAGAGCGAGTAGTCAGCCGCAGTGCGGTCCGCCGCGCCGTACCTACCAGTAGTAGCTGTTAGCCCCACTTCTTTCTTCGCCCTCTCTCTCTCTCTCTCTACCTCTATCTCTCTCTCTCACTTTCATACACACACATGTCCGTACGTACGTAAAAAGCCTTTACTACTTTTTCACACGCTTACGTATCCTCTTCCTGTTCTCCGCAGTCACAGAGAGTGAAACGACGTGTGGTGGAAGAGGAGCGAGCAACGCGGGCCAGTGGCAACAGCAACAACCACGACAACAATAACAACGAAAGCAACGACAACAACAACAACGGAAATAGTGACAGTGTGCATTTATAATAAGTGCAGTGTATAGTCGTCGTAGTCGTCGTTATGAAGCCAGCAGAATTGCAGATAATGCCATTTGGACTGGCGAATGCCCCGGTGACTTCGACGAGCAGCAGCGGCAGCGGCAGCCACGTCCCCCTCGTGCAGCACTGCAGCAGTAGTAGCAGCCTCGTGCATCATCAGCCAGCAGCAGCAGCAGCAGCGACGAAAGATCGAGGCCGTAATCCGATCGCCCTCGTTGTCGCGACAGGAATCAGCTGCCAGTAGTAGTGGTAGCTGCCGCGCTGGTTTTTTTCTTTCTGCGACATTATTGTGCCAGGATGTCAGTCATCTGCGTTACTACTATTGGCGCCCATCGTCACACGTGCTGCTGGTGGCCGCAGCACTGCTGCTACTCGTGCCGCTCGCTCGAGCTCGAGCTCGTATTATCTAGATGATACACCGAGAAAACTACCCCGAGCGCAACGAGAGACACGGATAATAATACGTGTGTGCGAACTGCTCGACGTACGTATACACGGACGTGTATATAATATATATACCCGCCATGCATCGGAACGTGCAGCGGAGCATTGTTTAAAAAAAAAATACAAAACAAAACAAAGCGTTACAGCAACAACAACAACAAAAAAGCAGAAAAAAGGAAAGAGAGAGAAGAGGAAAGAAAGGAGACAAACAGGAAAAAGCTGGCGACGAGAGGATAATGACGCGACGACCGTTGTTTATTTATAATTTTCTACCTTATTTTTCGCTGCGCTCTACGTAAAAGCTAAGATTTTTATCGCTGAAAACGCGTGTCTGGGGGATTGGATATCGTCTGACACTACTTTAACGTATAGCTGCACTCTCTCTCTTTCTCTACTACCTTTTCTGCTCGACTGCTGCTGATGCAGCGATTCATTATGTACCTGTTTAAATGAGAATGAGGAAACAAAAGCAGTTTTCTGCTGTCCAACGTTATATATAACGAAAATATTATATTACATATATATAGCTATACAAAAAAAAAGAAAAGCGAGCATAAATTATTCAGTGATATGCAACGTATCTATGCATTAAGGAATATTACGCGCTCGCTCAGGCGAGCAGCGACTCTCGGCGATATATAACCACTATAGCTCTCATCGATTTTTTTCGCTCGTTTTTTTTTGTGAAGAAGAACAAGAAGAAAAAAGGAGAGAAAAGAAATTAAGAAAATCCGAAGCGCGCGACCGACAAAAATCCTAACCCGAAAAAAAAAGGAAAAGAAAAACGCTTCGTCAAGTGCTTCCCTTTTGCAGCAGCGAATCGATCTGTCGCTCGCGCACGTTTTTTCGTTCATACCATCAGGTAGAAAAGTATTATTGTGAGTCAACGCAGTTGCCTCATCGCCATTTGTGATAAATTTAAAAAAAAACGTGTGCAACTATTGACGCATATCCTCTCACCACACGAGCGAATAGTAATAAAATTTACGAAAATTTAAGTATTAATCCCGTATACACGCCGACGAAGCAGAAAAGAGGAACGGAAGGAAAAAAGCTCAGTGCCGTGTGCCCGCGTGTGTATATACGTATATACTACAATCCAATGCAGTTATAATATCGATTCGAGCCTGCGATGTGCTGTTTCGGCTAATTCGTATACCGCCAGTATTTACCCAAAAGTGTGCTTAAAAACTATTTCACCTGTGCGCCGTGTACGTGGTAGTATCGTTTAAATCTTTCTCTCTCCACTTTGGTCAAGAAAGAGAGTGTGTTCATTGTGCTGTGACACGACGATGATTGTGATTTACTTCTCCTGCGATCTCAAAGTTTTCAACGAGTACATCAATTTTACAGTCTCGCTCATGTTTTACGCGTGAAAGAAAAAAAAATAAAAGAAGAAATCGTCGCTCGGTGAATTTGTTCCTGTTCTGTCGCGTGATTTCGAGGTGCTTTTCTCGACGATCGAAGAAGAATAAGAAGAATAAGGAAAGAAACACACAAGTACCGAGAGAGAGAGCGTATAATTTGGTAAGTGCGAAAATTGCAACTTTGACGTTTTTGTCCGCTCCAAGTAGCTCGAAGCGCGAGAAGCGCGCGCTGTATTATACCTATAATATAATAATAAATAAGACGCTCTGCTCGGCGCGCATAAATTGCCCTCAACTCCCATAAATATACATACACAATATAAACGCACGCCGAGGCACTTTTGATTAGCTCCATTCAGAAAGTTCTATGATTGAAAGCATATGAAAGTGCTGCTCCGCGAAGAACAAACTGTGTGTATGCGTGGTGTGCTATATATACCATGCATATAACTCGTACTACTTCAGCTCGAAATTAACTTGTGATCTTTGATCTCGTACTTACTTGGCATTTCTAATATATAGAACGAGAATGAGGTGGAGAGAGAAGTGCATCAAGGATCGCAAACACTTGGCAGAACTCACGCAGACGTGAGATTTTTGAGATGCCCCTAATTATTTATTATTATATGAATTAAAAATATGGTCGTACAGCCGACCGAGCGAAGTAAATTTTCGAGCTGAATTAGGGAGTTAAAAATACTCGGTCCTTTTTTTTCTCGTTTTATTTTTTCAAAAACGTGTGCGTTTAATTAAAAATTCGTTTATACATGACGTTAAAAAACGGACTTGCTCTCTTTTTATTTTCTCTTCGCATATACGTATATAACTCGTAATTAACGACTGAATGAAAGGAAAAGATGTATCTGGAGTACGAGTTAGCACGAACTGTGCGGAGAGAGAGCTTTAATTCGACAATTTTTATGACGCTGCACGTATACATTATGTAACGCAATTTCAGTTCATTTTTTTATCTTTTTTTTTCAAACTCGCGAGCTCTTAATAAAGTCACATAACGTATGTATGCTATTTTTAGGCCGCGGATGCATATATATAGGAAAATTCGAATCATTTATTTTGTCTTTTTTGGTCCTAAATTTCCGCGCAGACAATTGGTAAAAATTTTGGGTGGTTGGCACAACGTATACAGTAGTAGAAACGAAATAATAAAATATATCTGTATACGTTTATAGTACACCCGAATTCTCGTATTGTTACATCGATTGTTCGGTCTGACACGAGCTGAACGCTAAACACAGCTGCACACACGTACATACATGCATACACAACACAAACGCACACACGTACACACAATGCCGCTAACATTTGAAAGCTGCAATCGTAAAGAGTGATTTTCACTTTGGCAATTGTTTTTTTTTTTTTTTTTTGTTCTCTCTGTACTTTCGACAGTTTCCACTCGCACACACGAGGCAGAAGGCGGCAGCGGCGGCACGTTTCGTCGCTGTGCAGCAGCAGCAGAGAGGCGGAAAAGGGGATTTTCTTCGACGCGTTTAAGCGCGTGGCACGACACACGCATCGACAACGAGAGAGAGAGAGAGAGAGAAAGACAGTGAGGCCTGGTACTACTACTGTTACTACTACTACCACGTAAATTATGCATACACATTGACAGGCTGTCGCTGTTTTACTGCTGCAAGCACTCTACCAACTACGACGTCGACGTGAATCTCTCACTTGTATATGGGCGAGGCGAATGTGTGTACGGCGTCGTGTTTCTCTCAACTCGTCGTAGACACAAAACAAGAGGCAGTAACAGCAGCAAAAAGAAGAGGAGCTTCTCGATCGAATCAGCGTGGCGCGTTGAGGTCGCGAAAAACAAAAAGCAATTAAGAAAAGACGCGCAGCGACTAAAATTCGAACACACGCGTCGACACAAACATAGAAAGGCAGAAAATGAAATACTTATCGTTGTCGAAGTCAGCTTCGAGGCTGCAAGCCGCCGTCGTCGTCGTGCAAACGTTCGAGAGAATAAAAATCCTGTCAGCATCCGGCCGAGTTGGCGAGTGATCCCGTGGAATTTCGGAATAAAGTACGAGTGCTTTCGGTTCGTGCATACCAGGGCCGCCAACGCTTCTCCTACCATTAGCATTTGTACCTAGAGCTATTTCTACTTACTTCTCCTACTCTACGGCAAATCAAAAACTACTGCTACTACTGCTCCTGGAGGGAGCCTCGTTGTAATATACATATATAATTCGCGCCGCGCGTGAAAAAGGCGAATCGCGCGCGAAAGGGAGGGTTGGCGCGAGGGGGGGGGGGGATTGGACATCGGCCCCCACCGCCTTCAAAAGCGTCTCTCTGGATTTGTACACACGTATTGTGCGGGCACAGAATCCTCTCGTTCGATTTCTCCTCTCTTATTTTTTTTTTTCTAATACTTTTTCATATAATAATCTTAAAGTGGGAGTGATGCTATGTCGCAAATAATGCTGTGCAATCTGGGAGCACCGAGCACGAGCACGCGGGGCACGGTGTCGAGCGGCAGCAGCGGCGTCGTGCCGCCGATGACGCAGCACCGGCCGACCTCGCTGTCGTCCTCGTCGGCGCGCGAGTCGTCGCGCGAGTCCGCACCGTCGCGCGAGTCGTCGCGCGAGGCCCCCACGAGCTCGTCGCATCGCGGTGACCGAGACAGAGACAGAGACCGCGACAGGGATCGCGATCGCGACAGGGACCGGGATCGGGATCGCGACCGCGATAGGGACAGATACGAGCGTTTCGACGACGGGCATCGCGGCGGACATCACGGGGATGCGGCGGATCTGAGGCTGAGGCGGCAGCCGCCGCTGCTGCGCGAGCCGAGCTTGCAGCCGCCGCCACCCGCGACGGCACAGAGCAGCATGGAGAGCGACGACTCGTATCCCATGCCGACGATTTATCGGTAAGAGAGATCGTTTTTTTTGATTCTTTTTTTTTAGACGGGAGAATAATGCATGAATATTTTTGCACGTCGAGAAAGTTTATGTGTGTTTAACGCGACAGACCCGAGACGAGCTAAAGTTCGGAAAGTTCCTATCTACTATATGCATTATCCACATCAGACACACAGTGTCGAACTTTGTCTAGCGACTCGCGTGTAAACTTTCTCACCCGAACATTTTGCTTTAATATATACGAGTACTTTTTCTCGCGTTATTATATAACACATCTCTAATGCATATAACGAAAAATATCTCCGTCGTTGACGTCGACCGCTGCGCAGATGTCGCGCACCGATCGCCAGCCTCGACTGCATGGAGGAGTTCGGCGGCACCGACTCGAGCGGCGGCCCGTACGGAAGCACCTACGGCATAAAGGAGCACCTGCTGGCCACCTGCTTGTCGGCCCACTCGGCGAGGCTGCAGTCGAATCCGTCGCCAGGTATACGCTACCGCAATCTCGGCAAGAGCGGCCTGCGCGTGTCCAACGTCGGACTAGGTATGGATATCACGCCGCAGCGATGCAACTCAACGCAACGCAACGAATGCCACAAAAAAACGCAACAAACGCCAAAAAAGCCAACGATCAAAGCAAATGATCCAAAAAAATCAAAATCAAAACCGCACGCACACGTGTTTCACTAATATATAATACGACTCACATGCCATATTATCATCATTGCCTCGTTCATCGCATCTCTCGAGTCATCGTCGTCGGGCGCACGATCGACGTCTTCTCTCTAATCTTGTCATCATCTATCTCTGCACAACATACACATGTACCTACGACGCGTACACAAATGTTCACTAATGAGTATTTATCTACATTCATGTTTTTATATTATTATTATTATTATCTCTTTCATTATATTATAATTGTATATACTTTTTTCACATATAATAAATGCTAAATCGCACGTATATAATATTATAGTACAAGCAACGTTTTTGGAGCATCACAAACTTCGTTTCACGCTTAAATATCATTTTTGCATAATCGCATTCCCCCGCACACACACACGTCCATGCGCTGCTAAAAAATATCAGCTCTAAGTCGAGAGTAAAAGCTCGCGCTGCTGCGAGCTCGCATCTATGCTTCTCGAATGCGCGCACCTTTTTTTCTATCTCTCTTTCGCTCCGCTCTTTTCCCCGTCGGTAGACGCTACGATACGGCGCAAAAAAAGGGAGAGAGGCAGAGACAGAGAGAGAAAAAAAAGAAAACTACCCGACAATATTGGACAATCGCGAGAGCTGAAAAAAGCTTTTTTCCGTTGTGTAGCGTGGCGCCTACCTAGCGTATACCATACAGCAGGCGCACATAAAAGGTGCCCTGCTGCTGCCTGTACGCTGAGAAACTTGTGTTTCTGTGGAGCCGCGCTGCAGCTCTCTCTCTCTCTCTCTCTCTCTTTCTCTTTCTTTCCATGCGCGCGTAAAACTCCAAAGTCACAATGTATTATAACGTGTGCGCGAGGCTTTCTCGCGATACACACATACAGCATATACCTACGTATAAAAGAAAAGCTCGCGAGTAAAGAGAGAGAAAAAAAAGTATAGAGAAGAGAGAGACAGAGAAAAATTGCGCATATCTCGACCGGATGCTTATACCGTTGCTGCGTAATAGTACTGGAAGTAATACGCGCGCGTATAGTATCCCCCTGCGGGAGATGATGCGCTGGCGCTTTTCGACTTGTATTATATATATGCGTGTGTGCGCGCAATGCATGCGAGTAATGTGTGTACGTAGGCTTTCGGGCTAATAATGTAATATTGTTATCGATATTCGCACGCTCCGCTACTGCTTTGCTCTGCCCCCCTGCGGTTTTAATGGTATATGCAATTTAAATTTATCTCGCTAATGGAATGAAAGACTTGTTTTGCCATTCGTTTCGTGTATTCGCGTTTTGCTTGCGCTTGCGTTTGTTGCTCCGCTGTGTGTATATCGATGTGTATACTCTCAACGAGGCCTGTGTGCACGCTTACAAATAGTTTTTATATATATGTTATTACGACCCTCGAGCGTAGCGTACAAGTTAATTGATTCCGTTCCTTTGGTACACAGTTGCGCATATTATTAGTACGTAATTATTGCTTACATTGCTTTGGCTCTTGACGACATACATATGTAGTATATAACATGCACAGTAGAGTAGCATAATTTGTACCTTCGCTTCAGTTTTATTATATAATCAGTAGATTTTAATTGATTTAAAAAATCAAAGTCTTAATTAATGAAGATGATTTAAAAAAGATTTATTAAATTTTCTATACACGCTGTGCTAACTTTTTTGTGGGTTGTGTACTCTTTGGCACTTTATAACTCGACGCAAATGCAAAAATAAAAGAATAAAAATCGAGAACACAAAAGATATATCGCTCGATATATTCGGGCAGTAGATTTATTACCGAAATGGGGTAAAAACTTCTCGAGCCAAGAAAGAAGAGTAAAACGCTATATTTATATATAAAGTGTACATATACGTAATTTTCCAATGCTCTTATCTTACTTGCAATGATGTATATATCTATACAAAAAAAATATATCCGCACGGCTCCGGCGCACGAGCCAACGCGCCTGAATCGCAGGCAACAGCAGCTACCACTAAGCAACAAACAAAAAATCAAGCGCCAAGCAAGCAACTTTTCACAATTTTTCGTTCTCCGTTTTTTGCTTCTCTCTTTCTCGTTGCCGCTGCTGCTCGCACACACAGGCATGTGGTCGTCGTTCGGCGGCGACCAAGCCACCAACAACGACGAGATCGCCGAGGCCGTGGTGGCCCTCGCCTACGAAAGCGGCATCAATCTGTTCGACCTGAGCGAGATACACAGCGGCAACAAGACCGAGACGCAGCTCGGTCGCATACTCAAGAAGAGAAACTGGAGCCGCACGAGCTACATCGTCACGACGAAAATCTACTGGAATCCAAAGTACGGAATGTCATGTATCATATTTCAATCGCACGCACAAAAGTGAGCGCGCATCGAGGCTTCGAGTTGGATTTTTGGCAACTCGCGCGGGGGTGGTTGTATGCGGCACAAGAGAACTCGATACGAATGGCCTATAGTATAGGTGACTAGTGGCTCGGCTCGAGTGCGATATTTGCTAGTTAAAAGATGTGTATACGTATACTCGACGAGCGATCGAGACGCGACACGCGAGATATCGATTTTCACTTCTATTCGTCGAATGGACTGTGTATATGCGAGTCGAGAGCAAAAAAAAAATTGAGAGTTATAGATTAACGTACCTACAGGTATATAACAATAATGTAAAACAGCAGATTCGCGAGCGCGAGAGAGAGATGGAGAAGAAAAAGAGGCATGCATCAAAACATTTGTTTATTATTATGTATAGATCCGAGGCTAGAGGGCTCTCGAGGAAATTCATCGTCGAGGCGGTGCAGGCCTCGCTCGAGAGGCTCCAACTGTCCTACATTGACATTGTCATGATACACAGGCTCGATCCTTCTTGTCCGATGGAGGGTACGTATAGACAAATATATCGTAGCGGATCTTCGAATATATAAGTAATCTTTAACCGACGAGTCGCGTCCATAAACGTTATTTTTTTTTATTTTTCCCGCCGCCAGAAATCGTTCGAGCGATGAACTACGTGATAAGCCAGGGCTGGGCCATGTACTGGGGCACGTCGAAATGGTCGCCCAGCGAGATCAACGAGGCCTACTCGAACTGCCGGCAATTCAATTGCGTCACGCCGATCGTCGAGCAGGCCGAGTATCATCTCTTCTACAGGGACAAGCCGGAGCTTTACATGCCGGAGCTGTACAATAAAATAGGTAATTATGAGGGGGGAGAAAAATTTATACACAACTATTTCTTATCAAATTCACTTTATTTGTGTATCAAAAAAGTTAACATTATAAAATATTTACGTAAAATTTACGTACTAAAAAGCGTGAATGGTGGTGATGTGATTCGTAGTATAAATTAGGTAATAAAGTCAATTGTGGATCAACGAAGCTTGCAAAATTTAAGGCGACCAAAGTAGGTTGAAAAATGACTAGGATTATAAAATAAACATCAAGTTGAACATTTCATTAGGCTTATAAAATAAACATCAAGTTGTAAAATTTCATGAGCTTACAATTAATAAGAATGGGATTCGTTTTCTTCCAAAAATTCATTGATTTTTCTTAAACTTTAACATCGTTTTTACATAAGTTGATCAAGTTGAAGGAACTATAGATTTTTAAATTATTCTTGAGAACGTGTACATTAAATTTCATACGTTCATTGTGATGCATTGCTCGAGTGATGTACCAAATCGATGTGGGCGTTGAGTCGAGTCATCGTTGAGAATTTTTCTCCGCATACATTACAATTATGTCTAGCTTTATGCACCGAGTCGATGGTCGGTGTAGTTTGGCTGGACTCTGCGGGAATTTTGCTTTTTCCCGCAGGCTCTCGAGTAACACCATTCTCGCTGGGGATACCTGTGTGCGCCTTTTTGATGTGCCGGATATAGTTAAATCGGAGTAAAAATTTTTTTCCGCAAATATCGCATCCGAGGTTATTGCTACTGTGCGACGATGTGATGTGTCTATAGAGACTAGATTGATTTTTGTATGTCTTTCCACAACCATCGCACGTAAAGCCTCCTTCCGAATGCATCTCGCTGATGTGACTCCGAAGACTCCTCTTTTGCGAGAATATCTTCCCGCACGCGTCGCACGTAAAATTGACGCCTTTGTGGAAGGCTTTGACGTGCCGGTCGAGGTTGCACAGCATGTTGAATCTCTTCCCGCAGATGCCGCACTTGTGCGAAACGCCACCGTGTATGGCTTTGATGTGGGCCGTCAAACTGGACTTGTAGACGAACGTCTTGCCGCACTTGTCGCACTTGGGCACGACGGGTCTGTGCACCGATTCCACGTGGTTCTGGAGATTGTACTTCCTCGCGAACGATTTTTGGCACACACCGCACTTGTGCTTGCGCTCCGTACCCGTGCCGGTTTGTAGGCAATTCTTTCTTATGCGCGCGTGTTTGACATCGCTGTGCTCCTCTTTGAGATGCTCTATGATACTTTTCTTTTGCTGGAATGACTCTCCGCACACCTCGCAGGTGTAGCTGGAGTCGCCGTGCACAGCGTCGGTATGGTGCCTCAGAGTGCTCTTCTGCGTGAACGACTTCTTGCAAATTTTACAGGGATAAGTGATCTTGTTGTGAATGGCGTCGATGTGCAGTTGGAGATTGTTTCTCTGCGTGAACGTCTGTCCACACAGATGGCACGCGTGTCTGCTGCCGTTGTGCACCTCGTCGATGTGCGTACGAAGATTCGACTTGTACATGAATGACTTGCCGCATTTTTTGCAAGAAACGGTGAAGTTGCCGTGCACCGAGTCCATGTGCACTTTGAGATTACTCTTGAACGAGAACTTATTGCCGCATATGTGACACGCGTGGGTAATCTGTTCGTGCAACGACAGAACGTGCCTTTTACAACTACTCGCGTTTGAAAACGTTTTTCCACATTGTTCACACTGGACGCTTGTATCCTCATCGCCTTTTCTGACTTTACGCTTGGAGAGAGGCAACTTCCTTTTCATTCTCCTTTTTTTATTTGCCTGGGCGAGTTTGGAGCTGGAATTCGAATTTGATTCTTTTGCGGCGTCACCCGCGGGTTCTGCATTGATTGTGTTTCGAGTTGCATTACCATCGCCACTTTCATTTGATGCTAATAAATTTATATCGGGCTTTACGTCTTCGCACTCAAATTCGGTATCAGTCTCGTTGCTCTGTTGAAGCGCCTGTAATATAAAATATTCGGTAGAGTGAAAGTTTTATGAAAGAAAAAAAACACCAGATGTATCGCCCATAGTAGTCAAAACTCACGGAATTTTCTGCTGGAAATTGAAACAGATGTAAGTTTTCAAGATCGGGTTTCTCATCAATAGTTTCACTATCATTTTCACTAAACGAATCATCACTACTAGGCTCTTCTTCTTTCACTCTGAAATATAACGCCAATATATTGAAGAACTATGTTTTAATATTTGTATGATATCATTTTTATAAAATGAAATTACCTGACGGAGTACAAACTGGATTCCATCTTTATTATGTAGAATTTTAATTCCGCGAAAAACTTTTAGAGAGCACCAACCTGCTACCATTCTGTTTTGTTTACGACGTGCGTGGCACCATAACCTCTGCCGCGTTATGGCCTGGCAAATTATTTTACCGAGCAGTATGTTATTATACAGTGCGCGACTCTGTATACAAAGATCTGCCAACGAATCTGTGTGCGGATTGCGAAACTCGTCGCGCATGAGCTGCCCCTCTTCCAATTCTATCAGGTGATCAGGTCTCTTCGCGTGATCGAGTCGAACGCACCTCGTGCGTCTACAAGTCCTACAACTTCGTAATTCAAAAATTCATAGAAATATTACTGATACTTGATTTATTTATACGCGTAACATGATTTATAAAATAAATTAATATACGTGATTTTTGAAATGAATTTAACGAAACATTTTTTTATAAACGCGATTTTTGACCATTGAATTATTTATTTAAATTTGACCAAAATTTACGGAGAATGATTCCCATGATTTATCTCGTGATATTATAGCTATGTAAATTTTGGCACGAATCTTCACTTGATATACTTTATTGAATTACGTTTATTATTCTATAATTTGGATATCTTACTAAACTACTAATTTTATAACTCAAAATACTTAGTTATAAAATACTTGTACTTACTTTCAAGTTACGTAAAAGATCTTCGAACGCATATGAACAGGGTTTTTGAACAAATGAACACTCACGATTTAACAGCAAAATACTTGCTTTTATTTATTAACAAAAGAAAAGATGCGTAGAGCTGTGCAGCGAATTCGGAGCGGAGGCCAAACTCTCGCTTTTCGTGTGCTCTATACAAGTTACAATTGAGCCGAGAGAGACGAACGGTGCTGCCGACTCGTTGCTAGCCACGCACTAGCGACTCGCTCGCTATCAATTACATGCGAACATCTCTCAAGTAGAGATGCTCTTTATTAATAATGCACTGATAAACAAAAAATGACATATGAAATATTTTGAAATTATCATTTGTTTGTGTTTTGATTAATTTTCTGTTACAATTATTTTACAATTACTTCACAATTATTGATCGCATTTAAAACGATTAAAAAATGAGAATTTTATCGTTTCTAAAAATTTTGACCCGTTTTCAACCATTTTTATACGGCAATGTGTCCTACATGAAATCCGCTGGAGGGCAGTTCTCTGTGAAGTCGAATGGCCAAAACAATTTTTTTTCTGCAAATATAAAAAACTTGTTGTATTTGATGTCAGATTTGTTCAAAAAAAAATTTTTTTGGCCATTCGATTTCACAGAGAATCGACCATATCTAAAGATTTTTATTTGTACCTCGCATATTCGGTGACTTCTTAATGTGAAATCAATTTTTAGCTAATCACTGATAAATATACAATATGTAATAAAATATTGAACATTTTTTAAGTGTTTTTTAGTTTGGCATTATTTATTTCAACAAGAATTTTTTACAAGTCGAAATTGCTTGTCTTTTCAGGTGTTGGTTTGATGTGCTGGTCGACCATGTCGATTGGTTTGATAGCGAATCGAGTCGACGATGGCATCTCCGTTCTGTCCAGATCGCGATCATCGCATAGAGTAAGGAATTTTCTTTTCAATCCTAAACTGTCTGATACTTCACAAAAAAATGAAAAAGAAGCTTGCCATACATAGCAGCTCGATGTGCAGCAATTCATATGTATAAAAATCGCGACTGTTTCGTGTTTGTGTACATTTCATGTAGTTTAAAACGCCTATAGATATCTCTGTGTTTGTATTAGATACAATTAGTCTCATTGCCAATGCTATCTCTGTTGTATTACAAAAAAAAAAGAAAAAAAACGACATCAATCATTCTCTTTTTAGAATAAGTCCTTCAGTTGGACGGGGGATGAGTCTCAATCTTGTTTTAAAGAGGTTTGTTAATGTGAATAATACGTATTCTCGTTTTTAGCGTTTACTGCATACTATACATATTACACGGTTTACTTCATAAGGCATTTAACAAAGATAATCCAGAAAAGCATAAAAAAGTATAAATCTCTAACGATATAATCAAAAGAAAAATACTAAAAAAAATTCAAGTGATAAAAAAAAACTTTACTGTGTTTTAACATTAGTTGTTGGTGTTGTTTGGTGTTGTTGATGTTGCGATTTTTTTAGGTGATAGCACGAAATTTGCAACGGTTTCACCGAATAAAACTTTTTATACGAATAAGCTAGAATTTTACAACAGAAGTGTTATAGCGATATAGTTATGTAATCGCTTGATTTCAAAAGTTTTGCTACACACATATATCATGTCCGTATTAGTGTTTTAGTTGTGTTACAAAAATTTTACCTTTTTTTCTTGTTGAATGAGACTGCATATTCTAATATAGTGAATCGCTGTGAATGAGCGAGATGAAATTACCTATATAATTTACACGAGAATTAGTTGAAATAACCAAATGAACGAAATGGTCGATTAAAAAAAATCGAAATTGTCTTTATCCCAAAGCAGGAGCAACTGAGAAAGGACTCGGTGGGCTCCGAGAGCAGGAGGTACTCGGACAAGGTGCGCGACATGTGCGTCCTGGCCGAGAGGCTCGGCTGCTCCTATCCTCAATTGGCCATCGCGTGGTCCCTGAAAAATGAAAGTTGCCAGTGCCTTCTGCTCGGCGCAACGACAACTGAACAACTCTACGAGAGTCTTCAGAGCTTGCAGGTGCGTGTGTCGATCCTTATATTTTGCCTTATTAACAAATTGAACCAAAAAAAAAAAAAACATCATTCACAGCTGATACCTCGACTGACCGACAACGTGATGACCGACATCGAGAGGATACTACGCAACAGACCGTCCCGACCGCCCATAATATCGACCCTCGAGCTCAGATGACAATCGCTCGACCCCCACGGCAGTCGTGGGGGTTCGTTCGCCGGCAGCCCCAAGAGCGAGCTGCCGCCGGGCCAGCAGTCGCAGCAGCACACCTCGGCGCACGCCTCGCAGGCCGGCGACGCTCAGCAGGACCAGTCCAAGGACAGCCAAAAGGTGTCCTTCTGCGAGGTCCAATGATAAACGCTGCCCGCCGAGAAATCAAGGGAGAGCTTGCTCTGATGCTTTTTTGCTTCGTCACACACATACTGTACATGCAAAAACGAGCTCAGGCTACGCAAGGCTATATTATATTGTTATATCGAAAGAACGCGGAATCTTGCTCTGCACTTTGCTAAAGGAACAACAAAAAATTTTTCGTCGCAGACTCGTATATTTCGCCCGATTATACGTATCATATTGCACCGTATATGCACGCGCGCGCGCCTCATTATGTGTACGCACGATGAAAAAAAGAAGTATACGTTCTTTTGCGTCCCGAGCGCGTTTCGTTGCGGAAAATCCTGCCATTTTACACCGCATTGTTGTACCGATTTGTATCACATACGCGCGACACGCAGTTACAGCTCGACGAAAAAACGAAGTCAAAAGATTGACAAAATCCTCTCGCAAAGCACGACCGATATATAATATACGCTTTTCTGCTCTCCGTTCTCGCGGTTTATCTCTTTGAATTTGAAAATTCAATTAATTATTACGCCCGGGGTTTGCGCTTATACGCACACGTACCTTTGTGAGTGCGTAACCCAGACGCAAAATACCTCGCACGCGCATATTACACAGCTGCACATAATAATACCCACACACACACACACACACACACACACATGCGCTCGAAGCGGCTTTTGTTGTAACGCATGAAGGGAAGAAAAAAATGTTAATGAAATTCATTCGCTGCAACGTCGCGACTTGTGTTGTTTAAGTATAATGATATGCTGCAATTCCGATTGATTTGCCTGAATTCTGGACACGAGCAAATCCATCCAAACTAATATATACGTACACGATCGATACGATATCACTCGATAAACGATACACCATAATAAATTGTTTCATTGCCTACGTGAACGATGAAACGGTATTATATACGTATGCAGCCGAAGTCTGCTGCGATTTGTTACATTATTATGAATAATTAAATGATTATTGTAGTATATGGACGGAAAAGTAAATTAAAAAAAATTAAATTAAATTAATAAATTGTAAATATATAGATCGATCCATAACGTCGCTATTCGTAGTGGTCAAGAAACTTTTTTCAAATTTTTAGAGAAAAATAGTTTTAATAATCGAGCAGATAGGAACTTTTTCACTTCTTACGACATAATTATACAATAATTATAAAATTAATAATATACATTTAAGCAAGATTATTCGAATTACATATTGTACAAAGCCGCGTAAAAGATAGTTATAAATTCCTCGGGTGTAAGTAATTTTCTCATTTTGCTAATTATATTTTAATGTAAATAAGATAATAATACGAAAGATGAAAAGAAATAAACGAGTCGAAAAATTCATGCTTGTTGGTTCATAATTGTAAAGAAATTATTGTACAGGAACCTAGGAAAATAAATTAGAAAATGAATAAGAAAAGAGATAGAATAATTTCACGCTTCGATCGCGATGATATCGCCTTATTGTTTTAATAATCTAGTAAAATCGAATTTCAATTGTTTCATTTGGCTGTTGAAAATATAAGAATCACTCGTCAGATTATCAGAATTTCTGAATAAAAGTATATACGTTGACAAAACTAGTTGATCTACATTGTTATGAAAAAAAAATATATTGACTATTTAAAATATTATGTAAACTTTAGATTCTATTATTGTTTTCTATATTATAGAGATTACTACATTATAGATAATACTTTTCAGTGCTAAGGCAAGATTAAAGCTGAAACCTACATACTTATTAACTTCAAAACAGATTGTACTAGCCGAGTAATTTGAAAAATAATTTTTTCATTTCGAACATTTGATTCGATGCTAATATAATCGAAAAAGAAATCTCAACTACATGCCACGCTGTAGTGAAAATCAGCTCGGCTAATTTTCATAGTATTTTTCTCCTCTAAAATCTTCCTAATCTACTCACAGCTCATATCAAAACGCTAGTATATAGGTTCAATAAAAATTTAAAGACCGTAGCTTTTCAATCTCTTCAAAAAAAGTGACGAAACAATGTAAACTAAATACTTACCTTTTCTAGTTGACTGATAACACTCAAAAACATACGAATCAACCAAAAGGTTTGAAGCATTTTAATACCACAAGCAAAATGATATGGGTTTTTTCAACAATGAGTCACTCATCAAATTACGAAAAAGTTTATGGCTTTAAGAGTAAATCTAAACAACGTATAACTTAGTTCTTCCCAAAAAAATTATATATTAGGAAATAGTTAATAGAATAAACATAATTGTTCATTACAGAATAATTAAGAAAGGAAACAAAATTGTTAATGCGAGAGATGCATGATTTTCTCCGTTATTGTCAACTTTTATACAAAGTAAATTAAGTAAAAATAAAAATTATAGTAGTGACTCGTGATAAATACTGTACATACAAAAGCTTGGAGTATCAGGTAATAATGTTAACAATAATAACGCAGTAATAATATAAATATATATAATAAATATATATATTTACAATGAATGCGCTCAAAAAAAAAACGTCCGCCTTCTATGATAAGCATAATGAACCATTCGATCACTACGATATTGTTTATTTTAATAAAAAGAAAATTAAACAAAAGAATCTTCATAAGTAGGTCGTATGTATGATAATTATAACAAAAAAATTTATATATAATAATCGTAAAAAATGCTCTCTTTGCACAGACGAATGATTGCGCATTCGACACCTTTGAAATTTGCCAAAAGTTTCAGTGTTTTACACACGTACACCGTATTAAGTCGCAGGCCCACTTTTTATTACGATAAAGTATATAGTCGAGTTGATCGCTATTGAAAGATATATCATAATAAAACATAAATATTGTCACTTTTTATATGAATATATTATATAGTGTTCCATCTGCACAATATAAGACAATATTTTTTAGTTCGTTAAGAAGAGTTGTCGATTTTGTTTTCTCATTGCTGCTAAATTTTAGAGGCCGTCACTTTCTCATTTTTTTAGTTGTACGGAATCACACGCGTCTCAAGCGATAATAATTATCAAATGAACTTCAAGATATATAATACTGGTAAGCGTGACATTGAAAATAAAAAATTTAGCAACAAAAAAGTAACATGAATTTACGCAGGATCGTCAAAGATACATCGTAGATTTATTATGATCGCAGATAAGCTTTCTGCCTTATTAGATTTTTATAAACATACAAGTAGGTTAAACAATGTAATGTAGATACAAAAAAAATAATAAAGGAAACGGAAATTCGACATCGAAAATCACTAATCTAGGCTATAAAAGTATTCCTATTAACTACGACGAAAGGGCAAAAAAAGTGATACAGAGCTTTTTCAACGAATACATATTTAATGCCAGTTTTTTTTACAGAAAAAAATAATAAAGCACTTATCGCGATCGACAAAATAAAAAATTCTTGGAGATACGTCGAACTGTAGGATGCAGCTTTTTTCTAAAAATATTAATAACTAATATTACTGATAATTAATAAACAGATAGGGGTGCAATTCGTCCACTTCAATAAATAAAAAATTTTCTCAAAATAAAATACCATAGGTTGAATACAATAAAAAAACAAATATTAAAACCATACGACAAACGCTAAAAGCTTTTGTTTATATTAGAGTTTGTAAATAAAATAAACAATATAAATATCTAAGAAAAACTTTATAGAAGGTAAAAAAGCTTGTCATATACATCATTAATAAATAAACTATAAAATACATATTATAACGTTTAAGAGGAAAATTGCATAAATAAAGTGAAAGATAAATTATAACGATGATATCGACGATATAAAAAAAGTAATAATAAATACAATTTCAATATTATATTTATTGATAAAAGCAAGAAATTCATAGAAACTCAAACTCTTTTGGAAATTAAAATTATTTGCTGCATTAGACATTTTGATTTTCTTTCATCTCCAGTTCATTTTGTTTTGTTGACGCGAAAAATGTGCTTACTTTGACGAGCTCGTCTAGTCACCCATCAGATGGCTTTAAACATTTAATCTCAAGCATTTCTGGCATTGACAAAGCTCTTTATAAAAAAAATGCCATCATCAATTGCCTAACACCAATATGTTCAGAAAATTTGGAAATGTCAAGGTACATAATTATTACTCCAGAAGACATTAATAAGAAACATCTCAGAGCCTTAGGTAAATATAGAGTTTAAATGATTCCAAAGCGAATATCTTTAATATTTTATTCTTTTGTAATATTCATTAATTGGATCAAAAAATTATTGGCAGATATTAATGATATAATATTTGCACAAAAAATGGTTGGAATGTATAACTTTTTATTATTTTATGAACTGTAAACCCAATGACTTTTTTTTAACATTGTATCATAGTGCTGTTTATATATTTGATTTATACAGATGAAAAAACACGATAGCTTAAAAAGTATCGCTTTGATAATGACTCTTCTTAATATTAGACAGATAATTAGTATAAAAAATTAAACGCGAATTACAACATACTTAAAAGACCTTCCAAAATTAACATAAGAAAAAAAATTTAAGAGCGCATTATAGTAGTAAAAAAAATGGCATTATACTACTGATACAAAAAACAAATTTTCATAGCATTCATTCGATAAGATAATCTACAGCAAATTGTAATACAAATGACAGCTGCGAATAATATTCAACCGCATAATCTCGTCACATTTTTCATGAAAGGTAATAATGAATTAAAAATTTTAAAAAATATGAGTAAAGATGAAAAGAATTATGCCAACTTAAAGTTACTTTTTTACTGACGAATGATAAGTGCATCTCAATATTCCTTCCGAGATTTAAAGAATAAAATCAATAAAATGATATACCTGAGCAATGCGTATCGTCGTTGCGAATAAATCACACGCTACAAATTATGAGAAGTATGTATTACATATAAACATAGAAAAAAAACGATAATATTCGCAATAAAAGCACGAGCTATTATGGCGTATTTCAACTTTTTTTAGACATATTTATTGTTATTATACACTAATTAAGAGTATAATTAACGGAATGAAATTTGAGATGGCACGTTCCTAAGAATGTCGATCGCAAACAAAAGAGAATAACATAAATAAGAGAACAGCAACAGCTATGATAACGCCAAATAACAATCGAAGGTTTTTGAAATTCTGTAGAGTAAAACATAGAGTATAAATAAAGAAAAGAACATAAAATCAATAAGTAGTTCATGATCTTTTGAGCGCTCTCTTCGAAGTTGAGTTATATGAAAAAAAAATAATTGTTTTTACATTGTTACTCGAAGATGTAGAAAAATAAAAGAAGAAATGTCTTTTAATATCGAAAATGCTTCACAGATTGCAAATAAGTAATAAAAAAACATTATAATAATGCGTGTAAAGATGAACAGACGAACAAAAACTGATTTGTTATAATTTAATGTATACACCAATGCGAGTCTTTTTTGGGACCAAAGATCAATCGCAGATTCTGGTTCCAATGTGGTATTTTGCTAAGTATTAACGAAATTACGAAGCAATACTGGAAAAATAATGATGAATAAATGCTGCTTTAAATAAACTTGATTTATTAACACCTTAAAAAATATTTCACAAGTTTTACTTTTTTTCACGCGATTTCACTATCAGATGAAATACAGCCTTTGAAAATCTATTTTATTTTATGATTTATTATGAAAACAAGGAAGCGATATAAGTATTGACCTTTTAAATTATCCATGTAATTTATGGATACGATAAACTTTGAAATTTATGTTCTACAATTTTCACGATTGTCAACTATGTCTCGATGATAAATTAATATTTTTGGTGTAAAGTAATCTACAATGTCAATCTTGTTTTATGGCAGATCTTCTGTTATCAATCGCGAATCCTCCAACTATAAAACGGAGTGGTAAAGGTTTCGTACAAAAAAGTATCATTTTAACGACCAGAAATAATTGATATATTTTTTTTTATTTAAAATATAAATAAATTTGTTCGTCTTTAACTTCTCCCAAATTGATAATTTGGTCAAGTATACCTTATAAAAATATAACAATTTTTAAATTAAAAAGAGTTCATAAGTAAGCAATTAGCACTTCGTCATACTTGAACAGGGGACGCAGTAACTTACTAATATATCTTCATGATCATCTTAACTATTTTGCAAAATATAAAATTATTAATACTACTTAAGATGCTGACTAAATTTGTACATACACTCACAGTTTACGAAAAATTAATTATATTAATCTTATATTACATCATACAAGCGATAAACTGCGTGCTTTTTTCATTAAAAAACAAATGAACTTTGTTGCGAAGAAACTTAGCCGCTGCAACAGTGGCATACGACATTTTTCATTGAACGAGTGCACCTGAATTTTTAAACAACAATGCGGTAAATTAATTAATTTCACACTCTTACTCGCGAAACAATGAACAAAGTAAAATATTAAAGCGACTCGACACGATTTTCACGCATTATTTTTTCGTGATTTTCGAGGCATAATGCAGTCGTTAATATTATTTTTTTCATGTTCCAAGAACATTCAATTACTCATCACATACAAACACACATACACGCCCTCATATGGCTTTTAACTATCTAGAGTAAATTGACAATTACATTAATCTTAACTACCTTTTATGTACAATTTATTTTATTATACTGCAAAACGAAATTCTATATTGATAAAAATTTTTTAACCGAGAGATTTTAAAATGCGTTTTTTTTTTAATAGGAAAATTTTTTTTCCTCTTGTCATTAACACTGTCAATAAAAATTCTATTGACAATACTTATTAATGGAAGGCACACTCTCAATCTCTTGCTCAAATTAATTTCGAAACAAGACTGATGATATAATTTTATATGTACAATATCACTTTTTCTAAGCACACTTGATTTACATTTCTTTTTATAAGGAAAACAAAATTAATCAATCGACGATTAATTATTTGGCTAATTAAGTTTTTCACGCGTCTAAACTTACGATTTTTTTCTTTTTTTAAATTTATCGTTTCTGGAAAGTCGCACTTTCCAAATTTCTCAACCCGTTCATCGAATCTCCATGTAAATGGCGAACACTAGGAAGATGCCGTACATGAGGAGGCAGGTGAAGCCGACCTTGCGATTGAGCACGAATTTCCAGTAGAACGTGGCCAGGTAGAAGCCCAGCAGGCAGAAGATGATCGTCAGATTGCTGTAGACCAGAGCCTTCGACGCGATCACGATGGGCTCATTGGCCATGAACGTCTGAATGGACCATGGCACGCCGAGGCAGAGCAGGATGTCGAGGGTATTGGCGCCGAATATATTACTCATGGCCATGTCGCCTTGACCTGGAAACGAGAGGAAAGAAACAAAATTGAATACATTTTTGTCTATGTATAATGAATGGTGCGAGGCCTTTTTGGCATGCGATTTTGGACAGGAAAGCGGCACCGTTATCTGCCGTTGCCAACTTTCGAGGCCTACACTACTACCACTGCGATCTATTTCAAACGAAAGACTAACGAGTAAAAGAACATTAAAAAAAAGGTACGCGTCCAAAATTTTAAAGTTACAATTTTACAATTATGGCAGCGATAAAAAAAAATATAGACTCGAAGCATAAAAGTGACTTGTCAACAGATGATAGCGCGCCTTTTGGTGTCGCGAATCAAATTGACACGATAAAGAAAATATGCTCGAGTATGCGAGGATTGATAAACCGTCGCGTGTGTATAATATGTATATCGATCGATTATTACACACAAAAAAAGAAAGAAAAGAATTTACGAGCTAAAAAATCCCGTATTATATATATCCAAATGAAAGCCGAGAGCGGCTTCAATTAAATATTTGACCGGATACGCTATTGAACTAGAAGGCATTTTTTCCGATGCATAAATAATACATGAGACAGAGAGAAGAGATAAGAGCTAATGCATCGCGCGCGAGTATCTTGATGTACATGAATGAAATTATTTAATGAATGATATTCAATTTTTTCCATTCGCACCATGATATTTGCACAGAGTCAGCGGCAGAAGTTGCAGCCTGCGCGACGTACCGCAAGCGTCGCGTTTATAAATATATAAAATAATATGTAGTGTACGAATGCACGCCGCGCGCGGCACCGATAGCGCGAAATCATTCATCGATCGATCGATGATTTTTTTTTCTATTCCAAAGCTTTATCGCCGTACTAGGCAGGAGATTCTCATTCAAGCTCGAGCTCGGCGGAAAATCCAATTTTTTAGTTCTGCGTCTCAGAACTTCACGTGCTTACACACGTACTCTCGATATCGTTATTATCGCAAAAGCGTACAATAGTCTATATAATAATGTTGTGTGCCAAACCAACCTTGCCGCGACAGCAGAACTATCGAGACCATTTCGGGCAGATTGCCACCGGCGGCGAGGAAAGTCAGGCCCATGACCGAGTCCGGTATGAAGATCGTGGTGCCCACCACTGTGGTCATCCACGAGGCCAGGTACGAGGAGATGGCGATCCAGGCGGTGCACATGATGAACGAGAGCGGATACCACTGGCGACGGCTCTTGTAGCGTATGTCCGGGATCGTGCAGAGCAGCAGGAACTTGATCGGCCAGACGAACAGGAACCAGAACTTGGAGATCGGCGGCTTGTCGCTCGGCCAGACGAATATCGATTCTGTATAGATGAAAATTATCATTAAATAATTTTTAATCGACTTCACGATTCTACCGTTTTTTGTTTTTTAAACAGACAAACAATTGATTTTGTGGAGTTCATAATTTTTTGGAGCTCATAATTTTATGAATGTTGATTTTCCAGGTTCGACTCCTGGTCGAGGTTGAATTTTTTCACTTTGTGTACTATTCAAATTGCATTGTGGCTTTGATAAAATAATCATCTTTAGATGTTTTCAACTCCACAGATTTGAAATTAGCGTAGAAAAATGTCTCGTATTTTAGATCATCTTGAAAATCATCGTCTTTGTGGAAAATCAAAACTCATAAAATTATGAGTTAAATTACTGCCTAAACAAATCGTTGAAAAACTCCAAAAAATCAATTGTTTGTCTGTTTAGAAAATTATCATTATTATTGTTATTATTATTATTATTATTAATAAATTATTATTATTCTTTTTTTTCTGCGAATCTTAATTCTTGTGTGTGCATTGATAAAAGCGCGTGTATGTGTATTTTAAACGTGCCTTGGGGAGAGCGCGAGAGGAAATTCCGATGATTTTTTACGATGTTTATCGGACATTTTATGAAATAAACAAACAAATTAAATTGAAAAAACCCGAACGACACACAGAGTACAATATAATAATAAGGTACTCTCCGTTTTTTTTTTTTTTTTTTATTCATTGCCAACAATCTTTGCACTCACGGGGTTTATGGACGAGCGTGGCGTCTATAATAGCTTCAATAAAAATTTTTTTGACAACCGGTCTGTATGTGTGTATTATAAATATTTAATATTTTGAGAAGCACGATAAACATTGCATAAGCATCGCATTGCCATTGTTCCTTAATTACATCGAATTAGTCTTGTATGGGATTTGTGTATTTCTGGCCCGCGCGCAGTCAGCTGATCAAATAGAGTCTCTCTCGCTCTCTCTATTAAGCTATCAAATCGACGAGTAATTTTTTTCATTCCCTGATAAGCTTGTAAGCTTCTCGAGAGACAAGGCAAGTACACACATACATACATATGTATGCACGCAGTAAAATCTACGAGCATGTACACTCTAAATAAATGGTAATAATTTTTTAATAGGATAGAGTACGAGCGATCATCGCATCGCGAGATTGACTCGAAAACCCGTTCTATTTTCAAAAGCGCTTGTCAATAAACGCGAGCGTTAACTCGCGTGTTGACAGATTTAAAGCTCGCTAATCAGTGCCATACCCTCTTTGATAGTTACAATCACGCCGAAATCTATATGTCACAATAGGTTTGATATCGATCTCGGGTTTTTTTTTTTAAATACCAATTAAGAGTCAAAATTGTGTAATAAAATATTTCATGAACCCTCACCTGGCACACTGTCTTCTTCATCCTGGTGCTGCACCGGCGGCTGCTGTTTCTCCACCGGTGTCTGACCACCGTTAGCGTTAGCAGCCTCGGCGTTTACGGCGGCCTTCAGCTTGTTCATGTGATTGTTGTACTCTGTTATGAGATCGGGATGGAAGTTCGGCGTGTAAGTGCCGAACGGCATCGTGTAATTCTCGGCCACCAATTCCCTTTCCGGAGCTATAAATATCGATCGAAAAATATGGCATTAAATAAAAAAAAAACGTCGTGCTGTCGAATTTTGAAATCAAGGCGCGAAACTCACCTGGTTGAATCTGGACGCTGTTGGAGCTGCTGCCCTTGTGGGGGCTGACTTTCCAGGCGCGCCTGATAGCCTTGCAGCGCTTGATGATTCTCTTCTCGTTCAGCAGGATCACGAAGTAGGTGAGAAAGGCAAGGACGAGAAAGAGCGACTCCCACTTGCTGATTTCGCCGTCCCACATGACGTAGACCAGGGCTCCGACCGAAGCTCCGTAAATCAGGCAATCCCTCGAAAGGATCTTCCATTGAAGCGGTATGGCCTGCGAGGATGGACGAATCGCGATGCGTTATTGTTATTGTTAATTCATTATCGTTATTATTATTGTTAAAATCATTGAAGTTGATTGTCTGGCGGAGCAATAAAGATAAGCGGGAAATCTCGCGGGCGAAGCGTGCAGAATTTTGCGCATTTATAATCACGACCTGATTCAATTTTGCTGCTGACTCTCATTGCCACGGCGGGATTAGATTTTTCTCGATTAATTAAGCTATACGGTTGAACCACGGATTCGAAAAAAGGCGCCTCGATGTTTACTCGCGCTTTATATTTGTAGGCTGCACACGATCGCGAGTGCGCGAAATCTCGCGAATAATCCCGCACTATCCGCGTCACGTCTACTTTGCGCGGGCAAAATCGTTCGCATGATTGGCGTTGTTAAGGCTCGATGCATAGCGTGTCTCCGACGATTCTTATCGTGCGCGCCGCAAAGGCTAATGCGACGCGATTCCTATTATTTTTTTTCCTTTCGCACCGTTGCATTCGAGAGTTTGTTTGCGGACTATGTGTGTATACAGCCGTAAGAGGATAAAAATTATTTTTGGAAATGCGCGGCACACGCATGTTTTTTGTGTTACGACACAGGCGTACACGTGCTCCCAATAAATCAATCGTTTCGTGCACTTTGTTTCTTTTTTTCCCCCCATTATTGTGTTGTCTGTGTGTGTGTGTGTGTGTGTGTGTGTGTGTTTATAAATATTGTCCGCGCACACGCACGCTTATTTTCGTTCGATTTAATCGGCCGAACGGCTCAAGTATCGGCCACTTGTAAATCAATTTGAACTGCCAATTCTGTCGTTTTCGTGCGCGACGATAACATCGTACCGCGCGTATCGCAATATGTTTAGAGGTGTCGCGCGGGCATCGGGTGTATCAGATCGCTTCGTCATGTGGACCATCGCTATACTTTTTTTCAGGGGGGAAAGAGAGAGAAAATATCATAATTATAGCTCGCCCGATCAGAAAAATTTTCGAGCGCCAATGCACGATAAGCGCGAGTAACAACACTCGTCGCTTCGATAGCGTATATGTAACATCATAAACGAGTCTCGGAATTATGCAATTTTTCTTTTCTTTAACAAATTCGCGTACCATACTCTTTGCTTTGTGAATTTCAGCAGAAGTTATTGGTTTTCTTTGAAATTCGGCGTGTATGATTTATTGGCGCATGCACGAGACGCACGAGGTAAGAACAATAACGATTCGCGTTTCGATCGAAAAATGAGAAAAAAATGATGTTTACCTGCATGGCGAAGATGGCGCCCACGGCCGGCGTGGCGAAGGTATTGAAGACGGCGCTGCCCACCACGGTACCCACGCCCAGATCGTTCTTGGTCAGAAACGTGCCGATCAGCGTGATGAAGAACTCCGGGAAGGAGCTCGCCGCGGCGAGGAAGGTCGCCCCTGCGACGTCCGTGCTGATTTTCAGCCTGATGCAGATCAGATCGATCGTCGGCAGCAGGTAGTCGTTGCACACGAAGCCCGTGAGGATGAAGCAGTAGATGCCGAAGAACAGGTGGAGCAGTATGGCGCCGTGCTGCAGCTGGTACTCGGTGAATATGTCCTCGGGGAAGTCCAGCAGGCTGTCCCCGTCGTCGGTCGCGTTGGACGGTAGCAGGGTCGTGCTGCTGGCATTGTCGAACAGCAGCGGTTTCGTGCCGATGGCTAAAAATATATCCAAAAAAAAATACGCGCGATGTGTTAATATTATTCGATACCTGCGTTTCGCCGATCGATCGCATACACATATATAACGCGCTCGATTTATCATCGAGGATAAAATGATTTTTCTCGATATTTTTCTTCTCGCGCGCGCAGTGCAGCGGATATCAGTCGCGGCGGTGCTCGAGATGACGCATCGGGAAATTCACAAGTTGATCAATTTGAAAATTTCAATCAACAAAGGTGGTCTCTCTTATCGTTATTTTTTCTTAACTTTCTTGTAAGAGCCCGATCCCGTTATAACTTTCACATTCTCGAGAATCATTAGAAACGAATGTATGATTCGATTGCGGTAACTAATTAATTGTACGAGTCATGAAAAATCGGAGTCACACACGCGTGTGTGTGGCAAGTGAGAGGTGAATATAAGTATATTCTCTACAAAAGACGACAACGTGTAATTCCTTGTCAACGAGAAATACATCGAAATCGATCATTACTGTTTGCCGTTGTTTATTGCCTTCCTATTATCGAACAGCTTATTCGATACGATGTATATTATTATGCAAGGAACGCATCCACTCGAGAGCTTTCTTATGCACGTTTACATTGTTTATATCGCGTGCGTCGCGCGTTCGTTTCGTTAAAATTTAATGCATTTGCGCTCGCTGCACACGGGGTGAGATTATTTTCATTTAATTTTTTTTGCTCTCATCGTCCGACCCTTCGCGATCGTACTCGTGCATCGGTTTATTGATCGATTCAATTTAATCAGAGCAAATGTTTACATAAGAAATCGGCGAGTTTTTTATCGATCAGCAAACTCTTTCTCATCAGATTAAAAAGCTCATCTTCATGAATGGATGGATCACGTCGTCGTTTGCTTCGCCACGAATCGAACTCGTGACTTTTTTGTATACCTTTCGATCTCTCTCTCTCTCTCTGTCTGTGTGTGTATGTGTGTGTGTGTGCTTTTACGAGGAATTTATAGAACACAATTAATTACATTTTATATGACACTCGCTTCGAGATTGGAAATCAGCAATTAAATAATAAAAGCCGCAATTTTATTTATAATGTCGAAGATCGAACAATCGACGTGTTAACACCTACGCGCCCAAGCCCGAAATTTTTCAAAAATATAACTCGAGCACCCGCGAATCGACGACAAAAAAATTGCTATTCCGCTCCCTTTTTTGGGAGATAAAAATAGTCGAATAAACAAAACTAGACGCGAGAAAGAGACTTACCATCGTTGGAAAGGGGCAGCGAGTGTCCACCGTTGATGTGAGCTTTCACGACCAGCAGCACGAACAGAAACACAAAACGCGTCAGACGCATGCACGCACTAGGTTTTTTCACGAGTCCTTGCATCTTGTTCGACGACGATGTTGACGATGTATACAAAACTCAGTAGTAGTAGTAGTAAAAGTAGTGTCGCGAGGAGCCCCTTACTACCGAGGGTCGCTCACTCGTGGAAGAAGAAGTAGCAGCAGCAAAAAAAGGAGCGAATAATGAAAATTGAAAGCCCGGAGAAACGTATCCACGATGTCAACACTTGTACTATCCGCGGTAAACAACAGTAACAGCTGAAGCAGCAGCTCACCGAGCACAATCGCACGAGCCGACTAACCGATTGCAAATGAATCGCCGTCCGGCCGTGTCGTGTCTATGTGTCGCGCTCTTCTCTCCCTATTTATTTTTTTTGTTTTATCTTACTCGTAGAGAACCCCGCGGAAGAGAGAGAGAGAGAGAGAGAAGAGAGTGTCAATCGAGCCCGACGTCCATGACACAACTGACATGCGTACCCGGCCGAGCTTGTACCCTTTATTCAAATGGAGAGACCCAAGTCGGAGCCCACACGTACAGCACACGAGACGGCGAGATTCCCTCACTCTTCTCTCTTTTCAGAAATTCTCTGTTTCCCGTCGTCGTCGTCGTCGTCTTTGCCTCTACCTGTTAAGTGTACATACAAATCTATGTAGATGTATATTATATATATACGCGCGCACGCAGAGAGACACGTACATATAGACACGTATACAGACAGAAGCTCGGCAAAAGTGTGTGTACACACTTATCTTGCGCGCCGATATAATATACTACACAAAAAAATATATATAATACACGTATGTTCGACACACTCGTGTGCTTCGCGCTTCGACACACGCGAACAGCGCGTATCGTATATCGCGCGCCCGTCGTCCCGCGCCTCTGTCTCTGTCTCTCTTCGTTTCGTTAAATAATTGGGATGATATTGGCGTCCTTGCTTGGGAGCGAGACAGAGAGAGAGAGACCTATAAGCTCTCCGCGGTCTTATCTTCTCAGCCGAGTATAATAAAATAACGATATATAGGAACTCGCAGCTCGTTTGATAAGCCACGCGGAGATACATCGGCTATATTATACCGTGCCTATGACACGGCTCTCCTTCTGTATATGTACTACTACGGACACATGTACAGAAAAAAAAAGATTTTTTTTTAATAGACTCGAGGTATCAGAGACCGAGCTATAAGCTTGTAGGTACACACAGACGATATCCGGCGTGCGGATGGCTGGCTGTGTGTATATAATTGGAATCGCAATAATAATAGGGAAAAATTCGGGAAGCTATATTCTGAAGCAAGCCCGGAGGATGGTTGCGACGGGAAAAATTTTTTTTGGGTCTCCATTCTAAAAGCGGAGCAATGTTTACTTTCTTATTTCTTTTTAATAATCACCCGAAACGTTCCCATGGCACTGTGTGTCTATGTACAATCACTGTATGTTACAATTATAATTAATTCTCGGTTATCAGTGTTGGCATAGAGATCATTTGCTTAATTATACGTTAAATTGATTTTTTGTTGTTGCAATGTCACGACTACACCCGAGGCTGATCTTACATCGCCTCGTATCCAAACGACCGTACAGACCGTACATACACATAATAATGCAGCGCGTGGTAAAAACGTGCGCATAGTCGCGTAGTTGCACACCTTACTACTGCTGCTGCTAATTCTTCGCCACGGGTAGAGAGAGATAAAAGCAACAAAAAACATCAAGGAAACATTGAACTCGACGTCGAATCAATGTTTGTGGATTAAAAATCGACGTTGCATAATGACAACAATTTGTTTATAAATTTAACATCGATCGAAAGCGAAGTTCTTTCTCTCCCGAGCATCTTTACCTTCGCGCGCGCACATTATCAGTGCAGACAATTTTCCTTGGCGCGCGAAATCGCTCGATGCACTCCGATTCGAATCGGTTATGAACGCGATACTTGGAAATGTATTTACATTCATTGACAGCTCGCAGCAGGCCACCGCCGCAGCCGCGAGTACATCGGTACTCGCGTACACAATATATACAGAAATTATCGTTTGACTCTTTTGACAATGCGCACGATGCGAGCGCGAAAAATTCACCTTGACTTTTTTCCGCTGTTGTACTCTTTGCATTAAAAAATATTACAATTCTTGTAATTTCTTGAAAAATACATACGAAAATATGTGTACTTGCGCAACGCAAACGATAAAGAGAAATTACTTGGTTAATTGAGATTGACTTTACCTCCGCTTTTTTTTTAACAATTACGGAGGGTAAACGGTGCTATGTGCACGTCTCTCTCTCTCTCTCTCTCTCTCTCTCTCTCTCTTTGTCGCTCAAACACCTTGCCAAATTATTATTATCGTACTCATAAGCTTTTACGATGTAATTAGTTCGAACTCAATTTATCAAATGTATGTTTTATGTGGGTGGCAGATAAGATTCTTTCTTTTTTTTTGTCTTCGCGAGTCGAAAATCATAAAAAAGTGTGAGAAAAAAGTTAGAAAATCAAATTAAATTGTAGCTTCATTACGACTAGTTCTCACGATTAATCCGAGAGCTCGATTGATTGTATACTGGATTTTTTTCTCACCTCACGTGCAGCGATTGATAAATCGCAAAGTTATACTGGATTAAACTATTTGATGTACGTGATTCCCGGGTGTGATGCAAGATTATCGATGAAATCTGGAGGAGCTTAAAAGAGACTGCGACTTAAACTAAAACAATTTTTATTAATAGTAACATTTCTACGAAAAAAAAAACGCAACAAAAAGAATCAACATCGTGCGTCAGACAGGTAAATGAAAAACTATTTGTTGCAATAGTGCGACGATAAATCAGAGGGAAAACCGTTGACACTTCATCGGAAGTGCATGTAAATACTACAAGTGTTTAGGCGCGTGAAATAATCCGTGTAATCTCGAAAACAGTTTGATCTTCCAGTTCGAGCCATTATATCGTAATTACATAAAAATTTCACTCTTTTCCAGTAATAACCGGCTTCACATATTATAATGGCCTCTCACGCTCGGAAAAGCTCTCATATGATTTAAAATCCGCAATTAAGCGCCAATAATTGACTTCACCTAATTATATCGATCCTCATCGCGTGGCTCGCGTTGTATTATTATAAAAGCCGAGTCGTAAGGCCTCTTCAATGTGTGACAATTATTAAAACAATTTATTTTTATCTATCTCCTCGCCCAGAGTCGAGTGCCATTGTGTGTTTAATAAATCATTCATTTGTTAGTGCTGAGTGCACGGCGAGTCACCTTTTTTTTTTTTTTAAGTCGTTTGTCGATTGAATTTGTTTCGGTTTTTTTTCTTTTTTTTTTTTTTTTTTATCGGGGTTAATAATCGTAAACACGCGCCCGTCGACGGAACAATTTTTATGAGCCATGGGATGGGGATTTCGCGTTTTTTTGGGGCCTGCACGAGGCATTATTGTTCTCGACTTTACTGGGAAGAGATTGCCGATTTTTCGATCATAATAATAGGCGATAGATATTATTGTTCGTTCATTTTTTTCTTTTTGGGTATCTAATATCTAATCACATAATAATTTCGTGCACGCGAAACATTGTTTTGCCAATTCAATAAACAATAGTTTTCAACGAGTGAAAAAATCCCGTTGACCTTCGAAATTCGATCGATCACTTTGCGCCCTTTTTCCGCCAAATTAGCATTTGCATAGTTTTTGAACTGCAAATTTCGCGCGCTCGACGCATCACGTGTGCCGCGGTGGTGACTGTCAGTGCAGTCTGTTTGTGTCTGTATAGTAGCGCATCGTCGTGCGGACTTATTTACCTAACCTCGCGCAGCAGATCTGCAACTTGCAAGACACATATAGCAGTAGGGAAATAGACATCCTGTTGTCGGCGGCTCGTCTTGCAGCGGCGGCAGCAGCGATTGACAAACAAATATCCTCTAGTCCGCAATGACGTAAAAAAGCAGGCGATGACTCGAACGTTAGGCCAATAAATCAGTGCACTTTACAATAGAAAAATCAATCTTGGCTGTGTTTTCGTCTTCTTCATCTTCTTCTTTTTTTCAAACTCTTGAAGTATTAGCATATAGAGTGTATAACAATACACACATACAGTATTAGCAAAAAAACAATGAGCAACAAGGTGCTGTCAATGAATCGCGTACGCGGATACGTCTGCCTGTTGTATTTTTGCGTGATAATAGCGCACGCCAACGAGCAGCAGGATGAAAAACCGCAACAAGACTGCGGCTGCGGCAAAAATCTCAATAGACAGAGCGGCGACAATAAGCTCGACGAAGGCTCTTGTCCTGTCAAAAGCAACGCGGAGGACTATGACGAGCTCGACGACGAGATCGTCAAGCCCATTCACAAGGCCGTGCTCACCGCTAATATGGCCGAGATCAAAGCCGGAGTCTATCACATCGGCACCGACCAGCCGTTTTTCGTCAACGACGGTGAAGGTCCCAGACGAGCCGTTGACATAGACGGCTTCTTCATGGATAAGTACGAAGTGAGCAATGCGAATTTCGAGGAGTTTGTCAAAGCTACTGGTCACAAGACCGAGGCTGAAGTTTTTGGAGACTCCTTCGTTTTTGAAGGACTGCTCAGTGAAAAAACTAAAAGTACCATTGACCAAGCTGTAGCTGCAGCACCTTGGTGGCTACCGGTGAAAGGTGCTTCGTGGAAAAATCCTGAAGGATTAGATTCTTCTATCAAAGGTTTCAATACATTTCAATTATTTATAGTTTTTCATTGAAAATTTCCAAGTAGTTATCCGATACATCCATATTTTCAGATCGAATGGATCATGCAGTTATTCATGTTTCGTGGAACGATGCAGTGGCATATTGTAAGTGGATGGGCAAAAGACTTCCAACAGAAGCTGAGTGGGAAGTTGCATGTAGAGGAGGACTCAAGGATAGATTATATCCATGGGGAAATAAATTGACACCAAACGATGAGCATAGGTTTGTAATTTCAGTGCAATGAATACCATCTTTCATTTCAAACTGACATTTATTACTATTTTAGAACCAATATTTGGCAAGGTGAATTCCCAACAAACAACACTGAGGAGGATGGATTTTTTGGCACCTCTCCAGTAACTCACTTTCCTCCCAATGGCTACGACATTTACAATATAGTTGGAAATGTTTGGGAATGGACATCTGATTGGTGGCAACCTTCTCATGATGTGGGAACTCTTAAAAATCCTGTAAATAATCATCTCACAGAAAACATTGATGTCTCAAACTTTTCATAATTTCTATCATTTATAAAATTCTTTTATAGAAAGGAGCAGTCTCGGGTAAAGATAAGGTGAAGAAAGGTGGATCGTATCTCTGCCATCACAGCTATTGCTACAGATACAGATGTGCTTCCAGAAGTCAAAATACTCCTGATACTTCAGCTGGGAACCTTGGTTTTCGGTGTGCAGTATCTGCATAAAAAATGTGCATTCCAACATGAGCTTTCCTAAAAGATATTTTTACATTTTATACAAATAGAACAGCTTCACAAGTTATTTTGTTATTATTTTAATGTTATCAGTATTTTTGATTATTTTATTGATGTTAATGCTTTTCAACAATTTGAAAGTTTATCTTACCATAGCTACAATATGAATAAAAGCTTTGGACTACAATTCTATAAGTATTAGACAAAAACTTACTATTATTAGTAGAATCTCCAAACTTTTTAATAAAACATTCCATTTATTTTGTTAAAATAAAAAAATTGTTTTAAAAAATAAAATTCTGTATTCAATGATTTTTTTTTATTCCCAGTAATAAGATTGGTCAACTCCACACATCTAAATGAAACGTAAGTTTTCTCTTTTACTCCACTAACGAGAAAATTTATAACACTTATTTAACTCTTCGGAGCAGATTTACCCGTGTCAGTAGCGATCAATTTTATCGACACTCGCGCTCCGAAATTTCGCGCGTCCACCGCCTCCCGCGATCTTGGCGCGTCGTACGCGCGGGTGTTCGCCTAACTCGATAATCCCGCTTCTCGTCTTTCTCGACATTGCTGCGTTCGAGTTCCGGGTGGACACGGCCGCGAGATCGTACCGAAAAAAACCAGTGCTGTATATACCATTATATACGCGTAGTCCCAAAGTCGCGCGGAGAAGCAGTGTTGGTGACTGTGTGCGGTGTTGTGTGGAATTGTGATGCAAAATACGTGCGCGACGAATTGATATACACACCACGATATTATAAAATATATAATATAGTCGAGAGAAGTCACAGTCGGTGAGTTGGCTGCTGCTGCCGTTTAAATAGGTATATTATTTCGTGTTACATGCATTGTATATGATGATACATACGGCGTGTGCACACACGGTTTTGTTCAATGGTTTTGCATATAAAAAGAGGCTAAAAATCTGGTGCTAGTGTGTGCTGTGAGTTGGTGCACGTCATTTATATATATATTTTGTATATATATATAGAAGACTCCTCAAGATAGCGTCAAGTTCGCGAGTTCTCTCTTCTTTTTTTCTTCTCCGTCTGGCGCATACTTACTTGTATACACTTACACAGACACGTACACATTTGTATACTGTTGTGTATGTATACAACACACGCATACACACATACGGCAGTTGAGGCGAGCTCGAGCCGTGGGGCAGTGCATCATCATTCGCGTTTATACACCGTCGTACATACACACATAGTTCGTATATAAGCGCAGAGACGTTGTGTGCGTCGACGCCCATCCATCAAATTCCCTCTGCTACTGCTACTGCTGCTGCTGCTGTTGTTGCTACTGCAGTGAGCTTATTATTATACTCGCAATCACGCACACACACGTACATAATATATCCGTACTGCCGGAGCGGTGTGCGCGAAAACAGACGCGAGACACCTGCAGTTTTCCAGCGTGTATATATATAATACGTCAGGAGTGGAGAGGACGTGTTACAATACCAGTGGCATATCTATAGGTATATTTCAAATACCGATTCGAGCCGGTCGTGTGCTGCGTTTTTAATAGTTGTTTGGTGCGTTGTGCGGCGGTGGTGGTGCAGTGCTCGACGACGACGACTCCTTTTTTTTTCCTCGCTCGCTCTCTGCCTTATCGTGCATACTTCGTACACTTACACACATGTTACATAGGTGTACAGAATATAAGGCGCAGTGAATTGTCATCGATTCTCAAGTATGTGAAATTGTTTCTGGTGTGCGTGTTCGCGCGACCGTGTGCCTCGCCCCCTCGGTTTTTATATATACTTGATCTACACTTGCGTGTGCGTATATGTATGCAACTAGTCTCGCATACATACACACATCGAGGATAGAGAGAGAGCAAGAAACCGAAAGAAAAATCAGCGCGTACGTGAGTGTGTGTGTGCGTACAGCACTTACGTCTGTATATATCTATATAAAAAAGCACGAGACGCCGCGCAAAATGGCTTCGCCTTTTATAATCGTACAACATACATGTGTGTATACGATCGTCTCACGTCTCCAAGACTCTATATCCGTGCAAATGTGTATGTGCAGAAGAGCACACGTTTGCCATATAAACGCAAGAGAGAAACGCTACTGCTGCTGATGATGATGCTCCGATGCTCTCCGTCTTCGCGACGTGTATCCTCTTCTCTCTCTCTCTCTACTCGTCTCTTCCTCGCGTTTCTCGGGGATCTCTCTCGCGGCTACTCGCTCTCTTTTTCCTTTGCATATGTGTGTGCTGCTGTGGCTGGTACATACTACTCTGCGTGCACACGCCTCGCGGCATATTACAAATGCCGTTATGTCTCTTTCTCTCTCACTCTCTCATATATATGTACTCGCTCGCTCTTTCTCTTTTGCTCCGATACATGTCTCGAAGCGAGGAATTCCCGTCTCCGTCTCTGTCTTACGCTCTCTCTCTCTCGTGCCGTCTGCGTGATACGTGGATCATCAAGTGATATCGAATGTTATAGAAAGATTCTCCAACGTCTTACTGAATTCTGTCCACATAATAAACACAGTCTGACGGGTCCCGTGCACTTTTTGGACGACGTCGCCCGCGCTCTAATTACATCCGTAATTGAACGTTCGTTCTCGAATCTGCTTTCTCTCTCAACTCTGCCCTCTCTCGAATTGTTTTGCATTCAATCGATGCTGGATCGATTTCGATCGAAAATCTGCCTCGAATATAACTAGGATTGGTAATTTAAATTTATCCGATGATAGCCACGTTCGTGTGTATTCTTTTCATTCACTGACATGTGTTGCCTGTTTCCTTCTCGTTGGCTCTTTTTTTTTATCAGCTTCGAACGAGTTTTGAATAATTTGTTTTGATTAACTGACAATACTATATTCATAGTGCCATATACAGTATGCTATCGTGTGTGCATATAAAAAAGGTTAATGCTCCCTAAATCAATTCAGTGTTGCGATGCTTGGCACTGTTACAATAACACCACACTTACTCTTTTACATACAATAATTATTCATTCATTTTGCACTCATTCATCAGAATGAATAATTATAGAAACAAAGAAACATAGTAGTAATTGATAGTTCAACAAATAAGAAGCTGTTTATTTTAAACAATTAATTTTTGTGCTGCAAATTAATAAATTGTTTTTCATCATTGCAGGAAGTTTAAACAAATATTCAAAATGCAAACAATAAAGTGTGTGGTTGTTGGAGATGGTGCAGTTGGTAAAACGTGTCTGCTGATATCTTACACAACAAACAAATTCCCTTCTGAATACGTGCCAACAGTTTTTGACAACTATGCTGTCACTGTGATGATTGGTGGAGAACCCTATACACTTGGTCTTTTTGATACTGCTGGTAAACTAATTTTACAATTTCATTCATACTCATAAGTTTGTTTTTCATTGAAATTATTATACAATTATCTGAAATTGTTTCTAATAGGTCAGGAAGATTATGATAGACTCAGACCATTGAGTTATCCTCAAACAGATGTATTCCTTGTCTGTTTCTCAGTTGTATCACCTTCATCATTTGAAAATGTTAAAGAAAAAGTGAGTATATGGAAATGGAATAATTTTAATGAATATTAATTTATTTTTTACTAATAATAAAATTAAAAATTTTAGTGGGTACCTGAAATTACGCACCATTGTCAAAAAACACCATTTTTACTTGTTGGTACGCAAATTGACTTGAGAGATGATGCTGCAACTATAGAAAAACTTGCAAAAAATAAACAAAAACCTATCACAGGTGAACAAGGTGAAAAACTAGCGAAAGAATTGAAAGCTGTCAAGTACGTTGAATGCAGTGCACTAACACAGGTAAAATTAAAATTCCTGCACAAGCTCTAAATAGAAATTTTGGGTATTAATATGAATTTATTATTTCTTGCAGAAAGGATTAAAGAACGTTTTTGATGAAGCAATTCTTGCAGCACTTGAACCTCCAGAGCCTGTCAGAAGGAGGAGATGTTCTGTATTGTAGAAGACATCCTCGATTTTATGTTCTACATACTCTTCAACAACTGGCCCTAAAAGCAATGCATTGTAAGCTCGCTGCTTTTCATTTTATTTTATAGATGTTTATCTTATTTATAAAGAGAACATTTAATGTATAATTATTCGTTAATTTTGACATATAGCCATTTATAAATTGTTATTTTTTATAGGATCGCATCACTTGCTTACTGACTGAGATAAGTGCCCAGCAATAAACATCAGCGATATATTTACGTAGTTATTCTCAGTTTATGAAATAAAGATTAAGGCATTTTAACGCTAAGCTATAATAATTTGAAACTTTTTATAAAAAACGATTAGTCAGAAAAAAATGAATAAGCTATTACATGAAATGATCAAGCATGCGTTTTTTAGAAAACTTTAGATGTGTAGTACACAAGCGTTTGTGTCTGCTCAAACGATTTCTATATTTTTTGTATAAACTCTTGTACAAAATGAATTATATAATTATATATTATTACTGCGTATATAAACGATTCGAGAAAAAAAATAACCAACAAAATACAACCCACATGCGTTGAAATGAAGAATTAACTCTTAAGATCTAACTAAGAATATTGTATCGACAGTTATTTATGACAAGCTCAAATTTAAGTACTTTAAGCATTTTGTGTGAGTAATAAAAATTTCTGAAGCAATTTTTTACAACTAGCTTGACTCTGTTCATTTTGAATAGTCTTTCAAAATCAGTGTTAACTGGATACTTAATTACTGACATTATTTTTATCCATTTGAGTAATTTTTCAATCATTTTTATTTATACCATGTGCATTATCAGTGTTGTTTTTGGTTTAGTTTTAATTGTAAACTTTAGAAGTAATTAATTCATCATGAGAAAGAAATTTTAGTTATATTTATTACTAATGATATCAAGTAATCAAATTTAATTTATTTTATTATTTTCTATAAGTGCCAAGCAACTCTGAAACTGAGATTTTTAGTTTCATGCAAATCAAATTTTTGCTACAGCAGGTTATCTTTTGATAATTGTATTTTTTTGTTTGTCAAATCTTTTTTACAAGTACTGTGAATGAGATATATAAAAGTTGAAGAAAAAATGTGGATTGTGTGAGACGAAATAACAATTTTTACTAAAATTTATTTTTGTGATTCAGTTTTGAAATAAAATATTTGATACCTACATATGGATTTGTGGTGAAAGGAACATCGTTTCATTTTTATTTACTTGACTCATTGAAAAAAACGACAATCGATATATTTTTGATATTACTGAAGCTTTTATTTACACGATTTACTAATTTATTTTAACAATTAATTGAATATATATTTCTATACATAATATGTACAGTTTCTGTCTTGAATTTTATCTCAATTAATTTGGCCATACTTTTTTACGGCATTTGAAGTCGCTATACGAGTGTACAATAGCAACGTCAAATTGCAAAAGTGCGATTTTTCTGTCGTAAAGATTTTTTTCTTTTTTTTTTCACTTGTCGAGCTTTGCAATTGTCATCTCGTGAAATAGAATTCGTCACGCTCCCGAAGAACAATATGTAAATATCAGAATGACGTTTGCTTTATTCTTTTTTTTTCTTTTTGTTACATCACAATTGTAACGAGATAGCGTTTAAAAGTACTCTTATGTGGTACAAACACATATTACCATACATGTTTAATAACTCAATTTAAGGTTTATCGAACGTCTTGCACACAGATTCGAGTCGTCCGTCATACACTTAATCACATCAATTATTCACTCTTTATTTCTTTAAAACGTTCCTTTTTTTTATTCTCAAAAGCACTAGAACCATAATATTAGTTTTATTTTTTTTCTCTCTCTTTCTTCACTATATTCTCGCTTTTCCATCAATCACAGTTAGCATGAATCATCGTGCTTCAACACGTTCGTATTTTCTTATCACTTATATTTCATTTGAATAGTCTTTGAACGAACACGCTCAAATTTCTCAGCTTCACTTAAGAGAAAAATTTTTTAATGGCAGTTTCAGTAGTACACTTCGTTAAATTGTAATTGTCTCAAAGTTTAATTTTTTTTCGTTCGAAATTGATTATTTGGCCGCTATAGAGATTACACATTTTGATGTATGTACGATTATTTGAAAATTTTGAAATCTTTGTTTAATAGCTTATGTCGCTATATAATGCTCCAGTTTATTTACATTTTTAGAAAAAAAATTATTTTTTGATACCTTTCTTCAAGCATAAACGCGTATAAAGGAGCTTTCCAAAGAAATTAATGTTCCTAATTGAGGACATACATAATATTAGAGTTAAATTTTGCTGTTATCAGAGTTGTTATATCAATGTACTTGCTACAAATACTCTTTTGTACCAATAATCGAATTCAATCATTTCTACTCTTATGAGGATAAGCTTCGTTATGGTCATTTTATTAAATCTTTTATTTTTCTACCCTCTTTGAAAGTTCAAGAGCAAAAAAGAAAGTACCAATATAATATTTACTTTTAATAACACTCGTAGAAATTCAAGATAGTTTAATGGTTCTAGCCTGTATTTTTTTATATTCTTTACAAAACAGCTACTAATTTTAAGGGTCCCAAATATTGTTTTAAGGTCAACATTTTGTTTCAAGGATCTACCTTTATTCATATTTACTGATCGATAACTGCACAGTGCAAAAAAATTCTTTCGCATATTCTTATTTTGGCTTCATTATTAGCTTTTGTTCATCATATATTTGTTATATTAATGTATCTAAAAGATCATCCATATTCTGTTACAAACGATGAGTTCGCGTACCAATCTTTGTTTTCTAAAAAATGTGTTGAATATCATAATATTTTGTGCTCTCAAGAGAATTCCGTACATTTTTAATATAAATATATAAAAAGCACATTGTAAACTGATGGAAAATAAATATATTGCTACGATATTGCCTTAGGCTGAAAAATAAATATGAGCATAACAAAATGAAAATAAATAGAACACTGATGATATTTCTTTGGAATGTCATTTTTACTATGAATCGAAAAAATATAATAATAATGAATAAATGAAAGGTAACTTAAAATATAACAAAAATGACGTACAAATAAATAAATCGCTTCTTTCGATTTCCGCACACTTACAACATATAATCGAAATACATGTATCATTTTATAAGTAAGTATTCGTATTTTAATATTATTTTACCATTCAATGATTCGTACTGAAAATTCACGGATGTGATTCGATTGAATATAATTTCATAGTAATTTTTTTTAAAACTTTTATATCGCAAAGTTTCTTCCAGAATCATTTAATAATATTGATATTACGCGTTGGAACAATAATTCCTTGTGGTTATTTTTGCTTCCATCAAAATCTTAAACTCTATCGTAAGTCGCTGATTAAATCAATAAATCGTAGTTCGTCATCGTTTATTTCTTATACATTCATCAGAGTATACTAATACTTCTTAATCTTTTTTTTTCGTTCAATATTACAACTATGCGTGTACTTAGTATATGTTTTGTTAATTAATATAGGCCAGAGTCGTCATCATAACATAATATTTTATTGCAGTCTTCAATGTTTCAAAAAAGTACTAGAGCTGTATTTTCTCTGGAAACTCTTTTGTTTCTGCTCCTGACCGTAATCGTGTGTTATAATCCAACAATCAAATTCGTCGAACATTATTATTATTTTTTGTTACTTTTATATTATAGTTTATATTTAATCAACAATCATTTTTATTGCACTTGCGGAAAATACAAGTGAAAGATTATTACTATAAACTACGCAGAATTGTATTAATTTTACGATAAGAGACTATACGCCTTTTCTTTTAATATACAGTAATAGTTAACAACTAATAAAATTTCTTGATAATCAAAAACAAAGTATTTGGTGATATAAAAAAAGTTCATCTTAAGGCTCGTCGCTCGTCGTAATGCCTCTTGAAACAAAAATTACTTTTAAATAATCATGATTTCGTACAGTCGTATAGCCTCGTTTTTTTAGATAGCAATCGAATGACAAAAAATATTTTAGCTTGTACCTAAAAAGCTCTGCTTGTCTGAATTATTTACAAAATATATAACTATACAAATCGACTTTTTCATAATGATTTACTAATACTCTTTTTAATGAATTATAAATATCTGATATAATGTAATGTATAATATTTAAAATTAATGACTGCGAACGCTGCTAATCACTCTTTTTCACGAAGATGGATGCTTTATCGATAATAATCTTATAATATGTACATGATTGGGAAACAAAAAATATTCAAAGAAAAATATAAAAATCTATATACCATTTCACAAATCGAAATAATATCACATTACCTTAAGAACTAATTCGCAACTTTGGTTGACACCTTGATATCGTAATAAATTTATGATATTCATACTATTAGCTCGATGAAGAATGCGTATACGTCCAAAAACAAAAATTTTTCTACTGCATTATTATTATATACAACATACAAAGTCTTAATCAATGGTTTTCATTTTTATTATGAGATCTTTGAAAACTTTCGAGAAAAAGTTGATACATTTTTGTTTTTTTTTTCTTTTAAATATTACATAGTTTTTTTACTCGCTATCAAATACAACGAATAAACTTCGTGGTATATATATAATTTTCTTATATAAATTGTCTACACGATTAATAGAATATTTTTCAAATTTCATTAAAAAAATTACAGCAACGATTCGCGTATAACAAAAAATGTCATTAACTACTCAACATTTCTTATTATCATTCTTATACACTGTTTGGCCGAATATAACAGACGATTAAACGTATGTTAAAATTGAGTCTTCCTCAATGAGGATCCATCATTATAACACATCAACTCCATTGTCCACTTTGGGATACACAGTTCACTTGTTTTTTGGCGATTATAATTACGACCGAAAAATACAAATTTATATATTTTTTTGTAAACTTTACAATTGATATCTTTTTTTTCTACAATAGCATATATAATAATCTATTTTTTACACCAGTTCGAACTATTTTTTTTTTCTAAATACCATTACTCCTTCGGTGCATCTTTGGCGCGTAATCATTCCTTATAGATAATTTTTATTATTAATAATTGTTTATTATTATTCTTCTGCATTATTTTTATTTTGATTAGAGCGACGGTTAAGTATCGATTTCCTAATCATTAATTATAAAATACTATGCATTTTAATACTGTGAGATTTTTCGCCTTTTTTTCGAAGACCGAGTCGTTATCAAAAAATAAAACACAAAGAAAAGACTCTCGAAAATACAAATAGTTATTGGAAGATCGTAAAAAATGTGATACACTTATAGCATCATTATATAATATACCAATCATTCATATTCAAAAATGCATTTGCCACATGTAGAAATTTGACAAATGCCGCTTGTATAAATTGCGTTGTCTCCAATTCTGATATTTAATTCCTTTGTCACAAATGATTCCAGTATATTATACAATTTTTCTATCTACATTTAAAAGTTCGAAAGTGTATAAGATTATTCAAAACGTCAAACTCAATAAAAATGTACAGTTCAGTATATAAAGTAGAGTACAAGTTTTTCGACTACTCGCTAGAAGAACGATCCCTTTAAAAAACACACGATAAAAGAGTTGAGTCCAAGTCAGTCTGTTAAAAATTTGCGAAAATTCCCATTAGCTTTATCATTATTACTATTTAATTTAATTTTTTTTCAAGTTTTTAAGAGCAAGATAATAATATGTAGTTGCTGCTGTTGTTGTTGCTGTTGATGTCTTCGTCTTCGTCGTCGTGGAAAAAATTAGTTTTCGTCTCAATAACACGGTGCTTCGTTCGTTTAAATACAAGTGTGTGATTATATACCATTGGCCGTGACGTTGCTGCGAGTTTGTCGTGGGTTTATTTATTAATGAAATTTTGTATCAGTTCTCAGTCCGTCGATCTGCGTAACGTTTAACAATCTTTGTGCATTCCGTACAAAAATAAAAAAATAATAATAATAAAAAACAAAAACACAACTAACGAACTCTCCGCTCGTTAGTTCGACTTACATAATTTGACCGATTACACAATAACTTAAAAAATTAGTAAAAATTAAGAAAGAAATAAGAAGAAAAAAAACGATAACGAGTTAATACACTATTATAATGACAGAGGCGTCTCGTTCAGCGCCGTACACTTGGCTCGTTACAATATATTATATATATTACGTTTCTGCGGCACGCATCGTTAAATACACTTAATAATATATTTCGCGTTCACATAAGATCACACCTTATTAGTTCCTTGTCGCCGTGTACTGAGTAAAACTCTTCTCAGACGTTCATGGCATAATAAACGGGATTCTGTTGATCCTGCTGCGTCGTCGCTTGAGCTTGACCGTCCTGCATCTGCTGCATCTGTTGCTGTTGCTGCTGCTGCTGCGAAGTCATCATGGTCGACGTCAGGCTCTGGCTGACGACGAAGTCGTGCGACGGTGCCGAGGCGGCGCCCTCGGGTACCCCGCGCTCCGCCACGCTGCAGCCCCGCTGCAGACTGCCCGTGTGGTAGAGGGCCTGCTGGTGGTGCTTGGTGGGCGACGACAGTAGCGACGAAGTGCCACCCAGCCCCGAGGGCGTCGTCATGGTCGTCGTGGTGAGGCTCTGCTGCTGCTGCTGCGCCGCGGCTACCTTGTTGGTCGCCTGGAGCAGCTGCGACGACGTGTTCAGGAGGCTCAACATCGGATCAGTGGTGGCCGCCACGGCCGCGGCCTGCACCGCCGCCACGGCGCTCTGGGTCTGCATGTCGGATAGCCGACCTGTGTAGCATGTACGAGGTTTTTTTGTTTTGTTTTTTTTTTTTTTTTTTTTTTACAAGATAGAGATGGATACTACGAATGCTCATTACGTTCTCGACTCTCGGGTGCGCTTATTTGCCTGGAAAATATATACGGTGCGGTTGCTACAATTTTTCGTGTGTAAATTTTGGTGAGATCAACATAAACAATAAAAACAAAAAAAAAGCCAATTGGTTTTAGTGCTTAGCGGAAAGAACAACAAGCGTTAGAAATGAGATTGTTTCAGAGAGCAAATATCAAGCGATATTTTGCCTTTTCCCTCTTTTTCGTCGATGTAAGCCGCTCAGACAGACAGACAGACACACAGACGGTTGTCGTCGTCGTCGCTCACGGTGACATCGACTAAGCAAAATACCCCATCACAAAGAGCATCAGCGCCAAGAGAGGCTTGTATAATATCGAATAACAACGTCGTCGTTCGTTCGTTTTTCGTCTGTGCCCGTGTACACACGATCCTGCGGGGATCATACTTCGCAAAGGTTGACGAACCCCTCAATCTCATCGTCCCTGGTTTTTTCGCCTTCTACGGTTTAAGCGCCCAAATATATATACGTAATAAAAAGTAATAATTGAATGTATCGAGCAAATACATAACATTTTCGCGCGAGCGAGTTCAACGACTCGCGTATACGAATCAAATCTGTCGAAGCTCAAATTAGGTGCACCCTCGTGCAAGCACAAAAACGACGAGCACGCGCGCGCACACATATATCATCTTAAGATGGATAATAAGATTAATTAATTCGACAGACTCGCCAATATCATATAGTAACAGTGTAGGAGAGATCCGGCATCGCGAGAGAGAGGGCAAATGAATCATAGTTCAGACACGTATGTGTGTATGTAGTCGTACGTTTATGGCTTCTGATCGAAGAGAGAACAAGTTATATTATATAATGACAGCTAGAGTAACGAAAGAGTTAGAGAGTAGAGTTCGCTTCGAAAAGCATTTTAGGTTCTCTTTGCATATAGCAGCAGCTACCGTGTTCGGCATCGGTGAGAGAGAAGCTCCGTTCGTCTCTCTTCGTTCGATATCCTATACTAATGCATCACACGGTGGTGATGACATCGTGTTAACACGGCAGTATAATACGGGCGAGCACGTGGAAAACTTAGTGTGCTACGCGTACGGAGACTCGACTACTGCCCGACGATGTCCGCGATCGGGGCAAAGCTTCGTGTGTCGAACAAGCCCCTTCTTGATTGCAAATTCGATGCGACTCGTATTATACATATCTAACGTTTGTCTTTTACGATCGAGCTTTTGGCGTGTAGCTGTCCCCCATTTTATAGCTGAGTTTTACGACTTTTCCTGCTTTTTCCCTTCCTTATACCGTCGTTTTCATTTATTCTTTATTTCCTCCACCCTCCCTCCCCTCATTCAAAGAGATTATTCGAGTTAAGCTCGATGAGCTTGCGAGCGCGCGCACTCAATAGTCAATTGTTTTCTCGTTATGGAGCTGAGCTGAACTACCAACCAAGAAGCGAGACCAAAAATCATTCTCCGCGCGTGTGTACGTCAAAGTTGACTTGACGAGCTTTCGTATAATACATACATAAATTCTCTAATGCGATTCCTCTGTATGCATATATGGTACCAGAGGCCCCCGAAATGAAATTACCTCGGAGCAACCCACCCACTGCCTCGCGCGCGCATACACATAGTCTCTTCTATATCATCGACCAACTAACGAGATAATCCAAAACGCGTTGCGTCGTCGTCGTCGTCGTCGTCGTCGTCGTCGGCGGTGGTGGCCTACGTACGCGTATTATAGATAGAACAGAGAGTAAGTAAGCGAGTGTAGAGATGACACACAGGCACAAGCGTACACACACACGCGCGATATATAACTCACCAGCAGCAGACGCTAGTTAGAGCACATATCGTTATATTATATATCATTCAATTTATCCGTACCCTGTATCTGCATCTGATAGGTGTAGGTGGCCGTGGTCTGGGACGGCGGAGGCGGCGGACAAATCGAGTACGTGACGCCCGACAAGGTCTGCACGTTGTAGACGGACTCGTCGGGCGGTGGCGGTGGCGGCACCACCGGCAGAGCTTGCGACCCAATTGCGGCGCTCGCCGCCGCCGCTGCGGAGCTGATCTGTAGAGCGCCCGACGGTGGCCGACCGGTGGCCGCGGAAGACGAGACTTGAAACTCCTCGGCTTGATGGAGGTGAAGGTGAAGCGCCGCTGACGTAGTTTGAGTGTTCTGCAGGCAGAGTCGAGAGATGGTAGTAGCGCACAAGAGAGAAAAAAAGGGAAAACAAAATTTATGTATGAGTAACGAGTGCGGAGCTTAGTTGGATCAGCTTATATAATATGTGCAATGTTTGTCGTTCGTACGATGATATTATGATGTATTTATGTACATGATATGCCTCGCGCTTCTCTGATATTTCGTTTGTGATTTGCTGCGTGTCGGTGTGTACGTGTGTGAAGGAATATATAATATATAAATGCACTAAAGCTTATAAACACACACACAGTCACGAAACATATAAAGACAGAGAGTGAGTGAGGCATATCGTACAGGTGTCGTCGCGCTGAAGGTAACAAGAAAAAAAGAGCGTGAAGGAAAAGAAGAAAAAACAAAACTAGGAGTTATGTAGATATGGAGAAAAAAAAGTGTAAGTAAACCAGGTCTAGTTATAGTTGGAGATGCGAGCCTTTGTCGCCTGCTTTTTTTTTGTTATTTATGTATGCAAAACGGAAAGTGGAAGGAAAAAAAACAGAGAGAAAGATTTATAAATAGGTAGAGAGAGAGAGAGAGTGAGAGAACCAGGGTAGTCATCGTCGTCGTCTTCGTCGTCGTCAAGGCACGAGTGAGAAGAGAATATACAAGGTATACAGAGAGAAAGATATATAAAGTGAATGAGCGAGGTGTAGTGTGCACGACGAGGTTCTCTCATCTTCTTCTTTTTTCTATTTTTTCGGGGAGGATATCATGAATAATTAATCCGTGAAATAGCATGATGCAGAGAGAGATGTCGTATAAAACAATAGTTAAAAGAGCTTATATATGTGGACCTTCAAAAAAGTATAAAGTCTTTGAAGTCTTTTGTACATAATAAGTGTGTGTACGTGAGTGTGAGTGTAATGTGTGAAGTGACTGTGATCATAATAATTGCTGAATGATAATAATAGTAATAATAAAAATTTCAATTATAAACGGCACATTGATAGAATTCATAATTGTTTAGAGCGAAATAATGACATAATGCCTTTTATATAGTATACAATATACGAATAAAACACTATATAAATATTATGCATATATGATATAATATAGAAAAAGTACAACGTTTTACTTTGTGAATATAATAATAAAATGAAACATCGATCGCTTATGCATGTGCACAGTTAAGGGAAGAATATGTATATCGAATTTTTCCGTGGAAAATTTCATTCAGTAATAACCAACGTCATCGCGATGGTTCGCCAAAATTGAGAAAAATATAAAGCAGCTTGTGTGCAGCTGGTAAAAATTTTCCACGAAAAAATTCCGTTTATCTTGATGAACACCACTAACCATTTATCATCAGTGTCTATAATACCCTTCCCTCTTTTTCTCCCGCGTAATTTTCTCTCTTTCTTAATTCTCATCAATACATCTGACTTTCCGTAACGGGCCAATCGACTATATGGCCGTGACTACATCTCTAATTCAAACAAAATAATAAGACAGAGATTTTCAGACGGTTGAGTCATTGTCGAGAAGAAAATTAAAATTATAAGATTCAGCTTAGTAATAATAGCAATCGTAAAATTAGCAATGATTCGAAGCGGCGAAAAATTTCAATCGAGTCCTTACCGGTATCGTCGCTGGCCTGTTATTGGACACGTAATATCTCTGCTGCTGCTGTAGCTGTTGCTGTTGCTGCGACGTCGGTGCCTCGATCCTGCCGTTCCTCGCGTAAGGATACCTCTCGAGCTGCTGCTGCTGTTGCTCGGAATAACCGATTGCCTGCTGTTGCTGCTGCTGCTGCTGAGTCATGCCGATCCTCTGCAGATTCTGATAGGTCGGATCTTGCGGAGCGTTGCCGTTGTACGGAACGACGTACATGGTCCTGTAGCACTTGGAACCCGCTGCCGCGGCTTGAGCCCCCGCCTGGCCGTTGTTGATCGCGGCCTGAGCCTGGGGCACGATGCACGAGTAGGTGCCCGCCGCGGCGTACGACGTCTGAATCTGGCCCGGATGGGCCCGATGCGCCTTGGGCAGGGTGCTGTAGACGCCCGGGGGCGTGCTCGAGGCGGGCAGCACCTCGCCACCGCCGGCGATGCGCAGCATTCGCGCCTGATTCAGCATCGTACCGCCGCCGCCTCCACCGGCAGCAGCCGCGGCGGCGACGTTGTTGCGATGATCGATCGCGGCCTGCGTCGAGGCGCTCATGGTGCGCGGCAGGGTGCCGTCGAGATACGGTATGGGCCCGGCCCCGGCCATCTGCTTCTGCTGCTCGAGCAGCACGCTGCTGATGCTGCTCTCGGCGATGCTCTGGTAGATCTCGTTGATCTGCTTCTGCATGTTGTTGATGCGCGTGATGGTCGAGGGGTCGGCGTGCACGTCGTTGGTGTAGGTCACCCGGTAGATGTCCGAGGCCGCCGACGAGGTGCTCATCGCGTCGTCCTGCTGCTGCTGCTGCTGTTGGTTTCCACCGGGGAAGCCCAAACGACAGGCCTCGGGCAGCGAGTTGGCGGCGGCACTACGCGTCCTCAGCTGGTGCACGATCTCGTTGGTCGTCTTGAACTGGGCCTTGATGCCGCGCACCGAGGGCCGTCGATTGAAGCCGTAATCGTTGAGCTCGTCGTCCTCGTCGTCGTCCTCGGTCGTGCTGCTCTTGTTTTTGCTGTTGTCGTGCTGCTGCTCGGAGGAGCTATTAGCACGACTGTCCTCGGACTCGTAGCGTCGCTTGATCCGCTCGATTCTCGACTTGTCCTGCTCCACGAAGGCCTGCAGCTCGTCGCTGGCGTCGTTGCCACCGGCCCCGGCGCCACCGAAAGCCTCCATCGACGGGCCAGCCGACGTCGGTGTGCCTCGGGTGACGTCGGGCGGCGCCGGGATCCCGTCGTTGAGGGCGTCCTCGATGTCCTCGAGGCTGTAGGACGAGTCCGAGTTGTGCGAGATGGAGTTGCGATCGCCCGGCTGCTGTTGCTGTTGGTGCTGGTGCTGATGCTGATGCTGCTGGTGCTGCTGCATGCGAACGGGCAGCCGCTGGTAGTAGTCCTCGCGGCCGTCCATGCTGTTGGCCGAGACGCAGGACAGGGGCGCGAGACTGGCGAGGAACTGCTTGTTGGCTTTGTTGTTGCTGTTGGACTGCTGTTGTTTGTTGCAGCTGGCGACCTGCTTGCTGATGTCGGGCAGATTCAGATCGCTGTTGTTCGCGGACGACGAGTTTTTCTTCTGGCCGCCGAACATCTCGGTGATGCGCCGATAGGCCGACGACGACGACGTGCCGTGATGATTGTGATGGTGATGATGGTGCGGTTGCTGCTGCTGTTGCTGTTGTTGCTGATGCTGCTGCTGCATCATGACATGACCTTTGTTGGGTCGTTCCTCGCCCGACGGCGACGTACGCGTTGGCAGCTGCATCGGCAGATGCAGATGGTCCACGCCCTCCATCATGTTGTTAATCATGCCACCGACCCCGTTCATGATCACGTGATGATTGTGATTGTGATGCTGGTGATTGTGATTCAGGTGGGTTATGCGGCCCGTGTTGTTGTTCTCGAGGCTCGCTAGATTATTTCCTCCGCCGCCACCGCTCGTCGTATCCGTGGCACTACCGTTGTCCGTCTCGTTGTCGTCCACGCAGGTCAGCTGCCTGATCCTCTCCTCCAGGGTCAGATCCTTGCTGCGCAGATTCTTGCGTCGCAGCGAGTCGTACTTGCAGTTGAGGCTGCGCCGCAGGGCGTTGCGCTCGATGGTGCGCTTGATGCTGGTGCTGGACGACTGCGAGTCGCCGCCCACGTCGCAGGACTCGCTGCGCCCGCTCGAGCCCATCTTGGTGCGCTTGACGGCGTCGAAGAGCTTGAGGCTCTCCGCGGTCACGAGGAACTTGCCGTCCACCGTGTCCTCGAGCTGGGCGTCCTCGAGATCCGCGGACAGGCTCTTGACGGGCGCGGGCGGCGGTGAGATGAAGCGCGGATCCGGGAACAGCTGACGCACCGCCGAGTTCGGCTTGAGGCTGTTCGAGACGAGGGTGTTGACGCTGCCGATCTTCACCGCTAGCGACAGATCCGACGGCTTGTCCTTGTCCGAGGACGAGTCGTCCGAGGATTTGGACGAGTCGCCACCGTTCGATTGGCCGCCGTTGCTCGCCTTCGAGTCGTCCATGGACTTTTGCGACTCGATCGAGGGCTGGCGACTCGTGCCGTCGCTCGCCGTCGTCGAGTCCTCGAGGCTGCCGACGCGATTGCTGTCCTCCTCGCTGATCTCGCGGACGATCCGACGCTCCGTCACGGTCGTCATCGTGATCGTCTCCACGAGGTAACGCTGCTGAACGTCTGCGCAATAACAAAATTATACTTTAGACTCGAGAAATCGCTGTATAGAATGATTATTATCGAGGCCTATATTCGATTCGTTTGCGCTCTATTTCGCAGCAAAAGACGAACGATTAAAATCGCGAATTACAATAGCCTACTGATTAAAAAAATTTCTAAGCTCCCAAGATCGGCCTATTATCGTTGTATTATTAGTATAATGGAGTCGCGGACAAATAGAGGCGCACGCGCGCGCAATTGTGTCGCACGAGATAACGAATTTGTCTTAATTTCGAGGAGCTCGCGCGAGCCTCATTGAATTCTCGAGCGGCGCACAATGCTCGGGGGCCGTTCGCGGATTATATTATTATATTATATCAAGCTCGAGCTTCTGGCGGCCTGGGCTTTTGTTTCGCGTGGGCACAAAATGAATTCGAGATTATGTACGCTTTATATGACATTGTGTATTCTTGAAAGTCATAGTTCTAATGAAATTAAAAATTTTTTTTCCACTTGAACGTGCGGTGGACGACTAATTATGTTTGAACGAGAGAGGAAATTTCAATGCGGTGAGCTCTCCACGAATATATCCTTTTTTAATCAAGTACCAAAAGATCCTCTCGCGGGTAACGAACAACGGAAGATTAAGATTCTTAAGCTCGAGTTCGTATGAAGATGGAAAGAAAAACGCGACTATAACCGCGCGCGCACGCGACGAGAACAATAAAACACGCACCGAAATGCTAACGAAGATATTACAATATCCTATGTATTTCGTACGTAGGATATAAACTTGAACGACGACGACGACAGTAAAGTCGCTCGGTCGGCAGGGTAAAATCGACGAAACAGTTTGCGCTTACATTATTCATGCCCTCGAGACGTATATTTCAACTTCGTCGCTTTGTGACGTGCGCGTCTCTCTTTGCTGTAGCGGTATACTGCGTCACGAAGACTTACATAGTACGAGAAAGTTACTCCCCCTGGCCGCCGTTTATAAGGGCCGAAATAAGAAGAAGGGCGTGTGCGTAAACATCGTCCGTCGTTATATATATTATATATACCTGGGGTAGTTTGTTGATTCTGATCGATCGGCCCTTGGAGCGACGACGAGTCCTCCGTAGCCGTGGAGTCTTGCGACGTCGTGCGCCAACTATCGTGCATCTGCTGCTGCTGCTGCTGCTGCTGCTGCTGATGATGACTGCTGCTCGTCGCGTCGTCGTGATTAATACTGTTGTTGCGTAACGGCACGCTGGGCGGTTGCTGCTGCTGATGATGCTGCTGCTGATGATGATCTTCCGCATTGTTGGCGTTCGATGGCACATCTGGGACTGCGAAGGAGAAAAAAGAGAGAGATTAGATATCGCAAATTGCCAATCAACGGGGACAAATTAAAATTTTTCAGCTCTGTTATATATAGTATATACATTTGAACGACGAATCGAAAAGTGCAGAGAAAGTAGAGTATTTTTTCTATACACGTGCAGTAAGTAAGAAACGTGCAAACGTGCGCAGGGAGGGTTTGGCAGTCGCACGAAGAAGTATATAGTGGCGCATCTCGGAAGAAAACGTCGACTTCTTCGTTTACTCGATTTTTTTTGTGTATATATCCCGCGTTGACGTATACATATATATCTCTTATATATATAACGAATTCGAAGTTTACAAAGTACCCAATTCGAACAATCATCGATTGAAAAAGTTTTTCATCCTACTTGCTAGACTCGCGCTCCTCTTCTGCTTTGCTTCTTCTTTTTTTTAAACCTCGCAAACTTATCCGAAGAAAAGTATGTATCTCACGTACGCTGCCAAGACGCAAACAACATTTTTGTTGCTGGTTTTCTTTTCATTTTTTCGTTCAACTTTATTGCTGTATTCAATTTATCGAAGAGAAAAGTTGCGCGATTTGCATTTTTAATTTTGCGTTGCGTAAGCTTGCGTATTGTAGGTTCGAAATTCGATCGTTGATTAATAGGTTGTATTTAAAGAAATAATGTAGAAAAAAGCAAAGATTTACAAATTTTAGAACTAACGTTCTAATAAACCAATTTGAATTGTTGACAGATCAAAATTATGTTTACATGCGGAGGCTATAAAAATTAAAATTTATACATCGATACACACTCAAACAAAATAATCCAAATTGTTTTTATCGCCGAGTCATTTTTTACAATATACACTATATTTCTTTTTTCGATTCTCGTCGATCGCATCTACTTTGTTGTCTTCGCCTCACTCGATCGCAGAGCTACTGACAAGATACTCCATCTGGTTGAGGTGAATTTGTGGCGTAGATGTACTTCTCCAACGTGAAATGCAGATACGACAGATTGTTACTTTCGGCAAATTCGGAAACCATCGAGGCCGTTTCAGGAGTCACCGCGAACTGTATGTGATCCAGACAAGCGATTCTGAGTTTTTCCATATCATAAGTTGTGGCCAAACGGTAGATCCTGATCAAGAGATCGCACAGCCTCGACGGGCTGACGACGAGGCTCAGGCAGTCGAGCTGGTTCGTGTAGAAGAACTCCAGCATGGCTCGCACCACGTCGACCTCGACGTTCAAGAAATGTATATCCGTCGCTCTCTGGTTGACGCGAAAAAATTGGTTGAGCTTGTACGACTTGGCGGATAGCACTTTTTTATGGGCCTTCAAAGTGGCCGGGCCGACGTGAATTATGACGTTGCAGCCGCAGTCCGGATGGAAGGTCAGGATTTTCGGATAGAGATCCCTGTAGCAGGGCCCCAGTTCGTCGCGCACTATTTGCCAGCCCTGGCTATCATCGACGTAGTAGAGCTTCGTTTTGCTTATCTTCAAGCGGACGTCCACGATCCTGAAGTTATAATCGCCATTGTCGTACTCATGAAAGACGAACTCGAATGGTGGGAAAAGGAGAAACGCGTCGGCGCGACGATCACTTATCTGCTGCGGATCGCTCAGATTGTATGTCGCACCATATGGTAACGCGACATTGGGAAGCCTCGCCGTTACACAGGCCTCGACGCCGTAGCTCCAAACCATCCTCGGGTCAATCTGGAACATGTGCGCGATGTTCCTGAATTGCAGCCGCGCGGTCAGCCGCAGTTTTTGGTGATAACACTGGCACAAGGGGCAAAGATAACAACCGCTAATGGCCGCTGGAGGAGATGACCACTGCTGGTCCAAGGGGTTCGCCGGCTGACTATCGTAGCCTACGAAGTTGCGCAGGTGGATTTCCACGTCCACGATCTCCTTCGGCCCATTTTGGGTCAGCTCCAGTTCGAAGTTCTGGACGAAATCGATCGGTTCGTAGAGGGACTTTTGGATGGAGAATACTGTGGACGACGGACACTCGTTCGATTCCATTTTTCTTCTTTTTTTTTTATTCTAAAGTTTGATATGTAATAACGAGTTCGGATATTAGAGAGCGTGTGAAATCGCGCCGAGCCGACTACTTCGTTCGATGTGGTGAGAAAAGCGAGACTGACTGATTGTAAACATTTACAACAAAATCCGAGTGTTTAAGTAAGAAACAAGAGATAAATAATAAGTTCACGTGTTTAAAGTTTTCATCGGGCTTTTGGACATTTTAATGTTTCGTGAAAAATCAGTCGCGATGATCGTTGTAACTATGCATGAAAAAATTTTCCATTCTGCTTGCTAGACTTGCGCTCTTCTTCTGCTTTGCTTCTTTTTTTCATACCTTGCAAATTTATCCGAAGAAAAGTAAATATCTCACGTACGTTTCCAAGACTCAAACAACATTTTTGTTGTTGGTTCCTTTTTTATTTTCGTTTAACATCATCGCTGTATTCAATTTAAAGAAGAAAAAGTTTTTAATTTTGTGTTGAAGATTCGAAATTTGATCGTCGATTACTGGGTTGTATGAGGAAAGAACGTAGAAAAAAGCAAATTTTTACAAATTTTAGAACAAACGTTCTAATGAATTAATTTTAATTGTCGGCCGATAAAAATTACATTTAAATTTATACATTCAAAGATTGTAAAATTAAATTTTATATCGATACACACGCTCAAACAAACAAATCCACATTCTTTCTATAGCCGAGTTCCTTTTTACAATATATACACTATATTTATTTTTTCGATTCTCGTCAACCGCATTCTTCGATCGCATCTACTCTAGTATCTCGATGAGCCCGAAGTTCAGATTTTTTCACGAAAATTTGTCTTCGGCCCACTCGCTCGCAGATCTACTGCCGAACCACTCCAGCTGGTTGAGAAAAGGACTGGACTCCGTTAAAGTGGTAGCTGTACGCCTGCAACGTCTGATACAGTGTCGGCAGATTTTCGTGAGCAGCAAACGCGACGTATATCGGGGCCGTTGCGGGGATCACCGTGTACGTTATGTCATCCAGGCAAGCCATTCTGAGTTGCTCGAACTGATGAGTTTGGGCGAAGTAGTAGAGCCTGATCAAGAGATCGCACAGCCGCAGCGCGTCGTATCCGAGCCGGTCGAGCTCGTTCGTGTAGAAGAACTTGAGCGCGATCTGCACCACGTCGGGACTGACGTTCGCGAAGAAGATCTCATGGATCGTGGGGTGCGCGGTAAGAAATTCGCTGATCTTGAACGACTTGGCGCATAGCACTGCCCTGTGGGCCAAGAAGAAGTTCGAGCCGACGCGCACTGCCAGGTCGTAGCCGCTCTCCGCAGGGTTCGCTCGGCCTAACAAATAGAGATCCTTGAAGCAGGGCCCCACGTTGTCTTCAATCCTGTACCACTTCTGTGTCTCGAGGTCATAGAAGACCTTCACTTTGCTAATCTTCCAGCAGACGTGCTTGATAATAAGGGTCGTTTCGTTGCAAAGGCCGAGCGCAGGACAGAGGAGCTCGAACGGTGGGAATTCCAGAGTCGCGCCGGTGCGGATCAAGCTCTGTCTCAGATAGTTTATGTGATACGTTCTGTTGTCGACCATCACGCATACCCGTGCCTCGACTTCGTAGTTCCAAGCCAACGCTTGGCTCAGCAGGACAGCGTGCGCGTCGTTCCTGAAACGCAGCGCCATTTTCAGCTGCAGATTTTTGTGATCCAACTTGCAAAGCAAACAATATCGCGGCGGGGCCGAAGGGGCGAAGTTCTGCAGTTGAAAGTGCAGATTCGCGATCTCGCTCGGCCCACCAGGCACCTCCGACTCGATCTTTCCGGCGACATTGATCGATTCGCCGAAGGCCTTATCGACGCTGAATGGTTCGGACGACGTAGTTGTCAACCGACAGTCGGTCTCGGACGATTGCATTTTTCTTTTTTTCTTTGTCTAAAGTTTGATATAATAACGAGTCCAGGGGTTCGAGAGCGTGTGTATTATCACGTCGAGACGAGACACGCGCGACTACTTTGTTCGGCGAGAAAAGCGAGACTGGTCGATTGTAAACATTTCCGCTTCGGTTCCGAACGGTCGAGATACAAGCCGAGTGCTTAGGTAAGAAGCAAAAGATAAATAATAAGTTCGCTTATTTATAATTTTCATCTGGCTTGATAAATGGCTTGTGTATGGGAAAAGAATTTAGAGAACGGCGAAACGTTTCAAATTTTAGAACAAACGTGTTCTAATGAATCAATTTTAATTGTCGATCGATAAAAATTACGTTTAAATTACGTATAAAAATTACACTCAAATAAACAATTTTTTTTTCATTCTACGATCGCTCTACATTAGAACCCGAGCTCATTATTCCTCCGCGATGCAAGCGCACCGACGCAACTTGCGCAGCAAGTTGTCCTTGTCCGAATTGCGTTCGCAGAGCTGCTCCCTATCTTCCTAGCGCCGGCCGAGAATGTGTTGGATGTGCTGCCGCAGCACCATATCCATGTGCGAAAGATGGTTGGCTTGGGCAAACTTTCTGTATTCCAAGGCCGTCTCGAAAGTGTCGATCGTTGCGAATTTCATGCGCTCCAGGCAGGCGGTTTCGAGGTTCTCGAGGCCTTGGCTGTGGGCGAAATCGTAGAGCCGTGTCAAGAAATAGCACAGCTCCAGCGAGCTGTTTTCGAGTCTCGCGCAGTCGAGCCGGTTCGTGTAGAAGAACTCCAGCATGGCTCGCACCACGTCGCCCTCGACGTCCGAGAAATGAATATGCGTCGCTGTCGGGTTGGCGCGAAAATCTTTGTTGTTATACTTGGCAGACAGCACTACCCTGTGGGCCCATAAGCATTTAAGGTCTTTCGTGAACACCCTCAAGTCGCCTCTGCCGTTCTCCTCGAGGTTTTCCGAATAGAGACGCCCGAAGTCTTCCCCAAAATTATCGAGCACCGCGCGCGGGTTCCTTGCGTCGGTATAGTCCATTTTCATTTTGGTCACCTTCAAGCAGACGCGCCCAATTTTGAGATGGTCT